TGGTCCGGACACTTTTGTTAACGTGTAAAATGAAATCCTGTGTATCCGGACACTTTGGTGTCTGTGTGCTGTAGAACCTTGTTGGTCTGGACACTTTTGTTTACGTGCACAAAATTAATAATGTATTTGTATTCAAACTTGCAAATTGAGTCAAATACTTGGTTTAGACTCAAAATTAGCCTGGAAAACTCAAGTTCGGCGGTTTGGATGGAACACTTGAATTGAAGTAATAACCTGTACAGGATAACAAACTTGCGGTAAACAACAACATATTAATATTACCGCAGATTACCCATGCCCATATTTTTCACTTTTTACAATTTGTCAAACAAGCAGATATGTGAAATTTAAATCCCCTGATGCAAGATCACCTTAATGGTTACAGACAAGTTGAACTGTCAGGATATTAAAACTAGACACGAATGGAATCAAGTATATCAAATTTACTATGATCTCCTCAGCACTTTCTGAGAAATAGCAATCGATGACAAACTATTCATGCAATATTTATGCATTATCCAACATAACATGTTGACTGTTCTGTTTTTCCGTTTCATTCAAAGGACCTGATACAGGAACAACAGAATTTTACCCACAGACCAATTTAACCATTACTGGGTTATATGTGTAGCTCCCTAAGACACGACCCATGAGATATTTTTAAACAAATAAAAAGGTCCCCAGGGCCGGTGCTATAAACTATTTAGTGCCGCCTTCCAAAGGTGTACGACAGGGTTCACTTTTTTTGTCCAAATATCTATCAAAACAGTGTTTTAAGCTATCAAATAATATTATATTATTTAAAGTAGGATCTGCTGCAAATTATGAACTCAAATATGTAACAAAACATTGCATAATAAAAAAGTAACAAAATCTTAAACTCTAAAAATGTAGGTATTTTCATACACTTTTTTGCTACATCAATTGTTTTACGGAAGTAACACACCAATTTCCGCTTCTTGTACACCAAAAATCTTTTAATATTATTTGGTACATTATGTTAAGATATGATAGTGAAAATTTCAGAAAAATTTGAGAACCGGTAAATTTTTAAATATATATGTCAAATTGTAGCAACGTCTATTTCCAAATATAATGCAATAACCTTATGACCTATAGTCATGTTTGATCATTTAACAATACGTCGCACCAATTTATTATCGCAACTGATCAAATTTTCATCAAAAAGGTCTGCTGCTCATGATGAGCCCAACTATAAAGCTAGATGTTGCAAAATAAAAAAAAGTTATGCAGTCTCTCACACATAAAAGTTAAGTATGTCATGTACATTTTTAGTTGTTTCGCATCTTTACATCCCTGAAACCACGATCGACAATAACAATTGTCATGTTCATCAAGCCAAGACTTCAGGAGGTCAAAGTTTACAATGATAAGTTTAGTAAGTGATGCATCATTAACACTTCTATAATAAGATCCGATTGTGTCCAACACATAGCCATCTGGCAACACAATGGACATACACTTCAGATAATTCGTTTTCCACAATATGATGATCTCTGGAATGCATGATGCGAACTTTTGTTTAGATAGATAGATGTAAGTGCCATCAAGTATGAGACTTACTTTGTCCCCCCAAAAAATTGCTTTGGTAAACACTATGTTGTGTGCTATGGCTTCTTCGCGTGACATCTGGTTTGTTCATTCAAAACTTCAATCTGAATCCGACAATGTTTTCAATTGTAGTTTTGGAGAATTTCCATCTTTAGATATGTTATGTATGATCTCAAGAAGATCAGTTATGACCTCGGAACCAATAGCGTTTACAAGCTGCGTTTGCAAAAATGCTCTATCGAACATAGCTACGTCAGTATCTGGGTGCAAAAAAACTTCCGATTATGTGTTTAGAACGCGCATCACGAGGGCACCAACGCCTGTGATTTACCATTAGAGAATGTCGCACTTGTTTTGGTAGTACATGTGTCATTACACTGAAGACATACAGAACATTTGCGATGGTAAGAGGATGCATATTTCAGATCTGTGATATTCAAGGGGGGCACTGACAGAATAATGGGGATGGCATCAATAACATCTTCCTCCTCTTGCAAATCACGGCCGGTTTGATCTTCTCCCTGAGAAAAGTGACTCTCCACAGATGTGTCTGGGTGAGGTCTCTTCCTGACACATCGTCCATAACATCTCATGCATATCTTAATGCCATCTTCTACAATCAGATCTTGGTTTATAAGCATATGTTTCAACCAAGTATTGTGCGGGGAGTCCAGCAATCTTGCTGTTTTACCGTCCTTTTTGATATCCACCCATGATGAAAGAATGATTTGAAGACTAATAGCTAGCTATGGATTATCAGATGTGAGTATGTGTGATCATGTGTACCTTGAAAACTGAAGTGATCCTATCACCACATCCCTTTACCTTGGTATTTTTTCCCTAATCTACATTTTCCATAAAAACAATATGATATAAACGGGGGATTTATTCAAGGAGGTCAATTACCACAACCTATTTATTTAAGCTATTGTACATGTCCTAACTGCAATTCTACCATTAAGATTCAATTTGCAGTCCATTAAGCTACAAAGTTTAGTTAAACAGTTGTTCCAGACTATACTATAAACCATATCATCCACCTTGATAGTATATTGGAATGATTTTGGGTTAATTATGAAATACTTGCATTGACCTGTAGTTATTGAAGATTTATTTTGACATTGGTCATACACCATATTAACCTTAAGATGACACATTTACCGAATACCGATTTTTTCGACATTTCTACTATCGTCAGTCAACATAATGTGCCAAATAATATCTAAAATATGTTGGTGGACAAAAACCGAAAATGTGTCCATCACTTCCGTAAAGATGCGAAACAACTAAAAATGTACAAAACATACTAAACTTTTATGTGTGTGAGACTGTAAAACTTTTTTTATTTTGCAACATCTAGCTTTATAGTTTGGCTCATCTTGAGCAGCAGACCTTATTGATGAAAATTTGATCAGTTGCGATAATAAATTGGTGCGATCAAACATGACTATAGGTCATCAGGTTGTTGGATCTTATTTGGAAATAGACGTTGCTACAATTTGACATTTATATCAAAAAAATTACCGGTTCTCAATTTTTTCTGAAATTTTCACTATCGTATCTCAACATAATGTACCAAACAACATTAAAAAGATTTTTGGTGTACAAGAACCGGAAATTGGTGTTACTTCCGTAAAACAATTGATGTAGCAAACAAGTGTATGAAAATACCTACATTTTTAGAGTTTAAGATGTTGTAACTTTTTTATTATGCAATGTTTTGTTACCTATTTGAGTTCATAATTTGCAGCAGATCCTACTTTAAATATTATAATATTATTTGATAGCGTAAAACATTGTTTTGATATTTTTTTTGACAAAAAAGTGAACCCTGTCGTACACCTTTGGAAGGCGGCACTAAATAGTTCATAGCACAGGCCCTGTAGACCTTTTTAATTTTTTTTTTTTATCTCATGAGTCGTGTCTTAGGGAGCTACAAATATAACCCAATACTGGTTAAATTGATTTGTGGGCAAAATTCTTTTGTTCCTGTAACAGGTCCTTTGAAAAAAAGTCATAACTACAAATTAAGGGGGTCTCGTATGCCAAATTTTTCTCGTGAACTTTTAAGTAAGCCATCAGAAATGGTGGCAAAAAACTTCCAAGACAGCTGCTTGCATTGTGGGCCATTTTTGTATACCACCGCATCGAAGTTAGGGGGGTGGGGTATACTGGAATCATTGTCTGTCTGTAGACAAAACATTGTACCTCCTACTCCTCCTAGGTTTATGCATGGATTTTAATGAAACTTTCCACACATGTTATACAAAAATGTACCTCAGATGAACTTGTGTCTCCCAGAACGCCATTATATTTTCTTTCAATATTTACCAGATGTATGGCCCTTGTCTTCTGTAGACAGTACATTACGTTACTGAAATGGCTAAATATCTCGGAAACGGTAGGTATTTTGTATACACATATACCTTGGAATATTGTAGGCATTAAATCTACTCTACTGACAGCTTCCGATGTCGTGGGGTCAGAGGTCAAAGGTCACAAATGAATGACGTTACTGAAATGGCTAATTATCTAGGAAACAGTACGTATTTTGTATACACGTATACATTACAGTATATTAGCCAATTATGCAGGCTTTATTGTGACAAACTTCCAAGGTCATAAGGCCAAAGGTCACAGATGCATTATGTTATTCAAATGGCTATCTATCGCAGAAATGGTAGGTATTTTGTATACATATACCGGGTACCTTGGAGTATACATGTATGAAGCATTGATGCAAGCTACATTGTGAGCAGCCCCATGCCAATGCGGGGGTATTAGTTAGCCCATAGGCGACAGTTCTAGTTAATAGACCTCGGGGTTTTGGTATTTTTGTACTCATTTGCCAATGAATCCAAGGAAACTGCGGTATTCCAAAGGGAATAACCATCTCAATTTCTTGGGTAAATTTAAGAGAAACGGCGACAGTAGACTTTACATGCAACATCTGTACATCCTGGTGCATATTTTGTTTTTCGAATGGGCCAAAATTATAGCAGGTACAAAATACAAATACACATCAAGGAACCAAGAGGATCATGCATACCAAGTTTCATTATGTAGTTCCTGAGAAAAAAATGGCTGTCAGCTGCAGGCGGCCATTGTGCTTTTATGATCCATCTCCAATTAAAGCATGCGCAATTATTGACCACGGAGGTCATGCATACGTATACCAATTTTATCAGTTTCTCTGTCGAGTAGTTTGTACGAAATAGCAGTCACAAAAATCTTCACAGACAAACTGACGCTTGGTAAGTATGGACAGAAGTTGCATTGTAATATACAACCGGCCATATGATGATAGCTAACACAGACTAGGATTGACAACGCTCAAAAAGCTATCCAAGTCTGTGGGCAGGACAGGCTGTCATCATGACCTTGTATCAAGTGAAGTTAAATTCAGCAAATAAATACAAACAACTAAATATTAGCTCACACTTTTTATTCTTCAACAGTTATTTTGTGTAACTAACAATGCATAAAAGCCACGCCATATGACGAAGCCTAGTGTTCTGTTACCATAAATTCTAATCTACTTCGTGGCAAAATGACCAGCATATTGCAAGGAGATCTATGTTTGAACGATACTAATGATACACATAGATAGATGATACAGTGGGTGACGCCCGTCATATAGGGTTAACCAAGGCAGTCTGACTGAGTCAGGCAAATATTTCCTCTACAATCCACACACAAACACACACACACACACACACAAATGTTATCTGTTCAGTTAAAAAGTTACTGATGGAAAATCTTAAATTAATCTTATCAATCTTCTGATTTCATGAAAGACATTGAAACAATGGTTTTTCACAATATTTTAAAAATTTCTCCTTTGCTTAATCTTTTTCGTCAAATTGCCATCCAATGTGTACTTGCTATCTTTGGAAGCAATAATACAATATGTTACATTTTTCGCAGTAAGAAACCAAGGGATATTTATTATGCAGCTTAACACAAACTATATATTTTGTGTGATAGTCTGCAAATGTGACTGATAAAAAAACCACCAACCTCACATCGCAGTTGAATATTAAGTAAATAATCTACAAAGGAACTAGGTGATGGACTAATATTGTACCAGTTTATATTATTATCGTACACATTTTACACCTTTGTGTGCATACGCTTCACTGGTCATTTGTCTGATGAAGGTGACGGTGTACATATTGTATCAGTCATCTAAGGTCACATAGAAAATGTTATTGGTTGTGTAAGAACTTCTCATAATCCATACTTACCAACCTAAAGAAAACGTTTAGAAATATTGTACCAGTATTTACATGAATGACAGACATTTGGTGATCCTATCGAAGAAATGTAAGAAGATGATGTAATATGGAAACATTGTTATATAACATTTTCTATAATTGCATAGCACAGGATGTAGAAACAGTACCCAGATCAGGGGAAATATAGAACACTTGTCGACTGGGACTGTTCTTAGATCTTGTTACGATATATCACGCACATACTTTCATAAAAGGGGGCAGTAAGAATCGCACAAATCACACACACATGCTTACAGGTGGAATAAAACCTTGGAAATAGTTGGTACCCGCTTCAGGTTTGGAACTTCAATTTTTACCATAGATTCATTAAAGGACTTGGAGGTGTTATGGGTCATTTTTGGCATCATAAAAAGTTAAAAATTCAACTTGATTTCTTCACTTACTTCTTTTATAAACATTGGTTAACCAGGGATATCTTTCCTGGTACAGATTTGTTTTCATTTCGCATTTTTAGATCTATACATAATGTACCCCACCATAGCACTAAAATTGGGTTGCTATGCAGAAATAGCTAGCATGCAGGAATGAAATCCTCCACATGTGATAACCCAAAATTTCTTTCTACCAACGAACACAGGTATGACAATGTTTAGCATGTGAAATATTTGTTTAGTTGGTGTATGCGGAGGCTTTCAAAAATTGAACAGTGTATAATTAGTTTGCTTCAAAATGGTCAACTTTCTACATTACTAGTGCACAATGGATGATATCATGCATATTATCTCCTATACCAATACCTCTGTACTTCATTTATCCCAGACTATGTCTACAACAACTTTGACAATTAAATGACCCTTAGTGCCCCAAGTCCTGTATTGAAATAAACAAACCATGTTACACCTACTTTTCTTCGAAGAAAAATTTTAATTTCCTTAAAACTATTTATACAAAGTGAAACGGTCTATCTCCATGGTGTTTATAAATATACACAGTAAAACTGTCTCTATGACATTTATATAATATCAAATATGAAACTTTCTGCGGGTATCCAAGTCTCTGTAACTTAATGTACTTAAAGTTTAAAGTTTAACGAAGTTGTTGAAAACATCCTTCTGATATTTACATTCCACAAAACCCAGTAATTACACATAACTGGTAGACCAGCTAATTGAGAAGAAGAACAATTCAAATGGATACCCCCAAAACTATCACACTCTCAATGGACAAGGGGAGGTAATCCAACATATTTTGTGTATGCAACATTTTAAGGTGGGAGTGAAAGATTTCTACTGATGAATGAAAATAATTTTATATTTATTAGTATATGAACATGATGGAACTATTTCTAAATATAGCTTGTCTGCATTTTTTTCAAATCTGGCAAGAAAATTTCATTTTAGAAGCTTGACTGAACTGACCTTGCTTTAAATTTGACCACAGGGGCTGGACCTGACCTATTACAGGGTCAAAACAAATGTTCCTGACCTACAGCAAGCTAAAGCCCATTGGGGCTGAAACAGAGCTTAAATGGGGTTCCAATAGCTAGACTGCCTTGTGAAACAACAGCCAGACCTGACCTTAAAATATATTTGAAACATATTACACTTAACATCAAGGAAAACGGACGAAGTAGATAACAGGTGAAACAGTCTGTCCACTGAATTATGCTGAAATACCTCACTATTTTATCTGCATAAATAATATGCTGGAATTCAATGAAAGTTTCGTTCAGAGACATGTCGTACCAATTTTGGAAGATTAAAAATTGATTCAAAACAGATATATATTCAAAATCCTAATGCTTCCTTTAACAAAAGCTAAATAATCCCAAAGAGTGCTTACTGTTTATAGACACCCACAATTAGTATGGCTGGAAACTTGTCTAAATGTTCATGAGAAAGGCTCTACACCGGCTTTTAGAACTAACATGTATGGGTTTGTTTTCTTCACGTAATCTTCGACTTTGTGATGACAGTACGGATCACCTGCACCCTATATGTATAAATACAAATGACCTGTGTGGCATTTGTTTAGCGAATGTTTAATACACACATACAAAACTGTTTCTCACTCACATTTCATAATATTTCATTTCTACGAAAACAGAAAGACAATTCCTTTCAGAGTCGGTGATATTTCACACATACAAGGCAAGTGGGTCGTACATTAATAACAATCGGTAATAAAACACAAAACAATAAAACACAATACAGAAACCTCTAAACAAAATCTACATACAACACACAGAACACAGTGATGTTTGCTTCAAGTGTCTTAGCATACATTTTAACTTTTCTGACAATGAACAGAAACAAACATATATATATTTGGAACGCTTACTAAACACGTACTGCATCTATTTGCACTGATGTGATATATCGATCTAGAAAATTTATCATTCCAGAAAGTTAAGTGGAAAATGTCAAAATTGAGACAATGATGTCGGTTAATATTTCCTTCTTTTCTGTGAAAAATTCCACAAAATACATTATTTCACACAGACCAATCCCAAATATTCCCACAATCAGTATTTCTTTTATACTTATTCTTTTCTTTATTCCTGCTCAGAAAAACCACGTTATTTTGACATGAACAGACAGATCTTTCAACTGAATAAAGATGCTTGACAAATAAGGATTGAAGCTTGAAATTAATCACACATATATATAATCAATATCAAATGTTTCAGAATACAATAATTATGCAAAATCTACATTAAAAAACAACTATCTTGTGTAATAATGAAGTTTTTTTGTACGTACATATGAACACGTTCGTTTAGAAAACAAGAAATCTGGACATTTTTTTCTTTGGATCAGATGTAAAAACAAAAATTATACTTCTGAATCTGAAAATTTGTGTTTCAGTTTCCAAAGATATTTTTTTGTAAATGGATGGCGACATACAATATATTTATTTCCTGTCCAAAAAAATGGCTTAGTGTAAAATTATGTTTTCCCATCTGGGATCTTACTCTTATTAACATCAAACAATAATATTTTTTCGTAAATTTTATCAGCCAAACAGATTGTGTTAACCCTAAAATTAAAAGAGCACTAAATTTTTCAATTATTTGAATTGAAATTTCATTAAACTAAATACAAATGAACAAACAGACAGCATGGAAACTTAAAAAAAAGGTAAAAATTTGCAAATTTCACTTTTCATCATTCGAAAATTTGTTTAAATGGACATTTTCTCCAGAACAAGCCTTAGGAATTAATGAATTTAGACAACTTACTGTTGCAAAATTAAGGTCACTCAGACACATATTTTCTTATCAATTAAACATCTTTCAATTTTTTTTCTTGCATATAAAGGGGAAGTTTGATGAGCGAATAATGAATAATCATACATAGTAACTCCAATTGCCTAAATGTGTACATATGTATATCCCCCTTATCAATTAAAAGGCTATAACATAGAGATTCTACATAAACAGCACTACGAGAAACAGAAGACGATACTGGCATCAAACATATTAATAACAAAAGTTCTCCTACTCCATATCAATGAAAGCACATTTCTAATTATAATAACAAAAATAAAATAAATAAAATAACACAGTTTAAATGCAATTAATCAAACAGACGCTTACCTTCCCTAGCGTAAACACTTTATCTAGGGTCTTGTCAATATGATGGGATGATGAATAACAAACAGTAAAAAAACATGATTCATTACTTTTTACTGTTACTCAACATGATTTTTCTTAAGCGCAAATTTAAATCTAGGTTACCTGGTATAATGTTATTAAAATTTGAGGAAATATTTAGCTTAAAGCACTATTTTTTTCATTTTTCTTTTTAAGTAAGCACCTTGGCTGGAGGGGTTGTAGTGGGGTAGGGGGCGATTGAAGGAAACATGGCCATAGATTCAATCACACCAGACAAAGAGTTCTTATAGTTTATTAGAAGTGTCAACTGAGTTCGCCCCTACAGCCGGCTTCAATTCTCAATGGAGAATGGGTGCTTATATTACCAAATCATATAAGGCAGTTCAGCGGAGCCGTCATCCTAACATGTACATTGTACAGTTGTATTAAAACAGCCTTGTTTTACTGTGCTTGTAAGATGTTACAGGTATTACAGAGTTTCTTTGTATAATGGCTAAAGCAACTTAAACAGGGAAAACACTGCTGTATATAGCAGAAAAATCAAAGGAAAAGCAACCAATAATAAAGTGTAAAGCACAACACACGAATGTACTGGAGACAGGCTGTACCAGCACAACACACGTGTGTACTGCAGACAGGCTGTACCAGCACAACACACGAGTGTACTGGAGACAGGCTTTACCAGCACAACACACGAATGTACTGGAGACAGGATGTACCAGCACAACACACGAGTGTACTGGAGACCGGCTGTACCAGCACAAAATATGAGTGTACTCGAGACAGGCTGTACCAGCACAACACACGAGTGAACTGGAGACAGGCTGTACCAGCACAACACACGAGGGTACTGGAGACAGGCTGTACCAGCTCAAAACATGAGTGTACTGGAGACAGGCTGTACCAGCACAACACACGAGTGACCTGGAGACAGGCTGTACCAGCACAACACACGATTGTACTGGAGACAGGCTGTACAAGCACAACACATGAATGTACTGGAGACAGGCTGTACCAGCACAAAACATGAGTGTACTGGAGACAGGCTGTACCAGCACAACACACGAGTTTACTGGAGACAGCAGGCTGTACCAGCACAACACACGAGTGTACTAGAGACAGCAGGCTGTACCAGCACAACACACGAGTGTACTCGAGACAGGCTGTACCAGCACAACACACGAGTGTACTGGAGACAGGCTACACCAGCACAAAGATCCGTAGATATCACATCATTTCAATAACGATCAAGGATTTCTAGAAAGACATTCTGGTATAGTAAATATTATATATATACATAATACAAAACTCTGCAGTATCCACAGACAATGAAATCCCATTATAATATGACACTGAAGAATGGGTTATTTTCCTCTATTTGTTGATAAGGATGCATTTGGTTTCTCCTAAGTTTCCACATGCTAATGATATAGGTCTTAACTTTAGAATGCAGGCCAGTGTTTTGTGTAGGAGTTTTCCAGTTGAGTCTAGACCATCATTTTTGATGAGTCGTATGGCTAAGAGATATCGTGAGTCCACAAAATGTGGGAGACACTCACAGGAAAAGCATTTTTTTTGAAATCCAAGTATTCCATTTTTGATATAACGGGACATATCTTCTTTGCACCCCTGGGATATGTCATGACAAAATCGAAAGCTCCATACATGCCACCTTACAGATGATATCAGATGGCCAGTCTAGAAACTGTTACAGAATCTTGCATAACTTTGATCTGTTTGGTACAAGGTATAAGGAATCACCCAGTAGCATAATGGTAAAACTGACAGCATTCATTTGATCAATGATTTTATTTTAGTTCCTTTGTAATTTTCAAGGGACATGCATCAGCCTCCAGATTTGTGCAATTCATGTCTGAATCCAATCAAATGCTTTCCTGTACTGTGAGCCTTGAACTTTGTTGTCATGACATATATATAGTCCGAGGGAGTAGAGAACACATACGGAAAATGGAACACCCTTAGATTTCAAAGATGAGGAAAACCACAAGCCCAGAACTCAAATATCTGTGTCCCCAAAAACACTGTATGCATTTTAAATCTGACAATTTTATGAAATCTAATAAATCAACAAATAGAACAAAATGTCATTTCAACTTTCATGGGCTGATAATCATTGATGGTCTTTCACTTATCACTCAGTTTTTACATATAAACAATTTAGACATGATGACTGTATCCGTATTGATGATATTAATATATATATATATATATATCATATGCATATATACAGAGAGGACTAATATACAAAGGTGAAGATGCAATTTCCATGCAGCCCAAATAGATTACCGTGTTGCAGTTTAACAGTTGTTCCGTTCCACATACAAATTGGTTATAATTCAACAATTGCCGCGTGTCAGATACAGGTACAATTGTAGTACATTACCAACACAAGACCAGCTGCCGTGGCAATACCTGTTAGGTCAATGTTGATTGACTCATTATACGAAACAGGTAAAAGACAGGTACCTCTAGATCTACTCTACTTAGTGGAAACTTTGCTTCTCTGTTTCACAACCATATGTGTGGAAAAATTTTCGGTGAACAACTACCTGGTGTATCTCATCTACTTAGTCTGATACGTTGCCTGAGGGCTCAGGATCATTGATCGAGTGTGAGTTAATGAGGAGCCGGTTACTACAAAGCGTGTATTTACAGTTGCATGCTAGTCTTGCAGTACCACGGTCTCACGGGTCACAATAAGCAGATCTGTTCAGAACTTGTCAGCTGTTTAAGTGTCAGTAGCACACAGCCACATTTTCAGATCCACACTTCTACCAAACTGTATTGTAAAAAATTGAGGAATGAAGTTCTGTCATCACTTTGTCTATATATCACATCTCCAGCACCATGTAACACAGGGACAACCAAATTGCAAGTCCCTGTGAAAACCAATTCCTGTGGCCGAGTCGACCCTGCAGCGACCTCTGAAAGTCCCCTGTGTCAATTGGTTTCATATGTCGAGAGTAAAGCTGCATCTACAGGCTCCATACACGAGGGACAGGTGAATGATCGCATTAGCCAGTCATCAATACAGTCTCTGTGATAAGTGTGCATACAGGGCAAAAACCTCAGGCTCTCTCCCAGTATAAATTCATTCATACATATAACACACCTGTAACAGTAAACAAACGTATAACAGTAACAAATTAACAAAGAACTGACAATGCTCACAAAATATGTAGTGCTGAAGACCTCAGCAATAACTTTTCTAGTTGCCTTGCATTGCCTTGTGTTAAAAAACTATTTTACTCAATGTTCCAATGTTGATTTCAAGAGAAGCAAGTTAGGCAATTGGACATTTGTTGATGAAACATTCTCATATAGAATAGATTTATCATAAACATTCATAATAATCCATGACTATACATTGAGGTACACACCTGCTGTACACATGAACTATAATCATTGGTTAGCATGTGTCTTTCTGAAGTGCCTCAAAAAATACATCGAAAAGATAAAACAAAATCCCCAATAGCCTAACCAGTACAGAATGTCTACTGCAATACTAATTTTTAGGGTTTTTCACTGCAAAAAACCCATCTAGAAAATGTCTGTAAGACATGAATGTCCCCGTCACCATGTGAAATTAGTTTCAGTGTCTGATGTTCTATAAATAAACGAGACGTGATGGACATGGGCAACACTATATATATGAACAACCCCATTTTATGGCGAGGGCATGAACAAAAATCCCTTATTTTAACTCAATTTCCCGTAAAATGATAAAAGTAAAACTCACAGATAGGTCTCCAAGAAATCTGGCATGTATGCTAATATTATAAGCTCTCTTACATTTCGGTACCCTGCAGTACTTACTCTTTTCCCTTCTTGCTGGAGCCATCATACACGCCTACAGGCAAATGACTGATCAGTCCTAGACGTTTGGCAATCTTAATCTGTTCTTCCTCGGACAGTTGGTTGGCCAGTCGACTCACATTTGGGGAGGGATGGTATACTGGTACACGCTCCTGTCACATCAAATATCAACAAATATCAGTATAAGTAATAATATCAATAATAATTCAAGGTTCTTATATTCCACTTTATCACAACCTAGTTCATAGGTCGTCTCAAATCGGTTCACAAATTATTATTCGTGGTTATTGGGCCTCTGCAACCAACCAATATCTTTCTCAACTCCCTGGGGAGCATACAGCCGGTGCTGCCATTTCGGTGCCCACAACTATAGCTAGCATTCAACAATTCTAGAACCTTTACAGCTGAATTGGCTGGAACAAGCGGAGTAAAGTATCTTGTTCAAAGAAACAACACATTGCCGTGATGTGACTCAAACCTGCAACCCTTCGGTCAAGAGCCTGGCATCCTACCACTAGATTAAATATGGCTACTGCGCCTCCTAACAAGTAAATCTTAGCAGAGAAGAAATTGACATACATCACTTGGCAGTCCTATCTGTGTATTATGATATATATATATGTGTTATTGTGACACTTAATGCATACACATGTTTGTCTTGGGTTGGTAAATTAAAAGGAACATATGTCAGTCTGAAATTAAACAACAAATGTGTACCATTGCTATCACTGCAGTGTTGGACTCAAAATTTGTTTCAAATTAAACATGAACATTTATCAGTCTTAGATTGATAAATGTTGATGTATGAAACGAATTTAGATATAGTGCACGAAATGTATGAAAATTTAATTTGAATTTGAGATGTAAAAAGAGATACTTATAGAAGTGGAAAAATCATTATCTATGCAGAATATATCTAGGCCAAAAGTAATGTGTTGGAAATCGCTTTTTAAAAATTATACTTTTAAAAACCTTGCTGTAGACAGAAATGATGTTTGAATGTACTTAAGTATATATGGTCAACTTGCAAGTCAAAGTATTTAATTCTGCTGCATCTACATCGCAATATATGTAATTCTGCTGCATCTACATCGCAATAAATGTAATTATAACTCTTTCAAAGTTTTCATTTTGTAGTCAAACCATGAACAATCACAGAAAATTATGATTAATCAGTAACAGTCAGAGTTGAAATGACTAATTACATGTATATTCATTTATTAGATTCAATTGTTACAATATATAATTCTTGGAATAATATTTCTGTAGTGGACCTGGACTGGGTCATTGCCAGCGACCAATGCAAGTATACATAACTAAATTGGTGAGTTCTCTTGAGGTCTGGGTTTGAATCCCAGTCTGGACTTGCATATTTACTTTTCTGTTATTCATATCTATGATTTCAATTCGATATCATAATTTCAGACAAATTGGTCACACAGTGTCACGTCTTCTTTTAGTGACTACAAAAGACCACATGTTTGCTCATTGCACATTTGTGTGCTATGGCCTTCCCTTGGCAATATGCTGTGGAAATATGTCCAAGTAATTATATATATAAGTTGCCGAAAAGGATATATCAGCATGCCGGTGCTAGGATTAACAGGTGCTAGGATAAACAAAGGGCAACATTTAAGGGCAATATGATGGCCACACAGGGTTTATTACATGGAATGAAGAATTTATCACTGGAACTAGAAGGACATTCTTTTTTCAAACAATGACCACAAAGGTAATCTCCCGGCATATGTTATAATGACGTGTTTTTTTTTTTTTTATATAGAATTATGAAATATAATTAATTTCTTATCTTCTAAATTAGTACACATCACTTGTACACAGGTCTTCACTTTCATATTTTACTTTTACTTTTCGAGCAACATCTTTAAACTATTTCATCAATGATATTTACCATATGCCACGCGTTCGTTAGTCTCAGTATGAAAATTGTTTTGAGGAATGGTTTCGGAATGGCCTTGTTACTAAAAATAGCTTTACCTATCGTGCCTTTTGTGTTATAACTTAATCAATAATCTATGCCATATATATATATAACAAATTTAAAACATTATAACAGGAATACGTTTACTTTCCAGTTGGCAGCTGAAATAGAACATGTAAAAACAGTTACAGAAAGCCAAGCATATATCATAACAACAAAGGATCGTCCGATCCGGCCTGACTTTGTTTGTAAACACTGTCTGACATTGTGACACCAACCTGATACGGCGGAGGAGGGCCGAGTGCTTGCTCGGCCCCATCTTGATTGTCATGACCTCGTAATAGCGATATGTCGTCTGTACTTGGTGTTTTAAAACAGTTCCCCATATTGTTTGGTAATGGCAAACGAGTAGACTATTAAATAAAGGTATATTCAATACACGTTTTCATTGTTCCTGGAACAGGTGACAAGTGAAAACATTCGCCTGATCACGCACATTCTTCCGCGAGTGACGTAAATGTCGGGCGAGATTTATTGCATCAAAATCTATACTTAACTAATTAATTAAACAAGGTACATATATTTATAACATGTATTTCCAGTATTATTGATAATTAAAACTAAAAACTAAAATTGAGGCATTTTGATTGTAGGATTATATTTTGCGTAGGAATATTTTTTATATCAAAACAAACCCAAAAATTAATTTGGTTTCGTATTTGTATGACGCATTATACGCCTAGACGTAATATGACGTCCAGAAACCTCTACATGACTCATTTTTCGCGCTTACAAATATTCGGTGGGAATAAATATGTTTTGTACGAAACAATTCATTGCTATGCGCAAATGTCAACGTAAAACAGGTGCTTGCATGCAAAGCACATAATTATAATATAAAGGAAGATATACATTGATCCAGATTCTACTTTCGGTTTCGTATACAATTGCAAGAGGGGTCTAATTTGAGAGATTTTCAAACATGCTTCGTCATATATAATCTCTTCCTTACGCAGGATCTTAAAATGTCTCTGTAACCAAAAAGGTAACTGTTATATATCTGATTTTCATCAATTGTGACATCCCACAAGTACCTGTTAAATCACGTTACTGATCTGGAACCAATCTAACTGAGTCCTTGTCAACATGTGAAGTTGTCTCAAGTTGAGTGAGTAACAGATTGTACACATAACAGTTAGTCACTTGCTATGTTGCTGTGTGCTAAATCTTAGATATCTAAATGTTAATTTCAATTGCCTCTATCTGACAAAACAATAACATGCCATAGCTGTGATGTATGCAATATTTCTATAATCTATTGGAATGTGAATATATTTCACACACAATAGAAGATTGCCTTCAGCTCTCAGTGGTACCAGGAATATGCTTTAGCATCATCATTGATATTCAGTCAAGTAAACTGTTTGTCTCTGTATTTTGTGCCCTATATAATTGTTCATGTTTGTTCTCAACAGAATCATTGTGACCTATACAAGTACTGTATACATGAGATATATTGCTTTCATTTCATCTTCAGATGTCCGATGTTGGAGTGAATATATAGCTTAGAAAGGGAGAGAGTCGGATTCATGGAGGTAGAACAGGAAGAAGGGGATACAGATGATTGGTGAGTTATGTCTATTAGGTGTGGAAGGATTTTTTATTGTAAAAAAAAAAATGTATATTACACATATATATATATATTTTATAAATAACAAGTATACTGCCTTTTGTGTTTGAACTTGTCTTGTTTTCTGTAGGCCACCGTATCTACTGGAGGACCTGCCCACAGAGGCTTTACTGGAGATATTCCAACACCTTGACTGGCAAAACCTTATGAATGTGTCGCAAACCTGCTCACGCTTCAGAGACCTCTGTCTAAAGGCAACACTATGGTAATACCTAGTTTATGATGATTCTGTCATAACTGTTCCTTGTCCTTTGCCTAATGCATAAATCCTGTCTAGGAACAATTCAGTGGTATAACCGATAATTGTCTGTTGTGGGAAGGTTACCATATATTTGACGACTAGAATAAATTACCCTATCAAGGTGACCCTATGGTAACTTGTAAGTGACTGATATGTTAATGTGACCCTGACCCATATTCATGAAACTGTTCTTATAATGCTCAAACTCGGTCAGATAGTGTGAGGGATATAGCTAGCTCTTGTTCGGAGTGGATTCATTTAGGAGTGGGTTTAGAGCATATGGCTCTGTTAGGAAGACAACGGGATACAACAAGCAGCGTTTTTGTTTTGGTTTTCTTTTTGAAATTTAGTGGACTCACCTGGGTACCAGCATATAAGCAACTACATGCCTGCATGGTATTGTGCTTATTAAGTCAAATTTCTTGTTCCAGTGATACATTAATAAAACGTCACATTTTGTCGATGATTAAGAAGAGTTTTGGAGATACTTATAAAGCTGAATTACTGTGTTCAATGATGCACTTGACTTTTAGACTGTGTCACAAGATTTAAGCAAGTAACAAGAAAGTTAGTTTGAGCACAGAATCCTTACGGAAGCATGAACATGTTTCGCGAAACTGGACATTTATGGTAACTAGTATTTGATCTCTGTGTGAATGACTGAATGTGACCCTTTGGTAACTAGTTATTAACACGTTTTTGAATTCGATCATTTAAAAAAATATAAAATTTGTGTAAATTATGTTTTTCAGGTTGCACATGAAACAGTTGGATTTCAGAAATTGTGCCATCCCGTATGATAGAAGTGTTCTACAGATAATGTCAAAGTGTCCAAATATTGGTAAGTTTGTTAGGGAAGACAACTCCTGTGTTAGCCCATATACCCTCTATATACTACAGGTCAGCTACTGGGCAGTTCTGTCCTGGACAAGCTGGTATAGCACACTGTTAGTTAACGCAAGGCTCAAAAATAAGGGAGACAACCTTCTATGAAATACTGTTGGAGAGAGAAAATCAGATTGAAATGCAAATAAGAAAATTGTATTCTTACATAATAACCTGGATAAGAAGCTGATATTATTAGTTTTTAATAATTTAAAACAGTGAAAAAGTTTTTTGAAGCACAATTATGAAACTCACTTAAGACCTACTAGCTCCCATCCCTCATTTGAGGTGGTAGTAACCTGTTAGCTTTATATTTTTTGATACATTTAGATTGAAAACAGGTGATATTGCCTTTGTATTATACAAGCGTGTAACAGAGGTGTTGTGTGCTGGTGAGTAATTACGGTTTTATCCACAGAGGTGTTGTGTACTGGTGAGTAATTACGGTTTTATCCACAGAGGTGTTGTGTACTGGTGAGTAATTACGGTTTTATTCACAGAGGTGTTGTGTCTGGGGGATGTACTACTGGAGGAAGAGGAAGAGGAAGAGGACATAGACATGTTAGAAACAAATCTTGTAGGCATCGACAAATTCTTTCTCAGTGTCCTCAAACAGAACATCCATGTAAAACAGCTTCATCTCAGCATGCATGGAGTCACCAACCGATCTGGTGGGTATGACAGGTTTCTACAAATAATCTGGTGGGTAAATCAAGGGTTTACACAACCAATCTGGTGGGTATGACAAGTTTCTACAAATAATCTGGTGGGTAAATCAAGGGTTTCTACAACCAATCTGGTGGGTATGACAGGTTTCTACAAATAATCTGGTGGGTAAATCAAGGGTTTATACAACCGATCTGGTGGGTATGACAAGTTTCTACATATAATCTGGTGGGTAAATCAAGGGTTTACACAACCAATCTGGTGGGTTGACCAGGGATTCTACAAATAATCTGGTGGGTAAATTAAGGGTTTACACAACCAATCTGGTGGGTTGACCAGGGATTCTACAACAGACTATAAAACTCTTTAATGTCTATAGGGGTACGTGTAAGATAGGGAAATCCCCCCAAATCTGTTTTCAAATTAGGTAAAATCTGAGGCTTGCAGAGGGTTTTGCACCAATTTAAAAATACAGAGGAAGGGATTTCCCTATCCTGCACTGCTGGGCTTGAAAGAGTATTAATCTCTCATTCCAATCAACAAAGTTAGCACAAACACGATGTTAATGTGCTTTGCTTGCTACCATTTAAAAAATATCAACTTTAAAATTTTCTCTTGAGATTTTTCGGACAAGAACAAACTACATATTTAGCATACCCAATTTGTTGAATTTTGTTTGCACACAAAAAATATTTACCCCTTCTATCCGACTCATATGGTTAATACATTGTTTAATATTCATTTTCATCTCTTTGGTAATTTCTGCATGGTAGCATTGGAGTTTTCTCAATTTTGTGAAGTCATTATTGTGGTCCAATTGTGATGTAACACACGTTAAATAGGGTGTATGGTAGACATTTCTTACACAACTTTCTTGCCCTGGATAAGTATCATACCCTCACAGGAATGAGAGAATTATACGACTATGACTGGTGGGTATACCTAGGGTTTTCATGACAGATCTGTTTTGTATGACAAGTTTCTACAACTGATCTGGAGAGTATGTCGTTTTCTACGGGTCATCCTCGATACCCCAGGGGATATGCTCACTTACAGTCTCGGCACCCATGGCATATGTCATGACAAAAAATGAAGGCAATATGCGGTTAACTGTATTATTAGTCTCGGGCAAAAAATATCTTGAACAGTCGCTAGACTGATACCTTTCCTTTGAAGATTACAGACTCAGGAGCAACACCCGACTCCAAAGTAAGTCAATTTTACTGTTACGCTACCGTGAGATTCTTTTGATGTTACATCTCAGGATCAAACTAGTCTTCATGTCTCATCCACAAGGTGACACACACCGAGCCTTCGATTTTGCTATGACATATTCGAGGGGTGCAGAGAGCGTAAGTGAGCATAACCCCTGGGGTATCATGGGTGTCTTTGGGTCTCCTTATGTATAAACGTGGAAATGATTTGTTGGTAATTTAACTTTAGACTGATGTGAATTAACACTTGTTATTTACCTAGTGGAGGCCATCTGTGCGAAGTGTACAGAGCTACAACACATTGTGATAGAGGACAGCGAACACATCAACAGAGATGCACTCACTGACCTTGTCAGCAGCATACCAGGCCTCCAGGAACTACATGTCAACAAGTAAGTGACCTCTGACCTCTGACCTCTCACAGAACTCATGTATATGATTAATTGACTTTTTGTTTTGGACATGAAACCTTTGAAATTTAGCTGGATACATTACTGATGATTTTGCATTCGAGATTTTCGTTTATTTTTCATTAGATTAGCTTTTTATCTGAATGATTTGCTGGTGTATGAAAATCACATTTTTTATAAAGTAAAATGCAGCTTTCTTTATAAAAAGTACCCCATTACATATTTGCCAAGCCCACAATAAATTGGAAGTAAACTTTCTGTTCAGGCAACAGATAACAGTTTTACTGGTGAGAATGTTTTATGTTTATTTCAGTTGTGGGGGTGTGATGTATCCAGAAATATCAAACCAGGATCCTAGTCAGAAACTCGGCCTGACCACACTCAGGTGAGTTGGTCATTGTTTTTTGGGGGGTTTGTTTTTGGAGAATAGGGGGGCTCATGTAGTCTCTGGCATCCCACTTCAATGAGGTTAAAGTTTTTTGGGCAAGTGTTGGCTCATCATACTCAATACACTGTTGTATGTTATAAGGTTGGAGCATTTAATTATAAGGAGTGCAATGTGCTGAGCCATATTATCATATTTTCGGGGCCAAAACTGGTTAATTAAACTTGGTTAAAGTTTTTGGGCAAGCTTGAGGTTAAAGTTTTTTTGTGAAATGTTGGATCACCACCATCAATAGGCTGTTGTCAATTATAAGGTTGAAATATTTATATGGAGTGTAAGCAATGTTCTGAACCATATTTTTATATTTTAGGTGAGTTGGACTTGGTTTAAGTTTTGAGGCTAGTTTGCTTGTGTAGTGTTGTATCGGTCACCCCCATCAATACGCTGTTGACTATTTCAAGTTGTCTGGTCATCTCTTCTTTTGAAATGTACAACATGTTAAGGAGCAACAAAACCTTGTTATATTGCCACCATTTGTTAAAAGAAATCTTGGCATTATAAAGGGGTTTGGCAATAAATTGAGGGAAACCAATGAAGGAATTCTTCAGAAAAACATAATTAAGATACCTGAAAATATGTTGGCGGTAAGCAAGGTGGCAAATGAAATGATGAGCATTATATCAAGGTTTTACTGTACGTGTGTTCCTATTGATATTTGTGGTCTTATAATAACATATATCACCAATAGGCGAGTTATGCTGTCCTCCAACAGCTCTTGTCTAACAGTGAATCAACACTTGTTGTGGGTTTATCTGATGGGGTCTATGAGTCACCCATTGTCTGGTAGGTCTGACATGACTCATGTGAGTCTTCCATGATTTTTGAGTGATGAGTCACCTGTTGACCCAACTTTTTCACTTAGGAGTAAGTCAGACAGGAATCGTGTGTGTCTTTCATTGTTTCTGAGTCACCCATTGTCTGGTTGGTCTGACATGACTCATGTGAGTCTTCCATGATTTTTGAGTGATGAGTCACCTATTGACCCAACTTTTTCACTTAGGAGTAAGTCAGACAGGAATCGTGTGTGTCTTTCATTGTTTCTGAGTCACCTATTGTCTGGTTGGTCTGACATGACTCATGTGAGTCTTCCATGGCTTTTGAGTGATGAGTCACCTATTGACTCAACTTTTTCCTTTTAGGAGTAAGTCAGACAGGAGTCGTGTGTGTCTTTCATTGTTTCTGAGTGAAGAGTCTCCCATTGTTTTTGAGCTGTGAGTCACCTATTGTTATTTTTATGTAGGGTGTTTTCTGACAGAACTCATTCAAGTCATCCATTATTCATGAGGGAGTCACATTTGTTTGATTGGGGTGTGTCTAAATCGACTCATACACATTTCCTTTTATCCATGAGTGATGAGCCCTCTATTGTTTGAAAGAGTCACTGTTTTAAGGGTCAGAATACACTCAAGTGAGTCTAGCGAGTCTAATTGGATTATGTCTGGTTGGACTCGAGTGAGTCACCCATTATTCATTGAGGTGTGTCGTCCATTGTTTGTTTAGAGCAACAAAATGCCTATTGTTTGTAACCAATGAGTCAATGTTAGTAAGGGATGTGGCTAAAGAGTTCAAGAGTGTCGACCCTAATTTTTGAAGGACATGTCTGATCAAGATTTAATGTATCAGGTATGTCTTTCTTAATGGTGTTTATTAATGTTTCTCGTTATAACCCCCACTTAGTGGAAGGGGTTATATAATATTAATCGCTTGGTCATTATGTGCCCCAGAAGTAAAATGCTTGTGAACAAGATATCTCATAAACTCCTCAACCAAATTCAGTTCATATATATATATCAAAGTATGGTAAAGTCAAATTCTACACCTGATTGGGCTTTGGTTGTCAAAGGGTCAAAAGTTCCACTTGACCACTTGGAAAGTAAAAATCTGGGGTACACCGTAGCTCACGAACCCCACATCAGATTCATTTCATATTTACAACATAGTGTGACAATATCAAGTTCTATACCCCGTTAGATTTTCGTGGTCATCTGTCAAAGTTAAAAAGTCAAAGGCACTTGACCACTTTGTGTTTGTGTTTCTCTCAATCACTTTCTATGTGTTCTAATTGTTTTCTGTTATTTGTTTTCACATTTTAGTTTGATCGGCACAGCTCTTTCAACAGAAGATGTAAGCACACTCCTAAAAAACTGTCCAGCGTTGTGTGACCTTGACCTCAGTGACACCTATGACTTAACCTGCTTTCCAAGTGATGTATTACCCGTGAGTATAGACCAGCTGTTTTCATAACAAACTCAAACAATTATTTCATGTTAAGGATCCTCTTACCACTGTCGAAAAATGAAACTATCCATTCAAAACTTATTTTTCTGGCATGGCTATAACTTTGATAAATCATTTTTGAAAAGAAAAATATACCTTGCAGGACTTTTATGAAAACTTAATGGACATGAAATAATAAGAATATATTCAACAAACGTGTTATAAGTGTAAAAGTGTGTCACTATTCTATGAGCCCAGACGGTATTCAAACCCTGGACTTCAGATTAGTATACCATCACTTAAACCAATTCAGCTACCTGTTCATCAGAAGCATACGATTCCAAATATCAAAAGGGATATTAAGGGGAAGTTACTGTGTATCTGAAAATCTGCAGTGCAGTGGGACAGGGATCCTTGAGTTAGCTATAGCTATCAGAAAATGGAACCTTTTTAAATGTTTTTTCATTCAAACTGCTTTCCATACTTGCCAACTCTCCATATTTAGGAGGGATACTCCCAATTTTGAACCCTCAAATTTAGTATTTTCAACCATTGAGTTTGCAAAACTATACCCATATTCTGAGATCTAATGATTTCATCTGAAAGAACAACTAAAAATATGTCATTTTAAAGGGTGATTTTGTCTCTGGGGGTATATACACATATTTTATATATGTTTTACTTTTGAGCATGCAAAATCTCCCCCCATGAAAATTTCAAAAAGTTAGCAAGTATGGCTTTCTGAAATAGGAAATAATGTACAACAAGAGTACATTCTGCTGAGGTTTATTGTGAATGGTCATGCAATTTTAGCTGTTATATAATCTTAACACATATATTTCTACATCAAACAAGACACAGAGGAGTGGCTTAGACACCCTGCAGTCCCTCAGACTCCGAAACAGCAGAGGTAAGTTGTTTACATTAACTTAAAATTTGAGCCAGCAGAGCTAATTGTATATTCCATGCGCATGGCTTATTCGAGCAATGTAACAATTCAAAATATTGGTCATAATTTTAAAGTTAAAACGTTATACTATTTTAATATTATTTAATACTGAAGTGAAGTTTATATAAGAGTTGAATTGGTAGTCTTATAGAAAGTTTGTGGTGGGTGGATCTAAAAAGTATTTCCAAAATTATGTTGTATGTACCGTATAACATGTACTAGTAACTAGGCAGCAGAAGTCATTAAAATCAATGAAGCGTAAAACATAGGTCAAAATCAGCATCCGCAACATGCATTCAGTAGAACACTATAGATACACAATTGATGCAAGTATAATCAACATTTCACTTGTAGTAGGAATGATATAGATGAGAGAAATTCTTCCTATAACCAGATGCATGGACAGACCCCATTTCTATATTCCCTGCCAACTCGTTGAGCAGGGTATATATAATAACATGGAACAAAAACTGATAACGTTGTCTTCAAGTCTCTTTATTACCTTGATGTTTCCTGTGGAAATCATGTCCTGAAGAACCTTTTTAGCAGTTAGACATTAGAACAAGTCCACTACGTAAGATAAATTGTATTGCGATGAGTCCTACTATTTATGTAACCAACTTCAGGACTACAGGACTTGACCCTCGAACACTGCCCACAGCTGAGGATGGTGGACGTACGTGGATGTATGGGTCTCACCTCCCTTAAGCTCTCCTGTCCCAGAGGTAAGTAAAATCGCATACATATGCTCTCAAAACTAACCAACACCTTATCTATTGGCTTTCCTATCCCAAAGTAGCCAGCACGTGTATAGTACATCTTTTAGATACTCTCTGAGATACGTAGACTATTCTTTTGTAAATAAGTCAAACTTTGATGTTAATTTTCCGGGACCATTGGGGAAAATCGAGACTTTGACTCTCGAATGTTGAACTTTGAACATCTTTTAGATCTTTATAAACATTTGTACTGCAATAAGACCAAATGTGATTGTTAAGTAACTGAATGAAAGGCATAGGTTTTTACGTTTTTTGGCTGTTTCAGAAAACTTGAGATTAGTTTTCAAGTTATATGTGTAGAGGGTCCCCTTTGTATCCTGTTGATTTGTTTTACTCCGCAGTTGAAGACGTACTCCTGGAGGATGTCAACCAACTGAAGGAACTGTTGTTGTCACCTTGTAACATGGTCAAAGTCAAGGTCACTGATCATGCTAGTTTGAAGAGTCTAGAGGTCACCAGTCCTGTCCTAGAGTCTGTCAGCCTCTGTAACTGTCCACTGTGAGTATATATGTTTCTGGCAGCAAAAATGTTGTGTAAAGCAGACTTTGGGTATTGATTATAATAGATGATAAATGTTAACTGTATTGGCTATTATTGATAAGCTATTTCCTTCATCGATTTCATATGTAAATAATTTGATTGCTATTTTTTTACTGTTACTCTTTTAGATTATCAACAGATACCTTGGTGTCTAATGTGAAGGAGCGTCATAACATCACCAAACTCATTCTAAACAAATGTATAAACATTCCACCCGAGGATCTCAACCTCTTCATTCTGCCAGCAGTAAGTGACAAATACTCAGACTACAAATCCCTATACTGCCAGCTGTAAGTGACATATACTCATGACTACAATCCTCCCTATACTGCCAGCAGTAAGTGACAAATACTCAGACTACAAACCTCCCTATACTGCCAGCTGTAAGTGACATATACTTATAGACTACAAACCTCCCTATTCTGCCAGCAGTAAGTGTCATATACTAATAGACTAAAAACCTCCCTATACTGCCAGCTGTTAGTGTCATATACTCATAGACTACAAACCTCCCTATACTGCCAGCAGTAAGTGACAAATACTCAGACTACAAACCTCCCTATACTGCCAGCAGTAAGTGACAAATACTCAGACTACAAACCTCCCTATACTGCCAGCTGTAAGTGACATATACTCATAGACTACAAACCTCCCTATTCTGCCAGCAGTAAGTGTCATATACTAATAGACTAAAAACCTCCCTATACTGCCAGCTGTTAGTGTCATATACTCATAGACTACAAACCTCCCTATACTGCCAGCTGTAAGTGTCATATACTCAGACTACAAACCTCCCTATACTGCCAGCTGTAAGTGTCATATACTCAGACTACAAACCTCCCCATACTGCCAGCTGTAATTGTCATATACTCATTGACTTCAAACCTCCCTATACTACCAGCTGTAAGTGTCATATACTCATAGACTACAAAACTCCCTATACTGCCAGCTGTGAGTGTCATATACTCAAGACTATAAACCTCCCTATACTGCCAGCTGTTAGTGTCATATACACATAGACTACAAACCTCCCTATACTGCCAGCTGTAAGTGTCATATACTCAGACTACAAACCTCCCTATACTGCCAGCTGTAATTGTCATATACTCATAGACTACAAACCTCCCTATACTGCCAGCTGTGAGTGTCATATACTCAAGACTATAAACCTCCCTATACTGCCAGCTGTTAGTGTCATATACTAATAGACTGCAAACCTCTCTATACTGCCAGCTGTGGGTGTCATATACTAATAGACTACAAACCTCTCTATACTGCCAAGTGTAAGTGTCATATACTCAGACTACAAACCTCCCTATACTGCCAGCTGTTAGTGTCATATACTCATAGACAACATAAATGACATTTGAGCTCTACAGGACCTGTGGGCCTCTTACTTGAAAGTCACATGCGTGTGATATAAGAACAAGGTGAATCACCAACTCAAAGTAAAAGAAAAGATATATGTCATGTTGTTAAAAAACAAATCAAAATCACAATACTTAATTCTTTTCTGTTGATATGCCTATATTAATTTGTTGCCATTTTGATTTCAGTTTCCAAACTTAAGTTGTCTGTCATACAGTGGCCATGCTTGGAGTGACGTACAGATAACCAGCTCTCAAATCGACACTCTGATGTTTGGGGTAGGTTCATATTGTATAAAGCGGGTTCCTGGACTTAAGGATCCCTGTAACACTGCCAAAAACTGTAACTATCCATTGTAAATTGCTTTATCTGGCATGACTGTAGCTTTGATAGAGTATTTTTGGAAAGAATACCATACCTTGCAGGATGGTACGTGAAAAAGTAATGAAGACTAATTAAAAAAATAATCGTAATAACTGTGTTCTGACTGTAAAATAAAAATGGGATTAGAGCAGGGTTCAAAACCTAGACTTCATGTTATGATTCTGTTTCTCTGACCTGGTCAATGAAAATATACTTGCTCAGTTGCACTACAGTAAATCCAAAACGAAATGAAGAGGAGGTTATGATGTATACAAAAAAAACTACAGTGGAATTCTCTAGTGGTTTGCCTGCAATGGGGAAAATATGGGGAAAATGTCTGCAACTTAGGTTTCGTTCCAGTCACTGTTGTGATAACTCCAGGGCTAAGCATAGAAATGCAATTGGTTTACAGAATTAAATCATGTACCAGTGGAGCATCATTGACCTAGACTTATTGTTTACAAAGAAATCTCCAACTTAAGATCTATATAATAAATAACGGTTGATTTCCATATGGAAAACAAAATAACTGTCAGCTGAAAAACATTGTCACTCTCGGTCCAAACATTTCGGCCTCCAGGCCATTCTTAAAAGAAGGCAACAGGGCAAAAATCAATGATGGATTCAAGTTACGTCCATCTTGCTTCTTTGGAAGTACAGAAAATTACATACCAAAACGTTTCCTCTACTTCCGAAGAAGCAAGATTGACCTAACTTGAATCCATTGTTGACTTTTGCCCTTGAAGAAGGCCAGGCAGGTGAAATATTGGGACCGAGAGTGACAATTGTTTTAATCATTTAGATCGATATCTTTTAGGAAAAGTAACAATATATCATAAGAATAGAAGCTAATTCAGATATAGATGCGATTGTTGAAGTATATAGATATTTTATCATTAATACAAGAAGCATGATTGGAGTAATTATTAAGTAGATATACTGACTTTTTTTAATCAGGACTGTCTCAATGTGACTGGTCTCCCTGTCAACATTCCGTCCCTTCAGAAACTGTCACTGTTCCGGTGTCGTGACATCACGGAGAGTGAGCTGGTCAATGGCCTGCTATTTGGAAACCAGGTAAGTCCCATTTAACTGATGTTGGTTCATGTTTAACCTTGAGCATGACAATAGATATTCCTTGTGTTTCAATTTCATCTCTCTATACAACATGTTTTTCCCGTATAAGAGGAGATAAGACATGTTTTACATGAAATCCGGGTGTGTCATATTATGCCACCTCCACAACAAAGTAAGAGAGACCTGAAGCAGAAACCAGACTGAATTTGGGGCAAAATATATAAATGAGGGAGATAGAAAATAAAATTGATGTAGTGTATTTATAGTGGAAAAAATATTTTGACATAGATTGATAAAATTTGAAGCAGAGTTTCTTGTGATTATGGGTGTTAATTTGATTCAGGGTTGGGTAAAAAAATTACTGTTTCATATAGGGATAGATGGAAAATGATAATTTCATACAGGGAGTGTTAGTATGGCTTAATGTTGGTTCTAGCGCCCGGGCAACCTTGTCTTGGACAACAGAGTTAAAAAGGCTTAAAATATGTAAAAGCAGTAAAAATCGGTCACCATGGAAACCTCTTTTACCTTGTGAATGTGTACATTTCACCTTGGCACTTCAGGCTCTTGACAACCACAATAAGTTGACCCCTACAGGGAAGACTCAGGTGACCTTGGAACCGTTCTCTGAGAACACAGGAACACCACACCTGAAGGAGCTCATGTTGAGTGAAATGGTCGGAATCCATGGCAACATGCTGTCAGGGGCCATGTCCAATTTCCAGGATCTGACGCGGCTTGAGCTGATCAACTGTGCGCGTCTAGCTCAGTAAGTCTGGCTCATTGCACTAATTATTGCATAACAAAATATTGTTGAGGAAGTTTGTTAATTTTGAATTTGTGCAAAATAGAACACTGTTTGATGGTTTTATCCTCAAACTCCCACCTCCGGATCCCTTTTAGAATTGAGAATAACTAGAATGTCCGTCATCATTATACCCATTTGTCTAGTTGGTAACCTTTCTCAATTGTTACCTTGCTAGGTTGAGTTTATGTGACTGCGCCAATCTAACCCATGTGGTGGTACGCAGTTGTAACAGACTGACCAAGATGGTCATTCAGCGGTCGGCACCCTGTGTACAAACTGTGGAATTGAAGGTAAGCCGAGTTACGTACGCCTAGGCTATTTTATTATCTGTTCTGTTGTAAAAAAAAAAAAAAAATATACCTGGCTTGTGAAAAAATTTGTGTAGGACAGATTTCATCATGAACACTAAGATTAAAATGTATTTATCTTCAACTCTGTTAGACACCATGTTGTGTTAAGGCCATCTGTGTGACCATTATTTCTAAGCATGACACATTTATTTCTGGAATCAAGATACTGTTTAGCACTTATATTTACTGTGTAGCACTTGTATTTATTGTTTATCAGATATATATGCAGTATAGTACATATATTTACTTCTTACCACATATTTAGTGAACAGTACTTATATTTACTTGTATCTTATATTCTGAGTAGCACATATATTTACTTTATACTAGTAGTACCTTAATTGACTTCCCTGTTAAGTACTACTTATCTTAGCACATTTTTCACGATATAGCTCTATATTTACTGTATAGCACTTATATTTACTGTATAGCTCTTATATTTACTGTATAGCACTTATAGTTACTGTGTAACACTTCTACTTGCATTTAATTGTACATCACTGAAATATTGATTGTTTAAAACTGTATATGATTTATGATGTACATGTAAACAGTGCTCATATTTTCTGTAGATTTTGTTTACCTTGTAATATAATTGATGATGGCAGACAAAATTTGAACCGTATAAAATATGATTTGCTCTAGGAACAAAAGCATGAAATGAAATATTTTACAGCACTTAAGCACTGAGAAATGTGTTGTTACATTACAGTGGTGTGGTATGGTGGAACATTTCTCGTGTAATGGGAACAGACTTCACTCTCTAAGTGTATTAGCCACCAACTTTGTACACTTCTCTGTGTCCAGTACTTCCCTGACCACACTGGCTCTAACTGGTGTCCTCACTCAGACTGGACACTCCCTCACTGTAAAGTAAGTAGGTCAAACTGGATACTCCCTCATTGTAGAGTGAAGTAGGTCAAGCTGAACACTCCCTCACTGTAGAGTAAATAGATCAAGCTGAACACTCCATCACTGTAGAGCAAGTATGTCAAACTTGACACTCCCTCACTGTAGAGTAAGTAGGTCAAACAGGACACTCCATCACTGTAGAGTAAGTAGGTCAAACTGGACACTCCCTCACTGTAGAGTAAATAGGCCAAGCTGGACACTCCATCACTGTAGAGTAAGTAGGTCAAACTGGACCCTCCCTCACTGTAGAGACTAGAGTAAGTAGGTCAAACTGGACACTCTCACTGTAAAGAAGATCAGACTGGACTCTCCCTCACTGTAGAGTAAATAGATCAAGCTGAACACTCCCTCACTGTAGAGTAAATAGATCAAGCTGAACGCTCCATCACTGTAGAGTAAGTAGGTCAAACTGGACACTCCGTCACTGTAGTGTAAGTAGGTCAAACTGGACACTCCCTCACTGTAGAGTAAGTAGGTCAAACAGGACACTCCCTCACTGTAGAGTAAGTAGGTCGAACAGGACACTCCCTCACTGTAGAGTAAGTAGGTCAAAAAGGACACTCCCTCACTGTAGTGTAAGTAGGTCAAACAGGACACTCCCCCACTGTAGTGTAAGTAGGTCAAACTGGACACTCCATCACTGTAGAGTAAGTAGGTCAAACGGGACACTCCCTCACTGTAGTGTAAGAAGGTCAAACAGGACATTCCCTCACTTTAGTGTAAGAAGGTGAAACAGGACACTCCCTCACTGTAGTGCAAGTAGGTCAAACTGGACACTCCCTCACTTTAGTGTAAGTAGGTCAAACTGGACACTCACTCACTGTAGAGTAAGTAGGTCGAACAGGACACTCCCTCACTGTAGAGTAAGTAGGTAAAACTGGACACACCCTCACTGTGAGTAAGTAGGTCAAGATGGATACTCTCTCATTGCAGAGTAAGTAGGTCAAACTGGACACTCCCTCACTGTAGAGTAAGTAGGTCGAACTGGAAACTCCCTCACTGTAGTGTAAGTAGGTCAAACTGGACACTCCCTCACTGTATTATAGGTAGGTCAAACTGGACACTCCCTCACTTTAGTGTAAGTAGGTCAAACTGGACACTCCCTCACTGTAGTTAAAGAAGGTGAAACAGGACACTCCCTCACCGTAGTGTAAGTAGGTCAAACTGGACACACCCTCACTGTATTATAGGTAGGTCAAACTGGACCCTCCCTCACTTTAGTGTAAGTAGGTCAAACTGGACACTCCCTCACTGTAGAGTAAGGAGGTCAACCTGGCCACTTCCTCACTTTAGAGTTAGTAAGACATACTGGACGCGCCCTCACTTTAGAGTAAGTAAGACATACCGGACGCTCCCTCACTGTAGAGTAAGTAGGTAAAACTGGACACACCCTCACTGTGAGTAAGTAGGTCAAGATGGATACTCTCTCATTGCAGAGTAAGTAGGGCAAACTGGACACTCCCTCACTGTAGAGTAAGGAGGTCAACCTGGACACTTCCTCACTTTAGAGTTAGTAAGACATACTGGACACTCCCTCACTTTAGAGTAAGTAAGACATACCGGACGCTCCCTCACTGTAGAGTAAGTAGGTAAAACTGGACACACCCTCACTGTGAGTAAGTAGGTCAAGATGAATACTCTCTCATTGCAGAGTAAGTAGGTCAAACTGGACACTCCCTCACTGTAGAGTAAGGAGGTCAACCTGGACACTTCCTCACTTTAGAGTTAGTAAGACATACTGGACACTCCCTCACTTTAGAGTAAGTAAGACATACCGGACACTCCCTCACTGTAGAGTAAGTAGGTAAAACTGGACACACCCTCACTGTGAGTAAGTAGGTCAAGATGAACACTCTCTCATCGTAGAGTAAGAAGGTCAAACTGGACAAGTAAGTGTATATGACCTGGCCTGAAAAATTGTTAAAAATCCTCTCAGAAACTCTCAAATGCTGAACTGTTACATTGACTTCTATAGACATATCATTGCTGTTATCACTGACCATGCTTCGTATTTCCAGTTGTCCACACCTAACCTCCCTGTCCCTACAAAAGTGTGACCTACTGACCACTGTCCAGCTGAGACACCTACTGAACCATGCAGCTGAACTGATCGCTGTGGATGTCAGGGGTTCTTCCTCACTAAGGTATCAGCAGACCTCTAGATCTCTGTGTAAATTGTATCATATATATTTTCTTTTCATCTACCATACTTTTCCATTAAGAAGTTGAAGAGTATTGTAGATGAATAGAAATTATGATCTGATTTTAATAAGATCACACAATATATCTATTGGTACAATTTGTATCATATGTCATTAAAAGTGAATTGAAGTATCTTAAAATTTCAATTTTACGTCCAGATATTGTGCGATGGATTTTGTGTTTCAAAATTCATTAATACTTTGTATAAGAATTTTATTCCTTAGCATCCTGTATAGTTTTTGCTGCAGTTTCATTTTTGCCTTTTTCACCCTTTGGAATGATGGCAAATTTATCATTACAGTGAAAACAACATAATTTACATAGTAATTAAATGTGAAAGGCGAAATCAACAATGGGCTAAAATGGATTTCACTGGCAAAGGGTGAAAGACTGGGCAAAAATTTCCCGGTACACAGCATACATATTTCTCTCCTTTAATGACTTTAAGAGCTTCTTTAGCAATTGGGACCGTGACTGTGTTTCAGAATTGTTAATATCTTGATACTTATTATTGTTGAAGAATTCTAGCTACAACAGCAGTCCCATGGTTCGCGACCTTTGCTGATTGACAAGTATGTTTTCTTGACAGTTCTCTAGAGGTTCCTGGAGGAGTAAAGACATGCTATCTTATGGGCCACAGAAAGCTCCAGGAAATCTCGGTTCAGCATCCGATACAGCTGTCCCGCATCACGCTAAACAACCTTCCTAAGGTATAACTGGTCTATATATACAAGTTAGAGGTGTCCCGCATCACGCTAAACAACCTTCCTAAGGTATAACTGGTCTATATATACAGGTTAGAGGTGTCCCGCATCAGGCTAAACAACATTCCTAAGGTATTACTGGTCTATATATACAGGTTAAAGGTGTCCCGTATCACACTAAACAACCTTCCTAAGGTATTACTGGTTTATATATACAGGTTAGAGGTGTCCCGCATCACACTAAACAACCTTCCTAAGGTATAACTGGTCTATATATACAGGTTAGAGGTGTCCCGCATCACGCTAAACAACCTTCCTAAGGTATAACTGGTCTATATATACAGGTTAGAGGTGTCCCGCATCACGCTAAACAACCTTCCTAAGGTATAACTGGTCTATATATACAGGTTAGAGGTGTCCCGCATCACGCTAAACAACCTTCCTAAGGTATAACTGGTCTATATATACAGGTTAGAGGTGTCCCGCATCACGCTAAACAACCTTCCTAAGGTATAACTGGTCTATATATACAGGTTAGAGGTGTCCCGCATCACGCTAAACAACCTTCCTAAGGTATAACTGGTCTATATATACAGGTTAGAGGTGTCCCGCATCACGCTAAACAACCTTCCTAAGGTATAACTGGTCTATATATACAGGTTAGAGGTGTCCCGCATCACGCTAAACAACCTTCCTAAGGTATAACTGGTCTATATATACAGGTTAGAGGTGTCCCGCATCACGCTAAACAACCTTCCTAAGGTATAACTGGTCTATATATACAGGTTAGAGGTGTCCCGCATCACGCTAAACAACCTTCCTAAGGTATAACTGGTCTATATATACAGGTTAGAGGTGTCCCGCATCACGCTAAACAACCTTCCTAAGGTATAACTGGTCTATATATACAGGTTAGAGGTGTCCCGCATCACGCTAAACAACCTTCCTAAGGTATAACTGGTCTATATATACAGGTTAGAGGTGTCCCGCATCACGCTAAACAACCTTCCTAAGGTATAACTGGTCTATATATACAGGTTAGAGGTGTCCCGCATCACGCTAAACAACCTTCCTAAGGTATAACTGGTCTATATATACAGGTTAGAGGTGTCCCGCATCACGCTAAACAACCTTCCTAAGGTATAACTGGTCTATATATACAGGTTAGAGGTGTCCCGCATCACGCTAAACAACCTTCCTAAGGTATAACTGGTCTATATATACAGGTTAGAGGTGTCCCGCATCACGCTAAACAACCTTCCTAAGGTATAACTGGTCTATATATACAGGTTAGAGGTGTCCCGCATCACGCTAAACAACCTTCCTAAGGTATAACTGGTCTATATATACAGGTTAGAGGTGTCCCGCATCACGCTAAACAACCTTCCTAAGGTATTACTGGTCTATATATACAGGTTAGAGGTGTCCCGTATCACGCTAAACAACCTTCCTAAGGTATAACTGGTCTATATATACAGGTTAGAGGTGTCCCGCATCACGCTAAAGAACCTTTCTAAGGTATTACTGGTCTATATATACAGAGTAAAGTGCCCAACCATCATACCAACATAAATCTTCCAAAGGTAGAACTAGTATAGAAGGCTTGGGTGCCTTACAACAACATTCAACATCCAACATCCGACTTAAGATAGAACTAAACATCCTCGATATCCAGGGGTATCCAGAGGGGTGCAGAGAGCGTAAGTGAGCGTAACTCCTGGAGTATCGAGGATGTTCAACATCCTTCCTAAGGTGAAATAGTATAGAGAGCTAAAGGTATGTGCTCAAGCATCACACTCAACCTATCCCTTCTTGAAAATCTAAGTGTTCCACTTTTGATATACATACTTCTCTGCACATTTGGAATATGCTATGACAATATCAAAGGCAAACAGTTTTATTATTTCATTCTTTTAACTTATTCACCCCTAAAGACCCATTTGAACTCTTCCAATTCAATGGTAAGAATAGTTCATTATGAAGTTTCAGGGGTGAATGAGTTAATATATATTGAAGGTTTGTTTTGTTTAGTTGAATGTCCTATCAGCAGCTAAGGTCATTTAAGGACTTGCCTCGATGTGTGTTGTGTATGCTAGCTTGTGTGTATGTGTACTGGAGACGGTAGGTTGGTGTATTTGCCTTCTTGCGTCAGAGTAGATTTGATGCCAACTTAATAGTGTTAACTTACTGAAATACACTACTGATAGCACCCAACGTAGTACAATGTACATTGTATTCCACCTGGTCACATTATTCTGACAACAAGTTTAACAAAGGATCAAACCAGTTTACTTGTATCATCAACAAGGTAGCACATACAGATATTCCTAGGGTGTCGAGTTGACACGTGTATCGACAGCAGAACACATGGGTTTCGAAGATGCAACCTATATACCTAACCATGGTACTTAAACAGGGCAAAAGGAAGAGGTCCACATTTTATGATTTACTATATCTAGTTCATTGTGGACTTAACTTGATTATAATGTTTTTTTCTCCTAGTTTGTTCCAAACCAGCGTATGACCCTCCTGAAGGCCTGTGAGGATACCCTGACTGTGTTAGACTTGCGAGCTATACCAGGGGAGACAAATCTTGTGATTCAACTGAAAAATTTAGAATCATTGACACTTGATCAGGGCCTCTACCTCGACCGTCTCGGTAAGTCACACATCTTGTCACGTGTCACTTCTATTCCTCTTGTCACACAGGTCACTGATAGATCTATGTTGACACTAATCATTACTAGGTGTCTTTAAATTTGCTTTTCACACATGCTTGTTTTCTTGTCCCGTCATCACTGCTAAACCTCTCGTCTCATTACCACTATAGCTATCTGTTTCACTGTTATCTTGTCCACCTTGCTTCAAGTAAAATACTTCTAGGTTTTGCTTTGTAAACAATTTTTTATTTAATTAATGAATATAATAATTCAACTTTTTATGATTTTATTGAAACAACTCTTCTTACTTTCAATTTCAGAGATTCTTTGCCCGAAGTTGACCTACCTAAGGATACAGGTATGATGATATCTATATTCTGTGCATCTTAAGTTTCATAAATCTTGTTTTCTATGTATCCTGCATGTATTTTGATTCAATGCAAACTGATGGAAAATGGCATTTTTGAATAGCATTGTTGTTTCAATTAGCATGATACATGTACTTATGACAGTGGTTAATGACAATCTCGTTTCCTGTACAGGGTTGTCCAAAACTTTGGCATCTGACCATAGAACTGGACCGACTGTCCCAGCTACAAATTACACACAGCTCACCACTGCTAGCCCTAAGGTCCATGGAGCTACATACATCACGCGTCACCTACCTCGCCAAGGTCATAGCATACGTAAGTAGATTGACCTTCATTTCCCTGTGTGACCTATTTGTCAAAGTTATAGAATATGAAAGCAGAGTGACCTTCATTTCTGTGTGAGACATATCTGCCAAGGTCATAGCATTTGCATGTAGAGTGTCCTTCATTCCCATGTGATTTAACTTTCAAGGTCATAGTATATGTGAGTAGAGTGACCTTCATTCCTGTGACTCACCTGCCAAGGTCATAATGTATGTAAGTAGAGTGACCTTCATTCCCAGGTGATTACCCTGTCAAGGTCATAGTTCATGTGAGAAGAGTGACCTTCATTCCCATACGACTTCCCTGTCAAGGTCATTGTATTGTGAGTACAGTGACCTTCATTCCCTGGTGATTTACCTGTCAAGGTCATAGTATATATGGGTAAAGTGACCTTCATCCACCTCACATATCACATACCTACATTATATGATGTACCTTACTGCTGATTATAGATCTGACCACTGATCAAGTCACTCTTTGATGTCTTCCCCCAACCAGTGCAGATTCCATTGTTTTTGGTTACTATTTTAACAAAGATCTCTCTTGTGATATGTTGATGCTCTTCAATGTTTCAGTACTGTCCCAAGTTGGAGATTCTGAAGCTGTACAAAACCTATGTAACTCAAGGTCAGTAAATGTTACTCAAGGTCTGTCATTGTAGATCAAGATCAGTATATACATGTATATATAAATGAGTCAGGATCAGTATATGTAGCTTGAGGTCAATAAAAATGTCAAGGTCATTTTAGTATAACTCAAGTAGACAGTTCACAAAGTTCAAGGTCAGTAGTGTGAATTCAAGGTCAATGTACACTTAGGTTCACTATTTGTCAGGTTTATACATTATTCCTACATTAAGGTAATCACAATTACTGTACTTCAATGATCTCTTGGTTCTAGATTTAATGAACGGGGGTTATGATAAATAAGGTTTAAACTCATGTTGGTGTCCACTGTATACGGATAGACCAGGAACTGAGGCTCTACTTACTAGCCAGCCATACTATGTAACTGTCAAAATAGTGTTGTTTTATTGTGCTGAGAGTGTGATATCTTTCTTTTTTCAGAAATGATCAATAAGCTTGGTAGCCTCATTCCAACCCTGAAGAAGTTAAGTTTATATGGTTGTCATGGTTACACAAGCATTGGGTGCGGGTCTGTGAACCCTGGTTCTACATCTCTCTACATCACAAGTCAGGATATCCCGGGCTCCTGACACCAGGTCACTCCTATAGACTTGTCAGCTGCTGTTGACAGAAAATGCTGCAGGGATAGATAACTACCCGAGATAGACAGTAAGGCATGCTGCAAGGATCCCATACCAAAATCAGCTACCCAGGAGCACATGTGCTGCACATAAGTTTCACATAAATAGCTGAGATAGACAAGAAGGCATGCTGCAGGGATAGATAACTAGCAGAGATATATAACAAGGCATGCTGCAGGGTTAGATAACTAGCCGAGATAGACAAGAAGGCATGCTGCAGGGATAGATAACTAGCAGAGATATACAACAAGGCATGCTGCAGGGTTAGAAAACTAGCCGAGATAGACAACAAGGCATGATGCAGGGATAGATAACTAGCCGAGATAGACAACAAGGCATGCTGCAGGGATGGACAGTTGGGAATGCTGTACGGGGACAAAAGGCTGGCTATAGAGAAACACATCCATGTGTGCTGCAGAGATTGACAACTTGGTATGCTACAAAGATAATCAACTATACATGCTGCAGAGATTATATTACTAGGTGTGCTGTAGAGATTGATAACTTGGTATGCTACAAGTATAATCAACTATACATGCTGCAGAGATTATATTACTAGGTGTGCTGTATAGATTGATAACTTGGTATGCTACAAGGATAATCAACTATACATGCTGCAGAGATTATATTACTAGGTGTGTTGTAGAGACAGTTTCACTTCGGCATGTTGCAGACCTGCCAATCAGCCAAACAAACAACTAATAATGATGCCATACTACTTCATATCACTGAGCATTATGTAAAACATGAACATCAACTTTAAACATGAAATACTGTACTAGGTTTTGATCATATTATTCTGATGTAATGATTTTAAACCACAAAATTTGAATTTAAACCATAATCCCTATGTACATAAATGTTAATACAAGACCATGTATCCCAGCAGCTCCATTAAATTTGGGTAACCTTAAGCTCATTTCCTGTCGTTGAAAAGTATAAGGTCTTCCAAGGTAGCATCACACTTTAAAGCAAACTTCTACCGTAAAAGTGGAAATTATTGCGTGTGGAAATGTTCGGGTTGTCTCACTGTAAAGTGGAATGTTCTCATCAGCAATAAGTCTTTATTATTCTATTTACCTTTAAATGGTCTAGATCATCTGTATATAAATATTCATATTTGATATTTTACCGCCAATATACTAAACATAAAAATTTCCACTTTTATAGTATTTTATAGTATAGCGAATATATATGTTCATTTATATATTGCTCAGTACCATTACAATGGCTTGTTAGTGCCATAGAGGCTATAAGGCAGCTCCAGGGTAGATATTTTCCCCTAATGCTACTATGCACATATCTTACACCTAATAGTAAACCTTTATACATGTGTGAAAATTAAACATTGATTTTGTGATTTTTAATTCAAAATTAACCTAATAACCTTGAACAAGTAATTCAAGTATCATTCACTTATGCTTGTTAAATGATGTATGTAAAGCCCCCTCCCCAAATCTCCCTTCCCTTCAGTATCATTCACTTATCCCTGTTAGATGATGTATGTACAGCCCCCTCTCCAAATCTTCTTCCCTTCAGTATCATTCACTTATCCCTGTTAGAGGATGTATGTACAGCCCCCTCCACAAATCTCCCTTCCCTTCAGTATCATTCACTTATCCCTGTTAGAGGATGTATGTACAGCGCCCTCCCCAAATCTCCCTTCCCTTCAGTATCATTCACTTATCCCTGTTAGAGGATTTATGTACAGCCCCCTCCCCAAATCTCCCTTCCCTTCAGTATCATTAACTTATCCCTGTTAGATGATGTATGTACAGCCCCCTCCACAAATCTCCCTACCCTTCAGTATCATTAACTTATCCCTGTTAGATGATGTATGTACAGCCCCCTCCCCAATTCTCCCTTCCCTTCCAGTATCATTCACTTATCCCTGTCAGATTATGTATGTACAGCCCCCTCCCCAAATCTCCCATCCCTTTCTAGTATAAGGTGACACATCACCAGTGTTAGGTTGTGGTTTTTGAATGGTTTAAACATTTCTTATATAGTAACCAGTTGTTGATGTTTGTTAAGGGTGATAGACTGTGGTGTTACCACTGGAGAGCATGACAGATTATAGGGATCAGAAACACAGGAATATGTCTCCCCTTAGAAGAAGAGAAGCATGTATAAGCTTTTACTAGTTACATTTTATTCAGGCCGTTACTTTTAAAATAGATTTCCTGATGAAACTTGATCACAGGTGTAGAGTGCATTGTTATAAGGTCACCATTACCTTGGCCTCTTGGCCAAAGGTCAAATAAATGTCAACTTTCAGTTGAAATTTAAAAAAATAAATTTGTTGTAGACATTGTGATGAAACTTGAAGCTCCCCTTCATCACACACAGGTGTGCAGTTCAATGTTATTCTGTCATAGTAATATTCACCACCGGGTATATGAAATTCAAAACATTTTAGTTAAATCTTGTCTGGGGTTAGAGTTAAGGGAGACATATTGTGTAAGTACTGGTTCTTCTAATAATTTCTTGACCGTGCCGTAACTTTTAAACCATTAAAGATGTCTTGATTAAGCTTGCAGTATATCTGCATCTCACAAAGACGATAAGCAGTGCACTATTATTAGGTCACTGACCTTGACCTTAAGGTCAAAGTGCAAACTTTTCAGTGGTGACTCTCAAGGTAGTGTGTCAGCATCTCCACAACTTTTTAACTGCATTTAATACATGTATGCATTTATAAGAAGGCAGTTCATCTTAAACCTAAATGTACATAAGAGAATTGTAGATAAATGGTTATTTGACATATTTCCACATTTTTGTTTCGCAAGAGAAAGGGAGAAATGTTTTTTGTTCACGAAAACAAATCTCTAAATGTTACCTTGAACTCAAAGGTTAAATACAATGTAAAATCAAATATGCATATGGCTAATAGGAGACCTGATTTTCTTTGCATGTTACCGGGTATATCAGATTCTCTAGCTTGAAATTGAAAAATATGATATTTTTTTGTGTATGAAAATTGATAAAAAGCACTCATTTTTTTTCAAACTTTTTGTTTTAACAGCATAATATCAGGTGGCGAAAAATGAAGTCCATTTGTCCTGCAAATGAGATAGAAAAATCTCAGACTGGAATTTTTTTTTTATACATTGTACCTACAAAGTGTATACTACGTTGACTTAAATGATCTCCAAAAAAAATCAAAATATCCTTCTGCCAAGGAAAAAGAAAAAGTATTTTGATATTCCAAATGATTTGTAAGAGTTGTCAAAATAAACTGTTATTAAATGTGTGCATCATATTACATGTACTATGTTTTGATAACATGGTGTGAATTTCGAATGACATTACCTCTTTAAACGATCTTATTTATGGTTCATTGTTAGCAATCATAAAACAATTGTACTGTTTGTGAATGTTGACTCCATTTGTTCACATTTAAATAAATACCGTAAAACGGCAGTTATTTATGCAGGCTTATTTCTTTTTGCATTTTGCACCCAAAATTAGAAAATGAAATTTACACCGATTATAATTTTTGCAATCTAAACATGTGAGAACTAAAATTGGTTGTGGTGTTTTAGCACAAAGACGGGACACTTGGCATATAAAGTGTTCAATAGTCAAATAAATACTGAGTAACAAGTAAACGTATCCCGTTAAGCAAAGATATAATCTATTTTTAACCATTCTGTACTACTCTTGATATAAACGAATCGTTATTAATAATATAACCACATACTCGCTATTTCAAGACATCATTTATTACTGTTATGAAGTTTATTAACGTGGCTCATTTTCACTCTTGTCGTATTATTCTGCGGATCATATGTTCGGGATCACATTATTGACCAGCAAAATCGTGTAAAATATCATCTCTGTGGAAATATCCTGCTGCATGATATTATAGGTTCACAGTGCCCTCTCGCCCTAATATTAAGCAAAAGAAAAAAAAACAAACACAAGTGATACAGAATATATTTAATATATAAAAAATAAAGCTATGTAAAATTAAAACATCAGTTCTGATTAAATCTTCATACAAAGAGATCAAATACAACAAACACAATTTTACATACAAAGTGCGGGGTACAAATCATATATCTGGTAGTACAAAATACTAGGAGAGTGTTGTAATTGTAATGGCCGGGTTGAGCTAGATCTATTTATCGGTAATTGTAATGGGTTGAGCTAGATCTATTTATCAGTAATTGTAATGGGTTGAGCTAGATCTGTTTGCCAGTAATTAACAGACACATGAATATAATGTTGTCTAGTGATCAAGTCTGGTCAGGAAAGTAAACAATTAAATTTGTCTGTTTTGCAGTGTTCCATGATAAAGTCCATCACTGATGATCTGGGGTATGTTGTCGAGTGATCTAGTCTGGCCAGAAAAGTTAACAATTAAATGTGTCTGTTTTCCAGTGTTCCATGATAAAGTCCATCACTGATGATCTGGGGTATGTTGTCGAGTGATCTAGTCTGGTCAGGAAAGTAAACAATTAAATGTGTCTGTTTTCCTGTGTTCCATGATAAAGTCCATCACTGATGATCTGGGGTATGTTGCTAAAGTTACAATATCATTCACTGTATAAACCAGTTTTAAATGTCATTTAAGGAACCCCATACCGCTATTGATGGAGATGCTGACAAAGTCAATGGACCATGAAAGGCAGGCCGCATCTAGCATTTGATGCATGGGCTGAGATGTACTACCTAAGATGTATCTATGGTCCAAGTTTGGTTGGTCTAGAACTTATGCTTTCAGTGAAACTTAAACTTAAACGCAAAAACTTAATGTTGATGACGCCGTCGCCGTAAAAGCAACACCTTAGTCTCGCTTCCGCTACTTCGTGGTAGGGAGACAAAAACGGCAGTGCAGTGGGACAGGGATCCTTAAAGTAATGACTTAGCACGAGTTAGTTAACTTATTCACTAAAGCACCATGTGTGATGTCATGTACGTGTGGGTAACGTCAATATTGTATGGCACACACAAATAATATATAACAAGTGTCATGTACATGTATAAGGGGTGGGTGGCACTTGAATCAAGCTTTCAATCTAACCCTATGAGAAGTTTAGACAGATTTCACTGTACTCGGGTTGAGGTTGCAGCGACATCTATTGTCTACATGAGAGATGACCAAAACACATTATATATTAATGTTTCACCCGAAATAGCAATAACAAACATCTGTATATACAAATATGATTATAAACATAAATATTATTCAAAAACCGACTTCTTCAAGCCACATCACAGTATCATAAACAAATCTTTGGATTCAGTAAACTTGATGATCAAATCCCTATGTTTCTCTACGTCTGGTAAAACGTAACAAATTTAAGAATAGCACCATCAATATTTATTTCTTAATTGACTCCATATTACAAAGAATAAACATTATCATTAAACATGGAAACTATTGAAAAATCCCAAATCATCCATTTTTGCGCCAAAGTCTCTGCGGCAGATAGGTACGTGATAGAACAGAATCAGGGGGAGATAACTCTGTGTAAAACTCCAAATCTGTCAGCAGCTCGATGTCCCTCACTCGAGCCATATTGTCCTCCAGGTAGTCGTCAGTAGTCTGAAAGACAGAGCAATGTCTGTAAGGATCCCCTTACCACTACCAAACAAGGTGAAATATGCATTGCAAGCTGTTTTTCCAGCCTGACTACAGCTTTGACAAATCATTTCTGTACAGAAAACCATACCTTGCGAGACTTAAATGAAAAATAATAAAGATGAAAAAGCACAAAACATAATTAACCATGGTGTTATGAGGGTAACAAACTTCTGAGGCTAAATGGGATTCGAACCCGGGGCTACCAGATTGTTATACTATTGCTCTAACCAACAGAGCTGTCAAAAGACAACAGAATGTGTCCTGGTCCAACCGTGTTCCAGTTAATCCAAAACAAAATTAAGGGGAGGTAACTGTTGTGTCCTGGTCCAACTGTGTTACAGTTAATCCAAAACGAAATTAAGGGGAGGTAACTGCTGTGTTCTGGTCTAACTGTGTTACAGTTAATCCAAAACAAAATTATGGGGAGGTAACTGTGTATATATATATATATACAAAAAAACCTCAGTCCAGTGGGGCAGGGATTCTTAAATACGGACATAAAGTATACATAGCAATGCTGATAACATTATAGACCAGTCCGAAGACTCGTGAAGTTAAATCCTGATGTTTTATATAAAAGTATACAGACAAAGCAATATTGTTTAACAGGGAAAGAATTTGTGTAGTTCAAACCTGACGTCTTACTTGTATAAAAAATAATTGTAATTTTAGTCACCATTACATTGCACTAATCAAGTTGTCTAAGATATACATGTACTATCCAGCCAGTATTTCGGGAACAGATTTGCGATTTTATTTTACAAAATTATTCCAGTTATCTAGCTTTCTACATACACTTTGCTAGGAAGGAGAATTAATGGATTATTAACAAAGAGATTATCAACTAAAGTGGCTGGATCATCAACAAAGAGATTATCAACTAAAATGGCTGGATTATCAACAAAGAGATTATCAACTAAAATGGCTGGGTTATCAACAAAGAGATTATCAACTAAAGTGGCTGGATTATCAACAAAGAGATTATCAACTAAAATGGCTGGATTATCAACAAAGAGATTATCAACTAAAGTGGCTGGATTATTAACAAAGAGATTATCAACTAAATTGGCTTGATTATCGATGAAGGTGGCTAATGTTCATTTGTGCATAGTAAAATCTAACACTGTCCTACTAGTCTGGGTAATAGGACAGCTAGATCAGTGACGTCTTGATAAATGAGGCACAACTGGATCATAATCACCTGGGCCTATTTAAATTGAATCTAAATACCCTTAAAACATATTCTAAATTGCACTTTCGGCCACACTGGACACTGTGTCTAGACTGACTGCTGGTGTACTTACCTGACAGTTAGTAATGCTGTCTGTATGAGGGAGGATGAAGGACAGTGTTATCAGATGTTCGGGAGGACAAGTAGTCAGGTTCTGGTCATCACATCTGCTGATGATGTAGAAGAAGTGGGTTGGGATGCTGACCGTGGTGTTCCTCCTGTAGAAGTCATCAGATAGACAATAGGTTATATATTCAAGGATGTCAGTCAAAAGACAAAGGGACCTTAATAGGACCACAGTCGGTTCAGATCCATAATTTTCACTCATTAAGATTTCATGAAAAGTTCATTACCGGTAAACACATTCCATCGATTCAGTACACCAAAAAACAAGTGTAAAAGTAACTAATCCAAGAAAAGGGTATCATTTAGATATCAGAACTGCTTATACTTATGTAAATGGCTAACATATTGACAGCTGTTTTAACTGTAGGCAACAGATTTCAGTCAAAAGAGCAAAAAAAGAAAAGGGAGGAAAGAAAAAAAATATCTTTAATAACTTTGAAAGCCATTATTGTTAACATGGATTGACCATCATCCTTTGTGACTGATTTATTAAAACTGGTTCACTGTTGATTTGCTAATTAGCATGAACCTTAGTATTGGTACTATATATATAATTAACACCAGGATGATAAATTATATTTTTTTTCATTATTGTGAATTGCATCTAGGCAATATTTATAATGGTGACAAACCGAAGAACAGATGTTGGTTCGTCCTTATGTCCGTCTGTGTTGTAGTCAAAGATAGGACCGGTCATCACATTGACCACGCCATAGTCCTGTGTATATCTGTCTGTAAGATTCTGGACACTTCTCCAGATACCTGATGGACAGAAGTGTTAGGTAAAACAAGTATTAAGGAGACAGGTTATTAGGAAACAACATTACTGCTCAAACAAGATCACTTATGAGTAAACTATGTTAAAAGAAATTCAATTTAACAATTTGAAAAAAGTATTTGCAGTAAAACATTACTTACCCCGCCTGAAGTTCTCCAGCATTGGTACAAAGTTCAGCGAGATCAAGCTCTCCCAGGAGTAGGTGACCGCTGGTAAAATATACAGTGAAACCAGGTCAAATATACAGGAAAACCTGGTCATTATATGGAAAACTAGGTCTTAACATAGAGAAACTAGGTCAAATATACAGGGAAACTTGGTCAAATATACAGAGAAACTAGGTCAAATATACAGGAAAACTAGGTAAGGCATACAGGGAAAAGAGATCAAACATACAAAGAAAATGGATCAACAGAAAACTTCACAGACATACAAGCTTAGTCCAATACTCTTGTTTTGAAACACCACATATATTTTGCTATTGACTTGATGATGTAACAATAATATAGTGTAAATATTAATGAAATATGTTCAGAGTTACATGATATGTCTTGCACATAAGCCTTTTTATTACAAACAGGCAGAAAAACTCATACACCCCAACACCATTAAAGTGGGAGCTATAAGGGTACTACACAGGACAGTTCACTTGTCTGTTATGACAGTCAGTACTGATCACACATCAGATGCTGTCCTTAATTACCTGTCCTGTACAGTGGTGTCCACGTATACTGCCTGGAGTTCTGGGTGAAGGAGGTGGCCTCACACTGTGGTCTGTCCAAGCCCCTCAGGATACAGGTCGGGTAGTCAGCTTCGGGGGAGGGGCTGGAGGTCTGTGTGTAGGAGACCCAGAGTGGAGCCAGGAGGGAGGTGCTGTACGCCGTCACATGACTTGGGTAGCTCTTTATGTACACACTGGTCTGTGTGTGTGAGATCTGAAGTGAAGGGCGACCAAACAGCACATGCTGGTCCTCTGTGTTAACCTTAGTCTGAAAAACAGGCCAACAGTGGGATAAAACAAAGAAAAAATGGTGGAGAATACTCCTAAATTATTTTAACTTCTGTCAATGCATAAAAATGTTTGTTTTTATTACTAGAAACAAGAAGCCATTAGTGATTGAGATATTCTGCATGAACATGGCCTCTTCTCATTGCCCCAGTTCTAAACTAAAACAACTCATCTCTGTATATTTACACTTCAAAACATGAACTTAAACCCATTTACTGCTAACTTTCTATTATACATCACTTATATTTTGCAGCTCATATTAAATTGCTTTCATTCAAAGGCAAAAGAACAAAAATAATGCAAAGTAATGAAAGCAACTAAAAGTCCCCAACCTCTGAAAATACTATGGTGTCAAAAATGACAAAGAACATAACTATGTATAAAATGGGGCACAAGATCTGATTTCAATCCTCGAGGCTTCATCATCCCAGGAGGCAGGGTAGTCTAGTGGTAGGACGCCGGGCTCGTGACGGAAGGTTTGCGGGTTCCAGTCACGGCACCGCACTGTGTTGTATCTTTGAACAAGATACTTTACCCCGCTTGTTCCAGTCTACTCAGCTGTAAATGAGCTCGTAGTTGGGCAGTGCTAGAATTGTTGAATGCTACCTGTGAGCGCCAAAATGGCAGCACCGGCTGTTTGCTTCCCAGGGAGTTGAGAAATATGTTGGCTGGTTGCAGTTGAGAAAGATGTTGGCTGGTTGCAAAGGCCCTATAACCACGGATGATAATTTGTGAACCGCTTTAAGACGACCTACGAACTAGGTTGTGATAAAGCGGTATATAAGAAAGGGGTATATAAGAACCTCGATTTATTATTATTGTTATTATCCCAAGAGGTACCAGCATGCAAAATTTTGCAATATAATAGGTGACAGGGTAAGATATGTTCTGGACAAATTGTAAAGGTAGACAGAGTGCAACCCTACTGTCCCCTGTTAACGGGTAGATAATAAGATGAAGGCCCAGTACCTGGTTAGTATTGGTGGTGATGCTACACCTGTCTAGACACTGGCTCCTGTACCTCAGCGACTCCTGTATAAAACTCTCTATTACAGTGCCCATCGTCCAGTCAGTGTAATTCTGTATGGGGGTCGCTGTAGGCATGGGGCGTGGATTCCTCAACACATGATTCAGTGAGCCCTCTGTTCCGTTATTGGGGGCTGGTCTTATACCCAATACATCTACAGGAATCAAAGATATCTTGGTTATACAGGTATCAGCAAATTTATACAACGTCAGTCACCAGCAGCTCTAGGGTTCAAAGAGATTTTGATTATTTGATACTGCAGAACTATTAGGGTTGTTACTCCAGGTGAAATAGCATAGGAGATTTGTCACAGATAAATCTGTTTAAAGTTGAAGTCAAAGGTCAAACCCTAGGCCCCAGAGACCTACTTTTTGCATTTGACACTCCCAAGATGTACTTGCATTCCAATTCTGGTTACTCCAGGTGAAAAAGTATAGATGATATACATGTATATATGCCCCAGAAAAACTTTTTGGATGGATGGAAGGACGGTGGGAATACATACCTATATCCCCCTGGACCAGTGGGAGACTAATTCAACAGTTACACTTACCGGTACCTAGGAGCTGTACTTCACTAAACACTTACCTGTCATCAGGTTATACAGCTCAATGTTTTCAAATGATTTCACTGTCAAATTCTGGTTAAATACCGGACCATGGGCTAGAAACAAAGCCTACAACACAGGGAATTTCACCAGAATAAGACAAGTCTAGAAAAAGCCTAATGTACTAACATCACCAAACCAGGCATGAAACAAGGCATAGTCAGTTTATTTGTCGATTACCGGTAGATCTTCTTATATGTATAATGAATAAAGTATACATGTGTTCATAGCAAAGCCGAATCAATGGCAATTTTTTTGTTGCCAATTGGTACATATTTTACACCTATGTGTATGCTTTACCAGTCATTTGTCTGATGAAGGTGACAGAGTACATATTGATGAAGTCCCAAAAAATATCACAAATAAAATTTCACTGGTTGTGCTATATGAACCTGTGATTACCTGCATGCTCTTGTATGTATTGTCATAGCCATGACTGCCCCCAGTACAGAAGGCTCGGGCAGATCTCTTGGGTGGCCTTAAAGAGAAAAACATTCCTTACATAAAGTGCTGATGAAAAAATTAAAATTGTCGCTAATTTAGTGTTTTTAAAACAGTGCTGAAATACTGAAACACAACAAAATAAATTTTGCAGAGCATTGATAACAAGAAATTTTTCCGAACCACAAATATGTTATTTGATAAGTCAATGTTATAACTTTAAATGTAGGATTATATTTCACTGCTGATCTCTGATTCACAAATTTATATTGTATACCATGAACATTTTTGCCCAGTAAAACTTTCGCCCTTCGCCTGTAAAATCCAAATACGCCCTGTGTTAATAACGCCTTTCATATGTAAATTATGTTGTTGACTCGTGTTTGTTGTAATGATATATTTGCCCTTATTCCAGATCCAGAGGGCAAAAAACGCGAAAATTTAACTGCAGTGAAAATGTCTGGGTGTACAGCTAGTATATCCTCCTACTACACAGCATGAGAAAATGTCATATGTGTTGTGACAATTTGTTTCGGTGACGTCAATGATAAGTGTACAACAAACCACTATACCAAAATATAAAAGGAAGGAATGTATGTTTTGGCAAATTGAGTTTTGATTATAGATCGCCAACAAACTAACCCAAACCCTTCCAGGATTGATTTAATTTGTTAGCAATAGCAATGGGTGCTATATAGAACCCTAACACCACTTGCTCAAATATTCATTGCTTTACCCTTTCACCACTGTAGACCATAATGGACACATCCATATCAATGCGTGGCAGAGTCTACTTAAGTTACATAGGGGTGAAAGGGTTAAATATTTGTGTTGTATTATGTAGCTACAGGTCCAAAATACTGTACTCAACACAATAAAATCTCTCTTCATACATAGTTACAGTTGCATTGAATTCAAATGCAAAGGAGACCAATAACATGTGCATCAGTAAATATTGCTAAATACTATGAAAATATAATCACAATATAACTATTGAGGAAGATTTTTAAGAAAGAGTAAAAATAATGGTTATTATTTGGTCTTAGTTTAGATAATTAGATGTGTTGCAGCAAAAATATGTAAGAGCAAGCTGTAATTTGTCATTAAGTACTTTCAGGTAAGAATCAAAGCAAAAAAGCAGGACATTTGGCAGGAAAACGTATTTATAAATATGTAATAATATGTATTTTCAATATTTGTATATGAATATAAGGAACTGGCTGGGGGATTTAATACATAGTTTTGATTAAACTAAATAATAATAATTTTGAAACGAATGAGAGTGAAAGATTGAATGAATGGTTGCATGAGAGAAGAAATGAAAGAGAAGAGTGAATGAAGGGAAAGAGGCCTGCTGCGTGAGGCTACATGATGTACAACATTGATGAACCTGGGACAACGCAACCCTGGCATCCCTCCCAAAAGATGCTGGGGAAAATAAAATCAAATTACAGGCTATGATGAGGGAGAACATTTATTCAGCAACAACACTGCATAAACTGTGCTCCACAAACCTGGTTATGTGCTTGAATACTGGTTATACAGTGTAAACTCATATTGACTCCTCTCATCAAAATACTGGTTACAGAGTGTAAACTCATACTGACTCCTCTCATCAAAATACTGGTTATACTGTGTAAACTCATAGCGACTCCTCTCATCAAAATACTGGTTATACAGTGTAAACTCATATCGACTCCTCTCATCAAAATACTGGTTATACTGTGTAAACTCATATCGACTCCTCTCATCAAAATACTGGTTACATAGTGTAAACTCATATCAACTCCTCTCATCAAAATACTGGTTATACAGTGTAAACTCATATTGACTCCTCTCATCAAAATACTGGTTATACAGTGTAAACTCATATCGACTCCTCTCATCAAAATACTGGAAGAAAATAAATGTGAAAATTCAGTTACCTGTCTGTTACTAGCCATTCATCTTCCACATCTATGATGATGTCATCGATTCTGGGGTTGTTTGCATAGTGATGGCGCTTCGGAAGCGTGGTCTTCGTGAAGACTTTGAAGTGTGGGTGACAGGTCAGGTTAGTCATGATGTCTGTCGTAGGGACTGTAACAGAAAAAGAATGATTAATTTCTCCTTTCCAAGTCTATTGTTGAAACTACATGTCAAAATCATGGGATGGTCAGGGGTGTGATAGACAACACATCGCCGTTCACCAAGACGACTGGGGTTTGATTCCCTGATCGGACGTGAAAAGGTGTTGGGTCACCTGCCCTACCACATTGGTTTCCTCCAGGTATTCCGGTTTCCTCCTACATTAAGACCCCCAGCACACTAACATCCGGGCCAACAAGAGTTATTTATATAAGTTGTATTAACCTGTTTCATAATTGGTGAAAAATAAATAAAGTTTAGATATAAAATTATGACCGTTATAACAAGATTACCCTAACCATGAGGACAGTAAAGATTATACAATATAACAAGAGGCCCATGGGCCTTAACGGTCAACTGTCTTCCGATTCAAATTAGGACTGTCATCCAGGGGCCAATTCATACTTTTCGTCGGTCCGAGTGACCTTGCTGCATCGTCCATTAATTTTTCCTTGTGAACACAATAACTTCAGTAAATATAAACCGATTTTGATGAAACTTTGTATGAAGCTTTATATCAATGAGATCTTGGATGAGTTTGAATACCGGACCAATTTGACCATAACTTACATAGTTATTCCCCTTGGTAATTCTATTATTGTTGGACCCTGTGAACACGATAACTGAAATAAATGGGTGTGACTCCAATTTTGACCCAAGGGGTCTGTTTTGAACAAACTTGGTAACTGTATGTCTTCTGTTCTTGGTTAGAAGAAACAAGTAAAAGCGTAAATCAATGATTTATTAAATAAGGCACAAATTTTTAATAGCACCTTGTTAGTAGCAAAAATGCGTCATGAATGAAAAAAAAGGTGTACCACAAGAATTTACATCTATTCTTGTGTAATGTCAATCAACATCACAGGGACAAATAATAATATAATGACAAAGGGCAATAACTCTGCAGGTTACCGTCAAATAATTACCGGACAAAGTTTCATTGAACTCCGTCAACATTTAATCAAGTTATCGTGTTTACAAGGTCCAATAATAATATTATCACAAAGGGCAATAACTCTGTAAGTTACTTTCGAATAATTCCCATTTAGAGTCTGGGATCTTATTGATATGGGTGCATACAAAGTTTCGTCAAACTCGTTACCATTTACTCAAGTTCTCGTGTTCACAAGGTCCAATAATAATATTATAACAAAGGGCAATTACTCTGTAAGTTACTGTCGAATAATTCCCATTTTCGAACTCGTCCGGGATCTTATTGCTATATGGCTGCATACAAAATTTCATCAAACTCGGTTAACATTTACTCAAGTTAGTGTGTTCACAAGGAAAAGTTAACGCACTACGGACGACGACGGACAAAAGACTATCACAATAGGTTACCATGACCTATGGTCAGGTAACCGAAATAGTCACAAATCTTATATGTGTAATACATACTCATAGTGACTAGAACTTTAATTTTAAAGTTTTCTTCCAGGAGCAGATTTTCAGGATTTACTTTGTAATTTTTTTATGCAGTGAATGTATTGAAAATAGACCTTTCCAAAATATATTTGCTGTACATTAAATTTCAGTCAAATAGCTAACAATACAATGGCAAATGTTATGCTAAAAACAAATTCACTGAAATTATTGCAAGTACCATTTGCTTTTTTGTGAAATACGTAATTTTAAAATTTTTGTGAATGCATAACCATTCGTAAATTCAAGTACTTTCCCATTTTTTGCACTTTTCTGAAGATTGCCAAAAAAAAGTATTAACACTCATATACTTTATAACTGTCGTCTACTTGGGAGACTGATGTTGAATCGCTTATGTTCTTCCAATCTTCTTCATTAAGGTACAAGAGTAATTTGAACTAATAAAAGTTAATAAATTCAATTGATGAAATTATACAATAGAATATATATATCTTTTATATTTTTATTTTTTTTAATTTCAACACAGTCTCTTATTCAATTGAAAATATTTTTAATGCAATTCATATATAAGTGTATTAAGTTCTTGCAGCAAATTCTGAAATTATATATATATGTGCTTCACCTGTGTCGGACACTGGCCTGATCTTGCACTTGGAAAATTGACTCTCCTAAGCCTAGTACTGGCCTCATATTAAACCTTTAGAAATGACTTGCTTGAGTCAAGTACTGGACTTATCTTGGGCCTGGAGAAGTGACTCACTTGAGTCAAGTACCAGTCTGATCTTGGGCCTGGAGAAAAAACTCACTCGAGAGTTAAGTACTGGTTTTATCTTGTACCTAGAGAAGTGACTCACCTTGGTCATACACTGGCCTCAATTTAGACCTGGAGGAGAGACTCACCTGGGTCAGTCACTGGCCTCAACTTAGACCTGGAGGAGAGACTCGCCTGGGTTAGACACTGGCCTCAACTTAGACCTGGAGGAGAGACTCGCCTGGGTCAGACACTGGCCTCAACTTAGACCCTTTGGAGAGACTCACCTGGGTCAGACACTGACCTTAACTTAGACCTGGAGGAGACACTCACCTGGGTCAGACACTGGCCTCAACTTAGTCCTGGAGGGGAGACTCGCCTGGGTCAGACACTGGCCTCAACTTAGACCTGGAGGATAGACTCACCTGGGTCAGACACTGACCTTAACTTAGACCTGGAGGAGACACTCACCTGGGTCAGACACTGGTCTCAACTTAGACCTGGAGGATAGACTCACCAGGGTCAGCACTGGTCTCAACTTAGACCTGGAGGATAGACTCACCTGGGTCAGACACTGGCCTCAACTGAGACCTGGAGGAGACACTCACCTGGGTCAGACACTGGCTTCAACTTAGACCTGGAGGATAGACTCCCCTGGGTCAGACACTGGCCTCAACTTAGACCCTGAGGAGAGACTCACCTGGGTCAGACACTGGCCTCAACTTAGACCTGGAGGATAGACTCACCTGGGTCAGACACTGACCTTAACTTAGACCTGGAGGAGACTCTCACCTGGGTCAGACACTGGCCTCAACTTAGACCTGGAGGAGAGACTCGCCTGGGTCAGACACTGGCCTCAACTTAGACCTGGAGGAGACACTCACCTGGGTCAGACACTGGCTTCAACTTAGACCTGGAGGAGAGACTCACCTGGGTCAGTCACTGGCCTCAACTGAGACCTGGAGGAGACACTCACCTGGGTCAGACACTGGCTTCAACTTAGACCTGGAGGAGAGACTCACCTGGGACAGCACTGGTCTCAACTTAGACCTGGAGGATAGACTAACCTGGGTCAGCACTGGTCTCAACTTAGACCTGGAGGAGACACTCACCTGGGTCAGACACTGGTCTCAACTTAGGCCTGGAGGATAGACTCACCTGGGTCAGACACTGACCTTAACTTAGACCTGGAGGAGACTCTCACCTGGGTCAGACACTGGCCTCAACTTAGACCCGGTGGAGAGACTCACCTGGGTCAGACACTGACCTTAACTTAAACCTGGAGGAGACACTCACCTGGGTCAGACACTGGTCTCAACTTAGGCCTGGAGGATAGACTCACCAGGGTCAGCACTGGTCTTAACTTAGACCTGGAGGATAGACTCACCTGGGTCAGCACCGGCCTCAACTTAGACCTGGAGGATAGACTCACCTGGGTCAGTCACTGGCCTCAACTTAGACCTGGAGGATAGACTCCCCTGGGTCAGACACTGGCCTCAACTTAGACCCTGTGGAGAGACTCACCTGGGTCAGACACTGGCCTCAACTTAGACCTGGAGGATAGACTCACCTGGGTCAGCACTAGTCTCAACTTAGACCTGGAGGATAGACTCACCTGGGTCAGTCACTGGCCTCAACTGAGACCTGGAGGAGACACTCACCTGGGTCAGACACTGGCTTCAACTTAGACCTGGAGGATAGACTCACCTGGGTCAGTCACTGGCCTCAACTTAGACCTGGAGGAGACACTCACCTGGGTCAGACACTGGCTTCAACTTAGACCTGGAGGATAGACTCACCTGGGTCAGACACTGGCCTCAACTTAGACCTGGAGGATAGACTCACCTGGGTCAGCACTCGTCTCAACTTAGACCTGGAGGATAGACTCACCTGGGTCAGCACTGGTCTCAACATAGACCTGGAGGAGAGACTCACCTAGGTCAGACACTTGCCCCAACTTAGATCTGGAGGAGAGACTCAAGGGTCAGACACTGACCTCTACTTAGATCTGGAGGAGAGTCTCACCTGGGTCAGACACTGGTCTCAACATAGACCTGGAGGAGAGACTTACCTGGGTCAGACACTGGCCTCAGTTTGGTCTGGAGGAGAGACTTACCTGGGTCAGACACTGACCTCTACTTAGATCTGGAGGAGAGACTTACCTGGGTCAGACACTGACCTCTACTTAGATCTGGAGGAGAGTCTCACCTGGGTCAGTCACTGGTCTCAACATAGACCTGGAGGAGAGACTTACCTGGGTCAGACACTGGCCTCTACTTAGACCTGGAGGAGAGACTCACCTGGGTCAGACACTGGCCTCAACCTAGACCTGGAGGATAGACTCACCTGGGTCAGACACTGGCCTCAACTAAGACCTGGAGGAGAGACTTACCTGGGTCAGACACTGGCCTCAGCTTAGACCTGGAGGTTTTCTGAGAGTACAGGTTGTTGATCCTCCCAAATGTTCCCGGAAATAGGTGCATCTTGGACAGGGTTGTATTAGACAGGTAGTCCTCCATTAGTACCAACCGGTCACAAGATATGCTGGACATACCTACAAACATAAAATACAACAGGTCACCAGATATGCCGAACACACCTACAAACATAAAACACAACAGGTCACCAGATATGGAGGACACACCTACAATCATAAAATAAAACAGGTCACCAGATATGGCGGACATACCTACAATCATAAAATACAACAGGTCACCAGATATGCCGGACACACCTACAATCATAAAATACATCAGGTCACCAGATATGCCGGACACACCTACAAACATAAAATACAACAGGTCACCAGATATGCCGGACACACTTACAAACATAAAATACAACAGGTCATCAGATATGCCGGACACACCTACAAACATAAAATACAACAGGTCACCAGATATGCCGGACACACCTACAAACATAAAATACAACAGGTCACCAGATATGGCGGACACACCTACAAACATAAAATACAACAGGTCACAAGATATGCCGGACACACCTACAATCATAAAATACAACAGGTCACCAGATATGCCGCACATACCTACAAACATAAAATGCAACAGGTCACCAGATATGGCGGACATACCTACAAACATCAAATACAACAGGTCACCAGAGATGTCGGACACACCTACAAACATAATATACAACAGGTCACAAGATATGCCGGCCACACCTACAATCATAAAATACAACAGGTCTCCAGATATGCCGGACACCCCTACAAACATAAAATACAACAGGTCACCAGATATGGCGGACACACCTACAATCATAAAATGCATAATGTACCGAACAATTCCTTTTAATCCATTTAGTGGATTATACATTTATAATCAATGTTACTTTTTGTTGCAGTTACCGATGTTACCTTATTAGTTTAGTTCATATAATATTACATTGTTACTTTTTGTTGCAGATACTGATAATAGAATATTGTTACTATTTGTTGCAGAGACTGATAATATTACATTGTTACTATTTGTTGCAGAGACTGATAATATTACATTGTTACTTTTTGATGCAGAGACTGATAATATTACATTGTTACTTTTTGATGCAGAGACTGATAATATTACATTGTTACTTTTTGTTGCAGAGACTGATAATAGAACATTGTTACTATTTGTTGCAGTGACTGATAACTTAATTTGACATTGTTACTTGATATTACATTGTTACTTTTCATTGCAGTGACTGATAATATTACATTGTTACTTTTTGTTACAGAGACTGATAATGATATACCATGTTTTATAATAACACTGTAATGCATACCATGTTTTATAATAACAATGTAATGATATAACATGTTTTATAATAACACTGTAATGCTATAAAATATTTTATTATAACACTGTAATGAATACCATGTTTTATAATAATACTGTAATGATATACCATGTTTTATAATAACACTGTAATGATATAACATGTTTTATAATAACACTGTAATGATATAAAATATTTTATTATAACACTGTAATGAATACCATGTTTTATAATAATACTGTAATGATATACCATGTTTTATAATAACACTGTAATGTATACCATGTTTTATAATAACAATGTAATGATATAACATGTTTTATAATAACACTGTAATGATACAATATGTTTTATAATAACACTGTAATGAATACCATGTTTTATAATAACACTGTAATGTATACCATATATCTATATACTGTGACGACCTGTATACTGACCGTGGTCTGCTATGAGGAGGATGTTCACACAGTTATGGAGGCCACGGTGCATGAGTCCCTCCATCAGTTGACCAATGGCCGCATCTACTCTCTCCAGTGCTAGACCAATCTACACAGTAAACATGGAGTTATATGTTATCTCTATAATGAATGCAACATGATTGGGAAAATGCATGCAACAAAGAGGGATCTGAAACTGGGACATCCATAGTCCGGACAAGAGCTCTAATAAATTGAGCTAGCTGAGTTGTTCGAAACCTTTTCCTTTTAAAGAGAGTTTGAAACCTTTTCCTTTTAAAGAGACCGAAAGTGCAAATTTACAAAATGTTAATTCCTTGAATATGAGAGTGCACAATTTTTATTTTTTTTTATGTTTAAATTTCAATTTTTGAAAATTATCATCAAGTTGTAAGTTTTTCAATAAATTGTCATTGTGATAATCAGATTATTTAACAACTGGACACATAGTCATATGGATCACTTATTCTGTTGATAATTTCAACATTACATCAACAATGTCTCGGGAGGTCAGCAACTTTAGATCATATTACATCTGAAAATGCTGTAATCTAGTACAACAAAAGGGGGTGAATGAAGTGATGATGGTGAAAAGGTCAGGTAAGTTCCCAGTAATCCATATATCTTCTTGACCTTGTCACCGATGACGTCTGTCTGTGACATGGAAACTGATATCCTGGTGACCACCACAACTCTTGTCATATACAACCATAAATGGACGTGACAAGGTCAACATCTCCATGGTCATCTATCTCGCGGCGGTAGTGTGTGCTTTCTCCTCCAGTATTTCCACAGCAGTTCAACATCATAATCCGCAAAGATAAAGTTCTTGTATAGTTCAACGATTTCCAAAGAAACGGTCAAACTTACAAACCAATTTGTTGCTGGGATTTTACATCTTATGTTATAATCTCAATCTTAATATGAATTTAATGCTAAGACAATGAAAAGGTTCAATGTACTCCTGGGTGTCATTATAACTATTATTATCAGATATCAAGTCTTCAACAGGAAATGTACTTATGATATTCTGTAGAGGCCATAAAGAGCTAATAAATATTACATTTTTTTGTTGACAATAGGACCAATTAAATAAATCAGGATATTTTGGAACTCTATTTTATCATGTTCTAAGGATTTTACATTAAGGTTCTGAGTTCTTAGTTGCGAAAGAAATATCCTTGTATATTCCAAAGAAATGGGAGTAAATAAATCTAATTGGATCTTTTTAAACTTTTATATATTTAGGATTTCAAAAAGAGTTCCCCTCACATAGAATTTCATCAAATACAAACAAACAAATTTGCAATGGTAGCCCATATATAACATAAGATAGGCTCCCCTTCAAAGTGATGCACTCACTTACCGACCCTTATGGAAGTAAGGTGGGGGACTAATAAACCACATAAAAGATGCAATACAGAATCTTACCATGCATGGCCTTAACACTGGGTCTAAAGGCCAGAGTGTTGAATCTACTTGTTTAAAGTGACCTGTATAACTGAGCTACATATGAAACATTAAGTGACCACTATATCGAAGCTACCTGTCTAAAGTAAATAAACTATATTGAAGCTACTTGTATAAAGTGACATCAGTATATAGAATTTATCTGTGCAGGGTGACCACTGTGTTGATGTTGTCTTTGTAAAGTGACCACTGTGTTGGAGCTACCTTTGTAAAGTGACCACTTTGTTGATGCTACCTTTGTAAAGTGACCACTGTGTTAGAGCTACCTTTGTAGGTGACCACTGTGTTGATGCTACCTTTGTAAAGTGACCACTGTGTTGGAGCTACTTTTGTAAAGTGACCACTATGTTGATGCTACCTTTGTAAAGTGACCACTGTGTTAGAGCTACCTTTGTAGGTGACCACTGTGTTGATGCTACCTTTGTAAAGTGACCACTGGGTTGATGCTACCTTTGTAAAGTGACCACTGTGTTAGAGCTACCTTTGTAGGTGACCACTGTGTTGATGCTACCTTTGTAAAGTGACCACTGTGTTGATGCTACCTTTGTAAAGTGACCAATGTGTTGATGCTACATTTGTAAAGTGACCACTGTGTTGGAGCTATCTGTGAAGTGACCACTGTATCAGAGCTATCTGTGTAGTGACCAGTGTTAAGAAGACCTGTATAAAGTGAACACTGTATTAGAGCTATCTGTGTAGTCACCACTGTGTTAAGACCTGTATAAAGTGACCACTTTATTGAAGCTATGTGCAGTGTGACCACTGTGTTGAGGCAACCTGTGTAAAGTGACCACTGTGTATTGAAGCTACCTTTGTAAAGAGACCATTGTATTGAACTATCTGTGTAGTGACCAGTTTATTAAAACTGCCTGTATATAGTGACCACTGTGTATATAATCTACCTGTGTAGAGTGACCACTATACTGAAGCTACATTTTACCTGTGTATAGTGCGACAATTTTGTTGAGGCTAACTTTGTAAAGTGACCACTGTATTGAAGCTGTGTATAGAATATATCTGTGTAGTGACCACTGTGTATAGAATATACCTGTGTAGTGACCACTGTGTATAGAATATACCTGTGAAGCGACCACTGTGTATTGGAGTTACCTGTATAAAGTGACCCCTATGTATCCTTTATGTCCATTGTAAACAGACTACAGGAAACATAACATATTGCTGGTCATGTTATTGGATATAAACACCTTGTGATTCCTTAGTGCCCGTGTACAATGCACTTTATGGGCGTTCACTTGACAGCTTAGAAATAGCTTAAATCAATTCTCCTTAACATTTCAGGTAGCAACGTAGGATGGAAAACCAGACATGTCAGAGCCAACATCAGCAACCAAAATATGCAGAGTTGATATTAAAACAAAACCATGGAGACTGTATAGAGCCTTGCACAACATTTGGGGAAATTAAAGATCAATCTCGAGTGGATAATAGTTCAACGAGAAGACAAAACAAACAGGTATGTGTGCAGTTCCTAGCCTACCTGGACAGATCAGAGGGAGGTAACCCAGGCACAGAGTACAGGTGACACACCTTGTACTGACCACAGCCTACCCAACCATACCTTATCTTCTAATTACTCCATCTCCCCTGAACCGCCCAGGCATCCTACGCCAGTCCACATAGCCAGTGTTGACTTAGCTCTCAGCACAATGAGTTATTAAATAATTTTATGAAAATCATAGAGCTTATCAAAATCTGTTGTTAAAGGTGCAAAACAATGGTCAATCCCAGGTGTGTTGTAGCAGGTAGTTACACTGGACTGGACAACAGCCCGGGAAACATCACTTGACAGACACTGGACTGCATGGTCAAGGGTCACCTGACTAGCACTAACGGCAGTGTAGGACTGGACCAGGTGTACCCAACCAATACCCAGGACAGTACAGAAAAACTGAACAGGAATCCTCCTACAAAGACAGATGTTCAGCTTCCTGATGTCAGTACTGACTGGAGACTGTATTGGAATGACTCCGGCCTTGTTAATGGTAGATGTGACTCTAATTTTGAATCTGTGTTTTCAGTGTTTGTCTGAACAAGGTCCTGATCAAGAAGAGAAATATTAAACCACAGAACAGGTCGAAAACTTACACCAGTAAAAATATCTTATCCTTCTTCTGGGAATTAAATTAAGATTTTTTGAGATAAGATTCTCCAATTGTATATGTTAGTATGTGAAGGGATTCCATTTGAAGACTGGATAACATGACAGCCATTCTGACCAATATAACAACTCTTATAAGTACGGTGATGACAACGGAAATGACCAGTACAAATACACTGACCGCTGGTGACTATGAAAAAATATTTTTTCGGATAAAGCTGTGGAAGATTTGCCATGGATACATCATGTTCATCCTGATCATTCTGGGAGTAGCGGCCAACATTCTGGCATTTATCATCCTGTCGCAAAAGTCAGTGAGGAGAACGACCATCGCAGTTTACCTCCGTGCCTTGTCACTGGCCGACACGTTCGTGCTCATCACGGCTTTTTTCCGCTACAACACCTACAAGCTGTTTCTGACAGAGGCCCAAGACACATACAGTGTCCTACACTTCAGTGCCTACCTCGATGCCTACATCAAACCGTTTCATTGGATATCCCTAGGTGTGTCCAGCTTTGTGACCTTGACCTTGTCCATAGAGAGGTTTCTGGCTATTAGGTATCCGCTCACCATCAAGAGGTCGTGCACTCCATTCCTGGTGAGGGTGTGTATAGTAGGAATCATTGTGATCGTGGTCATTCTCACCTCGCCCATTTTTTTTTCATTCCGAGTAAAGGAATTCTCCTACACTAACACATCCAGTGTCTACGTACAAGTGATGACAAGGTTGGGGCGAGACACACTCTATCCCTGCACCTATCACATCTACGTTATTCCTCTTCTCTGGTACATCCTTCCGTGGATCCTCCTCGCCATCCTCAACCTCCTCCTTTACCTCCAGGTCAGACGGTCGTCAAGGATACGGGTCGGTCTGCCAAACATCCCCAACCCGAACAGAAACCTCTCCATTCTCATCCTACTCATCGTTATTATCTACATGGTGTGCAACCTACCAATATCCATCATGGTCTTCTACAAGCTTGTAAATCACATGTCGGAGAATGGACAGTGTATTCAGGAAACAACTTCTCTAACATCGACAACGTCTAAAGAGTTTGACATCATCAACGCCATCACCGAGATCTTGAACATACTAAACAGCTGCCTCAACATCGTTGTGTACTGTATGGTGGGCACCAAGTTCAGGCGTCAGCTCCGTGACTTTTTATTATGTACAACTTGTAAGCCAGTCAACAAAGTCAGTCCACAGAAGGTGTTCACCACTGGGCGTGAATCTAACACTGTAGTGGAGAGCGCAGGGTCCTCATAGATAGAATGCAAAGAAAACTTGGTCCATCATACCAGCACAGGGAAGAGACAGCCTTCCCATACACACAGGGACATGGATAATTGTGGAGTATCTTATTTCTTATGGACAAAGACAATTGTTAAGAATCAGGTCCCTCATAGATTAGATACAGGACAACGTATTGCTGTGAACAGTACAAGATCTCCTAGAAACAGGGACATGGATAATTGGGAACAATCCTGGATCTCTAGAACATTGGTTATTTTGAATTAGCGGATCTCATACACACAGGGCTTTAGATGATTGTGTAGTCCTAGATCCTCCAAACATCAAAGACATGGATACTTGTGAGGTTCCAGATTCCTCATAGACACAGGGAAATATGGATAACTGTTTTAGGTTCCTCAAACACAGGGACATGAATTGTTAACTATCAGATCCCTTATAGACATACAATGTATAGGGACATTGTGAAGTTGCAGCCCTTCATAGACACAGGGACATGGATAATTGTCAAATTATTTTTGACCTTTTCTGTGATTGGATAGTAATATATATCTGTGCTAAGGTTTATCAAGATTTATAGTTGTAGTGATATTTCTACTAATCATGTGCAATTGTGATACCTCTACCAACTGTGATATTGTATCTTATGTTTGTCCTGCTTTTCACTGTGTTTTAGTATATAGCTTGAATTCATTTTTGTACCAAAATGTCTTATCAACTCGGTTTTTGTTTTTATCAACTATACCGATGTTTTATGCCTAACTTTACATAACATATTACACATTACCATGTACCTAATTATACTGGTACATAATATGTTACCAGTCAGAATCTAAATGACTGGAAAACACAAACTTCTGACACCATCTCAGTGTTTCAAGTGATAATCGCCATTTAACAACACTTATTGTAAGCCAGGAAACCTTCGTCGGTCAAATTTTCGCCCTTCACTGGTAGAATCCGTTTCACACAGTGTAAATTTTGCCCTTGACTGTTATTCCTATGTACAGTATATGTGGTGTACTGATTTTCACTATTGTGCTAAATTCACCCTCATTACAGATAGCGAAGAAGGCGAAAATTAAAAGGCGGCAAAAATGTCCATGTATTACATAATCACCGATGGTCATCGTCACCTGATGAACGCCTTGGTAGATTGCCTGGAACTCATATAGCCACAGTCTTTATCAACCCTTTCATCCCTATGTAACCTAAGTAAACTATACCATGCATTGATCTGGAAAAGTCCATTATGGTCTACAGTGGTGAAAGGGTTCAGGATTGGGGCTTTATATTAGATGTCAATGGCTTCATCTTTCATAGGAGGGAGACTCCCTCATTTTGACCAAAATTTACCAACCACCCTCGAAACTCCCTCATTCAAGTCTGAACTCACATAAACTCAAAATCTACATTCTGTGGTCAAAATGATCTCCTAGTTACTGCAGGGTGTGTGTAATGATCATAACAGGTGTGTCTGAATTAAATGAATGCTTTTTGGAATTATTTCCATACATAAAAAGGGAAAGATAAATTGAGCAAAGCAGTTTCACAGGTTGACATCTATCATCTATTCTTTTTTTGGAAGGATCTTGCTTAATTACTGTGCAACACTTCCAGATCTGCTCTGCTAGGATAAGGTATTTAGGACGGACTAACTGTGATTAGATAGTGATGTACAATGCAGGTACAGGTAAGTGATTTCGTACACTTTTGACACAATTTTGTATAATTCTTTCCCCACGAGTCTTTAAGTCGGTAAAATATATATTTTTGACAAAGTATGTAAGCAATGTATTATATGTGGTAAAGTGATGTCGTATACACGTCGAACATTTACTATGCTGGGTAGGTTTCATTAGGTCTGTTTCACTTCCATTTCTAACGACAGTTGGGAACGTGATTCCAAACACCAAACAAACTTGCTATTCTTGGTAAATAGGACAAATGTTAGTATATATCCAGAAGAAATTCAACGCATTTTATCTGGACTTCCAGATGTTCAAAATCCATAAATGTTTTTTTTTTCTGGAAAAATTATGTAAATTTGAAACTTTATTCAAATAAGTGACTTTACGGCACAGAGTGGTTATAATATACACTAGTACACTGTTAGGTCTTACTCTTTGACATTTAGAGTCCGGAATCACTTCAACAATTTTTTATCGGTCAACACCATTTTTTAATTGATCGATGATTGATCAATTATAAACTGAAAGGGAAAGAAATAAAGCTGCATTCACCGATGGAATGTTTTTCAAAAGCGGTTAACTTTTTTGTGTCTCATAGTCAAACTATGGTAAACTGTACAAAATCATGATTAATTTGTAATAGTCAGAGATAAAATGACTAAATATTAAATAATCAGAAATAACATGACTAAATATCAAATAATCAGAAATAAAATGACTAAATATCAAATAATCAGAAATAAAATGACTAAATATCAAATAAACTTGATTAAACTAATCAGAAAAAAACATAAGTGACTTTGTATGACCTTGGGTATATAAACACTGACCTTCACAATGTTGTCTGGTCCGTACTTGTGTCCTGATTGATCGGGCTCATCGAAGTAGAGAGTTATAAGATCTGGTTTTTCATTGGTCACCCAATTCAGCACTTGTTGCACCCGGTTATCATAAGCCACATTCCTACAACGCGAGAAATGGCAATCAACATCAACTTAACAAGTCTGATCACTGATATTCAGGGCGACAGTTACGATAAATGCCAGTACTGTATACTGGGAAACTTGAGACAAACTTTCGATCAAATATTCGCCCTTTTACAATAAAATCCATGTTCTTTTAGTGTTAACTTCGCTTTATATATGTAGTTACTATTTATTACATGTTGTGAACCAATATTCGCTGTCATGATAAATTTGCCCTCATTTGGGGAGGGAGAAAAAGCCGAAATTTTTACTGTGACAAAAAATTCCTGATTTAAAAGTCAGAGAATACGTATTCTGTTTATGTCATGTTTCTGTTAATATCATGTTTTTCTCTGACAAATGGGAAGTGATATTAAGCGAAATCTGTTGTATACAGTATAAATTAGTCCAGTACACACCAGTGTCTATAAATCATTTTCAAGATCAATTCTATTTGCTGTTATACACATTTTTAAGAGTGTTGGAGTTCACAATGGAGGCAGTCAGTGACCCCTATGTACAACAAATTAATTTAGTTTAATACCAACAATTCTTCATAATTGTCACTTTCACATTTTATATGTATCTTGCAGAAACAAAAGACTGTTAATATAAATAAATTGAAGGGTTTCTAAATTAAAAGCGTTATTGTTAAGAGCAAAATACAAATTTCTATTCACCATACAGCCTTACCATATTCATTACTAGTGATAGTAAGTAAATATTAAGAAAAACAGATGCTAAACACTTACTGGTCATATCTTCTGAAATAAGTAGGGTACGTTCCTGGAATAAACAGAAACAAAATTAGATAATTTGTTAAGCACTATCATTAAAAGGTAATTTTATGACATGAACCAGAAATATGAAAACTGCCATTTGACCTCTAATGCTGACCTTCACCTTGACATAGGGGTGTATACCAGTAGTGCACACGTTATCTGATGTGGACAGGTATGTTTATAATTCCTGATAAGGTCTATAGTTTTATTTCACTTGACCAGTATTCATGACCTTGACAGGCCAAAGGTCCAGCATATGACACACAACCCGATGTTACGCAAGTATAAAATTTTATTGTCTTATGTCTGATGTCTTAGCGTCTTATTCTGACACCCACGTTTATAGCTGGCTAATAGTTAACACAATCTGCAATTTGTTATGCTCGGTTCCACACGAACTGAATTCTTACAATCAGCATATTGACATTTGCTTTGCACTGCCTCTATCTAAATCACTGAGTTATGGGACTCTGGACTGATGACTATGACGTCATTACAACTGTGATGTCGTAATCATGTTGTTTGAGACAGCTGGTAGATAATGATTACCGGATGTTGTATGGATGCCATACATTGTAAACCTACTTGACAGAAGAACAGATATGTTTGAACAAAACTTTAGAATTGTCTAAATCAATGGAAAATAAAAGTAATAAACTACATTTGTTTTAGAGTTTTAGGAATCAGTTTACAAAACATATATCACAGTCCTATAATTCTGAGGACAATCACAGAGAAATATTCACAACACAGTTTCTTGCATTATTTAATTTGTCCACAATTCTGTAAAGAATTTCCAGACTATCTATCTGAACAGAATGCAGTTACACTAAATCAACACCAAATAATCCTCAGTGATGGAATTACTTACCGTTGACTTTTACGTCAGACCCCGGCCAGAAGAAAGTGGCAGCCGTCTTGTTGTTATTCATAACCGTTCTCCAAATCTGTAAAACAAAATCATCGTATCAAAGGATCACTACGAGACGATAAACACATAGGAAAGAAATGTGAATTGTCAGCGTTAAACAATACTGGCAGCAGTTAAGATATACAATCTGGTGATGGGTAATCACTGTCTCTAATGGTAGCACAGACAGCTAACATTGTCACCCTTCTAATTTGTAACACTCTTTCTGATTGGATATCTTTCCGGGGTCTATATGTCTATAAACCCCGCTCTGCTGGGGTCTATAAAAGCATGTGCGAGGGGAGATAACTCACACTAGAATCTCTCTGCATAACGACAAAGATGGCGTCCGAGGTTTGCCAATCATTCACATGCATGATGAAATAGCCTACAAGCAATCTAAAAAGACAGCAAATTCAACGAAACAGGCAATGAGGGGGCCGCTGGGGTGCTTATAACAAAGATGGTTGCGTATTGTCTGAAATATTGCCGAAAATGTGTCCGGTAGGGGCTATTTTGATAGCAGTCAGGTACAACTCAAACTCACAAAGAGACCTATAATTTTGCACAAAAAAACGGTAATAAAAGATTGTCAAGGTGAAAAATTCATTATCTCTGGGTTAGAAGGGGTCTACTGGCTCATAGACCCCTTTTGGTCTATATAGACCAGACGGGGTCTAAGAGCCCGTAGACCCCTCCTAACCCAGAGATAACTAATAGTATCACAGACAGCTAAGAGAATCACAGACAGCCAACTAGAACCACAGACAGCTAATGGAATCATAGATATGAGCTAATGGAACCACAGACAGCTAATGGAATCACAGATAGCTTATGGAATCACATGCAGCTAATGGAATCACAGACAGCTTATGGAATCACATGCAGCTAATGGAATCACAGACAGCTAATGGAACCACAGGCAGCTACTGGAACCACAGACAGCTACTGGAATAACAGATGGCTTATGGAACCACAGACAGCTACTGGAATAACAGATGGCTTATGGAACCACAGACAGCTAATAGTATTACAGACAGACAACAGAGTGGAAGACAGCCAACAGCTGTATCACAGACAGTTTTCGGTATCCCAGACAGTTATCAGTACCACAGACAGTTATCAGTATACCTGCAACACACTTACCAGCTCTCCTTGCCACCACTGTTGATTAAAAGCAATGGCTCCTATCTTGAATGTACCACAGACAGCTAATAGTATTACAGACAGACAACAGAATCGAAGACAGCCAACAGCTGTATCACAGACAGTTAGCGGTATCACAGACAGTTATCAGTATCCCAGACAGTTATCGGCATCACAGACAGTTATCGGGATCACAGACAGTTATTGGTATACCTTACAGTTATCGGTATCACAGAGAGTTATTGGTATCCCAGACAGTTATCAGTATACCTGCAACACACTTACCGGCTCTCCTGGCCACCACTGTTGATTAAAAGCACTGCATCCTATCTTGAATGTACCACAGACAGCTAATAGTATTACAGACAGACAACAGAGTGGAAGACAGCCAACAGCTGTATCACAGACAGTTTTCGGTATCCCAGACAGATATCGGTATCCCAGACAGCTATCGGTATCACAGATAGTTATCGGTATCACTGACAGTTATCGGTATCCCAGAAAGTTATCAGAATCACAGACAGTTATAGGTATCACAGACAGTGATTGGTATCACAGACAGGTATCGGTATCCCAGACAGTTATCAGTACCACAGACAGTTATCAGTATCACAGACAGCTATCGGTATCACAGACAGTAATTGGTATCACAGACAGTTAACAGTATCACAGACAGTTATCAGTATACCTGCAACACACTTACCGGCTCTCCTTGCCACCACTGTTGATTAAAAGCACTGCCTCCTATCTTGAATGTACTGTCTAGGTTACTGTCAAACATGCTGTTGTCTACAATTCCATGAGACTCGGGGTACAATCCCTAAAACATAAACATACACTTATGACAAGCATAGAAATGAGTCGCAATAATTGACTTCATAACTGTAATGTTGTCACAGAATAGCGTCATATAGTTGTCTTACATGAAGAGTAATGATGTCGAAAAAAGTTTATATCACATATCTTATAGTTTTGTTGATGATTAGTTTAACAAAATACACCGATTTGTTGTTACTCAATATGCTGTCATAAAGTATATTCATTTGACTATATAACACTTTATATGTCAAGTGTCCCATCTCTATGCTAAACACAGTGAACATTTTGCTTCTGCACATATCTTAATCGTGAAATTATTATCTGTGCATATTTAATTTTCGAATTTTGGGTCAAAATCGGGAAAATTTAAGCCCGCATAAATAATCCTTTTTATGGTATTCTGACATACTTGTAAAAAAGATGGTATTCCCGTGAAACTATCAAATATCCTCTAACAATTTGTCAATACACTTTTTTAGACGCTACTCACGGTAACAATGGAGTAATGGTTGGGGAAAGTCTTTGTCGGGAACACTGATCTCATGTACGGTGCACGAGTCCCACACCGACTCAGACGGCCAATGTAGGGTGTAAAGTTACGGAGAAGGTAGTCCGCCCTGAACCCGTCTAAAGATATCAGGATCAGAGGCCGGTAGCTGAAAGCATGAAACCGAAAAGACATGTGATGTGGTATCTATATGATATAGTGATTGTAAATAATCTACTGTGTGAAATCAGTTCCAACAATATCTGTTAAAAAGTCAGGTTCATGAAATAAGTGTGCACAAAATATAGGCAGTCTCGAGTCATCTTCATGGCTTAAAACATTTTTTTTTTATAATATTTCACTCTTTATCTGATCTGGACAATCAACATAGGCTGCTGCAATAAAATAAGTGTACCTTGGTTTTTTTTTTATCCAATTATCCTAAAGTGATTAATTATGACCAGATATGAAGGGGAATAATGCCCATACTAACCAACTTCCTTGAATTTGTTTTTGTCTGTCCAAACATCAGTCTGTCGGTCAGCCATCCTTGATACTCCGAGGGTTACGCTCACTTACGCTATCTGAACCCTGCAATATGTCATTGCAATATCTTAGGCTCAGTGTGCTCCACCTTGTGGATCAGACAAGAACCTTAGTTTGATCCTTTGATGTATATCAAAAGAATCTCTCGGTTACATAATGGTTATTGAATTGACTGGCTTTGAAGTCGGGTGTGGTTCCACTGTAATCTTAAAAGGACAGGTATCAGCCGAACGAATAGTCAGTTTCTTTACCTGAAAACAATCAAATACCTAACCCCATGCCTTCAATTTTGTTGTGACATATTCCATGGGTGCAGAGAGCGAAAGTGAGCGTAACCTCTGGATTATCGAGGATGGCTGAACGACAGACTTATGTAGGGACAGACAAAGACAAACTCCCCCGTGATACCTACCTAGATGTACAGGAGTCTTCTGCCACTGGACACGGAGAATCCAGCCAAGTCCTCAGGCTTTGTGATGGCCATAGCTTCTCCGACAGATGTGTCCGCAGTCTGGCAGCTTCTGACACTGAAAACCTTCCCTCCACAAAGAAGTTTAGACCTGTAAGGAGCTCCACATCCCGGACCCGTGCTATATTGTCCTTCAAGTAGTCTGCCAGGTACTGTAATACACACAATGTCTTAGTTTACGGAGAGAAAAAAAAGAAATGTAAATATCAACTTAATGTACCAGGGTACTCTTAGATTAGAATATTTTTTGAAGATGCAACATCAAAATGAGTACCAGTGTCATACAAAATTTTCATCCTCGATAAAATACTCATTTGGATGAATATTTTATAATAATATTAATAATAATTCAAGGTTCTTATATTCCGCTTTATCACAACCTAGTTCATAGGTCGTCTCAAAGTGGTTCACTAATTATTATCCGTGGTTATAGGGCCTTTGCAACCAGCCAATACCTTTCTCAACTCCCGGGGGAGCATACAGCCAGAGCTTCCAATTTGGCACTAACAGCTAGCATTCAACAATTCTAGCACTGCCCAACCATGTACTCATTTACAGCTGAGTAGACTGGAACAGGCGGAGTAAAGAATCTTGCTCAAAGATACAACACAGTGCCATGTCGCAAAACCTTTGGTCACGAGCCCGGCATCCTACCACTAGATTACCACACCTCCATTTTATACATAAAATACTCATCCTGCTAGATATTTTTTGGGGATGAATATTTTATAGGACACTGGTAACAATTCAAATCAATGTAACCAAGCCATACCAGCTTACCTTACAATCCTTTATATATAATTTCATGTACCAAAAGCACCAAACCATTATTTTATTTTATCAATCAAGCAGAAATGTGTGAGACTGAATTATGTATGTTTAGTGTTATGACACATTTATATAGAACATCTTGGGACAAATTTTAAGTAACAAACATCTGGGGGTCGCTCGAGCCTTTCGTAAAACACTTGACAAATTAAGCATATCAGGTCGCAATAATAGCTCTCAAGAGCTAATGTTCCATGTTGATATGTATGCGACTCTAAATAAAGCTTCATGTATCTTGTATCATGTATCTTGTAGGTATTTGCAAAGGGCAGCATAAAACACAAATCACTGTTGAAGTAGTGCTTCAAGAATAACTGTGGGTTGAGTTCAGCAAAAAAAAAGCCTAACTATGCTCAAAACCTACTAGAAGTTTGAAGACAGCAAATTCATACTTACCAACTCTCTCTATTTAGGAGCGAGACTCCAGATTTTGGACCCTAAAATTTTTTAACCAGTGGATTTGCTAAACTATTTCTGATAATTTTCTAAGATATGATGATTTCACCTGAAAGAGCAGCTCAAATGATGCCACTTGGAAGTGTTATTTTTCCCTAGGGTGTCCATACACATGCTTCATTTATGCAAAAAAGTTGACAAGTATGCAAACTTACCAGTCAGAAAGATATATAATTATCTCAGTAAAAAATAGACATGTTGTTAGGGAGACAATTCAAGGGAAGTAACCCTTACCAGGCAGTTGGGCGTGAAGTTGAGGTAGGGCAGTACCAATGACTGGATAAGTATGGAAGCGTCGTCCCCACCACAGGGGTATACCTGTCCAGGTAAGGCACATCTCATCATCACCACAAACACATGGGAAGGGGACGGGGAACTCTCCTCACCCGTCGCCTCGCTGTAAATAAATGGACAAATCACCACCGATCATGCACCTACAGTTTTCACTGTATCATTACCTTTACAATATTACTGAAATCAGAATTGTTCTAAATGAAGCTGCAAAAAGGGCAAAGTGGTACAGCACCATGAAGATTTATTTTAAGCCATCATGATGTCATATACATTGTGGCAACAAAACGACAGAATTTACTGACATAGTAAATACATTCATGATGTCTTTTACTGTACTTTTACTATATTGGCAACTTAATTCTTATGCATTTTTATTTTGTTTTCTTATGGGAAAATCCCAAATGTAAATAGAGAAACTGTGAGCAAGCTTGCAAAGATATATCCCTTGCTTGCGCTTACAATGTTTCTGGAGCAGAAATTAAAGTTTCAAGGACAATAACTCCAGGAAAAGAGTCGAATCACAAATTCTTTTCTTCATGTACATTCACATATGATGTACTTTAACTGTGCCAAGTTACAAAAAATCTAACACATGGTATTGGAGGAGTTGGGCTTAAAAAAGATCATTGACAGATGTAAGGACGGACATTCCAGATTATATTCTTTAATAAAAATAAACAAAAATAATATCAAAAGTTTAACATTATAAATCTCATTTGGATTTTATCTGGTTACCTGCAGACAACCAGACCAACCCCACAGGAATACCTTGATCGGTTGGTGTCAGCTAGTCCGTCTCCATCATGGTCGTACACCGGGCCCAATGTCACTGTGAGGTTACCGTACTGCAGAGCATATTGCTTGATCAGGCCGCGAGTGAAATTCCAAATCTCTGGAAAATACATGCAAAAAATAATTCATGGAACACATCAACAATGCTCAATAATGGCTGACCTGCATGACAAACGGTACTTCAATCAAGAATGTTAGGTCAAATATGATTGGTTGAATTTGATCAAATTGAAGACTTGTTAAAAAGCTGTTCTCATGTCCAAATGAAGACAAAAAGCAGACAGACTGAGTACAAACCCTATAGTCTCCTCCATTTGTACCAGAGAGGAACTAATAAAGCTATGACAGTACATGAAGCCCATATCACTTTGATCAATTTTTTCAACAATTTTCCCCAAAAATGACTGGCAGTGTTAAGTGTTACTGACCTGTGTAGAAGTGTGGATAATTTGGCTGGTACAACCACAGATTCTCAAGTCTGTCCATGATACACACGTCCTCTGAGCTGGTATTTCTTACCTGTTGGAACCATTAACACATATTAACATAAAGCGTCAAAGAAACTTTAGGGATAATTCTGTCACTTGAACAAGTTAACTTAATCATTCAAAGGTTTTGGGTGTGAATAATGCTATAAGAGTCTTGTGTTATAAACAGCCAACAATGGTTGGGAAGGAGGGAGGAGTGTTAAGTCAACAGTTGTTTGGTGTGTGTTGTGTTCAAGTATACAGTAGTTTGGGAAAAGAAGGGGTTGTTTTTGTCAACAGTGGTTTGAGGGAGGAAGGATTATGTCAACAGTGGTTTGAGGGAGGAAGGGGTTGTTTTTGTCGACAGTGGTTAGAGGGAGGAAGGTAAGTGCTTTTGTCAACAGTGATTTGAGGGAGGATGGATTATGTCAACAGTGGTTTGAGGGAAGGGGTTGTTTTTGTCAAGAGAGGTTTGAGGGAGGAAGGATTATGTCCAGAGTGGTTTGAGGGAGGAAGGATTATATATGTTAATGTCAATAGTGGTTTAGCTGAGGAAGAACGCATGTTTATGTTAGCAATGGTTTGGGGGAGGAAGAGGGTAACTAACAGTGGTTTTGGGGATGAAATGGGATGTTTCAGTTAACAGAGGCTTGGGACAAGAGGGGAAAAGATTAAGTCAGCAATAGATTGGAGAAATGGCTGGAGTTAAAGTCAACAAGGGATTGAAAAGAAGGACTGAATAGTAGATGGATGAAGAAGAGGAGAGTTTAAGAAAGAATCTGTTTCCCGACAAGTTCTTATAAAATGATACCTTAAAATTGCAGTGCCATCAACTTGTTAGTAATGTTATCAACACCCTAAATACAGAAACAAGTTAACATAATGTGCAAATTCCTCACCATTTGGTCTGTTAATGTAAACGTTGTGTAGAGAGGCGATTTCAGCATGGTGTCGTATACTGTGATCTGTTTTGGATAGTTCAGTTGACACACACTTGTTTGATTTAGAACTATCCTTGGCAGATGCAGATCAGGGGATGACTGAAAAGAAGAAAACACTAAATAATGACACAGCAGGTCGTCAATACCTTTTAATTTATCATTGTGCATGTTGGGAATTTTATTTCTTGTCTAAATGCAGAAACATGGATACTGTAATGTGTTTGCACTTGGGTATGTACAAATTAATTCCAACAGAAACAAAACTGTTCATGAGCTTCATGACATACAGCAAGAATAAAATCACTTTTGGATGAAGACCAGATATTAATCATAAGTTTTGTATTTAATGAATTTAAAAGAACTTTCAAATCAAACAAATAGTGCTGTGGGGGTTAATTGATTTAAACTATGTCCAGCTGTTTACCTCTGACATTGACCAATCAATCATGGTTTGACTTTGACAAGAAAACTCTCAAGATTTATTGAAATACAGAGCATACTATTTTCACTGCCTTTTATCAATTATGGTGAATGCTTCCCTATCTATTAGTTCAGTTTGTGATTGATAAATGATTCATCATCAATTGTTTACAAAAAAGTGATGATCTTTCATGACTTTTTTCAAGTAATTTCTCACAAATACATATGATTTCACTCTGTTTCTTACTATTTCATTCCAAATACATTGTCGGTTTAACATGTGATTTACTTCTATTATTGGTCACCCATCTGAAATGGGAAGTTCACATATATTGATTGATTTTATTGATTTGTTTTATTTGCAATGTGAAACGTAACATTTTTGTACCATATTGTAAAATCATAAATTTTCGTGGGACATTAAATTTTGTTTATTTCATGGATAATAAAAATCCACGAAATTATATCCCCACGAAAACATAAATTTGGTATGATATACATAGGGGAAAATCAGTAATCAGCTAAATAAAATGTCATTGAAACAGGCTAAAATATGAAAACCACGAAATTTTAACCTCGCGAAAATAAATTATTCTACAGTATATATATTTATATGTCAATCTACTACCAGTTCCGATTTGGTAAGCTGTGATATCAGAACCAAAATGGCGGGCCACAATGTCCAGTCTGGGCCTATGACCGGTAAAACACCGGCTCATATCCAGTAATAAGCCCAACCCCCTAGTATTGACATGTTTTCATGCACAGGCCCCCATCGGCTTATCAACGGTAAAATACGGTTGTAACATATTTGCGTTGACTAAGCAAGTATACCTGGTTCTGTCCACAGAGAGACGGGGTGGGGACTTGACCAGACTGACACACTGGGACTTGTGGCATCATCAATTGTCCTCTTGTACTATTTTTCACCAACACGTGGTCCAGAGTCCCTAGTGTTCCGTTGTTGGGGGCAGGGTCTATATCCAACAACTCTGAAACCAAGTACAGCTTAATTACATACCTAATACCTCAGTAGTAGTACACATTTAACTGTTGTTCAAAATACAAATCCAGAAATCTGAGTTCTCTGTATAAATCAGTACATGTATCATAATAACGCTTGGAGTCTAGATGATCTTTATTCTAAAGTTCTGTTTCAGAAATAATGAAAACAAGAAATACCTTTGAAGAAAAAAAAAACCCAATAGAGTTTTAGTTATGTGGTTAAGTTGGAAATAGCGGTGTATCTACGCCTTTGCTTAAAATATATGATGAGATGAATAGAAAACAAAGAAATTAACAACTGCATCAAAGAGATATTAAGATACTTTTTATGATTTACTTAGTAAAAACCATAATGATTGTTCAATCTCACAAATGTGTGTATAACAAGTTTTATAACAAATATGCGTCACCTACTCAAATATTGAGCAGAATATTGTATAAATATGCGGATTTGGTGTTATTCTTGTGTCAACTAGAGATCATGTCATTGTTATGAGAATGGGAAGCTTAAGAAATCATGACATAATTATGATATTTTCATGTATAAGGAGAGGAATAAACATACAAGGCGTGTACCCTGGCGCTATTTTGAGATGTAGGTTCCAAATTACATAATCATAGCAATCTTGTAGTTCAAACCAAGCTTTTACTTTTTATCTCAAATCCGTTTTTTTATAATATAAACCAATCCACCATGGCCTCTCAAATTAGGCATCCCTGTCGGTGGTGCAAACTGACACCTTATATAACATAGGGGGTTTCCCCCAACTAAACGAGGCAAATTCCTATGTGATCTTTATTGGCTCTGACTTAGAACGAAGAAGGGACAGTAAATATTTACGTAACATAAACATTACCCGACATCAGATTGTACAGCTCGATATTTTCAAAAGGACGAATTGTCATGTTCTGTTTGAAAGCTGGGCCATGAGCCAGAAACAAAGCCTGTAAATTAATACAATAAAACATGTTTTATAACAACAACTAAACCATCAGGAGACCATTGTGATGCTACTGTAGCTTCCGTTCCATCACAATGTCTTCGGACTAACAATGTTCTTCATAATGACATTTCTATATTCATCAAGAAATATGTCATATATCTTAAATGGTAACTTTGGTTAATTAACTGTTAATGCATTGAAAGGTCAGTTATTAAAATATTGTGTTTACTTAAAACAGTAAAAACACTCAGGTGAAACAAATGATTAGAAAATGCAAATATACTAGATGTTATAAGGGAGATAACTCCATCAAACACTATAATATGTACAATGGCATGTATCATCATACTGATCCATATAGAATGACAAAAACAGCAGGGATTAAAGCTGTAATAATTAAGGCGCAATTAATCCTTACGTGCATGGACTTGAAGATGTTGTCCCAGCCATGGTTACCTCCATCACAATTGCTGTAATATGAATTCCTACAACAGGAAAGAAAACAATCCAATGAAAATTACTTGAGATATCGAGTGGAAACCGTTTCAGCAATTGAATAAAGGGCCATAACTCTGTAATTTTCAGTCTTATAATGTTGATTATCAAACTTGTATAGGCTTTCATGGTAATTAAACTTCCTTTGAAGATTTGAGTTAATCTGATGAAAGTTCCTCAAGATATAGAGCAGACACCGTTTCGTCAGTTAAACAAAGGGCCATAACTGGTTGTGGAACTCTTCAAACATTAGGGTTAATCAACCTTGCAATGAATTTTAAGTTAATCCATTAAAAACTACTAAGATAAAGAGCAAACACTGTTTCAGCAATTGAATAAAGGGCCATAACTATGTGAATTACAGTCGGATAATTGTGGTTATGAAACCTGTGCGAGCTTTCATGGTAATTAACCTTTCTAGGAAGGAAGGCCCTAAATAGAAACCACTCTATAGTTCATTCTAATTAACATTAATAGCTGATAACATACTTACAGTATGTGAGCACAATCATAGTTCACATTCTCCTAAAGTATAAACTTGTACATACGTGGACACAAGCCACCGGTCAGCCATGTCCAGCAGGATGTCTCCCACACGTGGATTGTTAAGGTAGTGGAACCGCTTTGGTGCCGTTTCTTTGGTGAAGACCTTCATCACAGATGTGTTACACATCAGTTTATCTACGAGGGCACTGACTGGTACAGCTGTAACAAGGCATTTTATCTGTGTCGTACTTATAACAGGCAAGGCGTTGAAATATATTTTATAAGTCACGTTTCTATTTTGTATTTTCTTAAGCCAATAAAATATTGTATGTCAGAGGATATGTAAGGAATTTTAATTACAAAGGATTTTTACAAAACAATATTAAGTTTGAGACACCTTCAAACAAAACTGTGTCCAATAACGTGCTCGGTGAATATTTAGACTGGAAACTTTCGGGATTATGATGCCTGTTTTGCTGTGAATTTGTTGTCTTTTTTTCCTTTTGTCATGACCATGGATAGCAATCAGTACATGATTATGACAGCGACATATTGAAAATTAATGTGAAGGTGTTTTTGATCTGCTTTACAGTCTAAGCATATGATAAATAAGAATAAGAAATACTGGTCCTATGACATGATGCTTCTAACATTATAATTTCCAAACATCAACACCGAAAAATTCTCACTCTCCCACTGAACTGAAATCAATCTTACTTACGATTTTCGTTTATCTTAATGTTCTTCCTGGGGCCGCTGTATTTAGTCTCAATGCGTCCGAATGTTCCGCTGGAGATCAGGACCTGGCTGGTATTGATGTGTTTTGACAGGTCCACGATCTGGTTACAGGACGTGTCATCAAACCCTGCGTATAAAACCTCCACTAAGTGTAATCTAACCACTGTCAAACATTCTTTGTTAGATGATGACAGAAAGACATATTGATCATATACTAGCAAGTGCTTCAGATCCAATATACAATATGGTAACAAGTATTGCGACACGAACGCAAATCTCAGGGATGGAATGTGGTAGGTGACAAACTTTACAGTGAACAGGTTTCAACAAAAAAAAATATCTGTTTATGGTTAATATATATATAGAAACACACACTTAAACAATAACTGTGAAAAGGTTTGAAGTAAATAAAAAACAGACTTTAAGATAAACTGAAATCCGGGTATGCATAAAGTCATCTTGAAAAACATACATAAGCACTCTCATCCATCTGCAACTGAAGTTTACGAAAATACCAAAGATTAACTGAAATATGATTCTTTGATTTAGACAGGTACGACATTTTGTCACTTTCTTGTTAATGGTAGATTGATTGTTTAGTTGTCTTTATTAAGGTCACATTACACGAGAAGGACAGTAAAGATCATTCTTACCGTGGTCAGCAATGATGATGATGTTGACACAATCGTGTAGATTCTGCTGGTAGAGACCGTCCATCAGTCGTCCCACCATCATGTCCATAGTCCGAAGTCGCTCGTTCAACTGGAGACAAACGCAGTCATAAAGCAATCTTCATTTGATAATTATTCATTTTATTAACGCATTCAAGGAACAAAAGATACTGCCGAGAGAAACCAACATCCCATTAGGGTTTAGGATGACATGGTTTGAAGTTAAATACACTGTTTCAGATATTCTATTTATTATAAAGGTGACCAGTATGAGGAATTGAAAAGCAATTCCAGCACTTTGGAATAACAGAATCTTTCATCCCCTTGGGGGTGAGAAAGGGGAATCTCAAACCTAGGGGGGAAATTCTTAAGTTGCCAAACACTTGGCAAGCCTCGAAAATTCTTAAGTTACCAAACACGAGGCTTGAGATTCCCAATCTCACCTGACCTTAATGCATCGTTGACGTGATGTCATTTTACCGTTAACATGAATGATGTCATACAATTGTTACGAACAATCCCGTCTCAACCCTGGGATGAGACAATGATATCTTACACCGGTAAAAGTGTGGATACGCCTGTCCAGGGTAAGAGAGAAAATAGTTTTTGATGAAGTATTCAGTAATAATGAACTAATGGAACCAATGTCCTTGTGTGGTAATTAACTGATAATCATTTACCATGACCTTGACCTTTGATCATTTGACCTGGAAAACAATCGGATCCTAATCAATCGTTGGAACAAGAAAGCTCTACCCATAGTTTGATACATACCAGGCCACTCTCTGGTCCCTGTTGATGACCTGCATGGTCTGGTTGGTCAAAGTACAAGGTGACCATGTCCGGCTTCTCGTTCTCTGGCATGGTCAGCCAGTCTAGGACTTCAGACACACGTTCGGGGTAGCCCGCGGAGCTGTGACCATTATAGGCAGAGTTAGCATAACTATACCTGTGTACTCACTAGATTGTGTCTGGAAACTGTTTGTTTGTTTGTTTGTTTATGTTTAACGGCCCATCGACGGCTGTGGTCATTTAGGGCCATGGTGATTTATTTATTCACTTTACTTTTTTAACAAACATGTGAATAGCGAAGATAAAATCAGATAAAATGGTTCATTTTAAAAGTATTCGCATTGTATGTGTAGATAATTAAAAATAATAAAAGGGGGTTAAAATAATAAAAGAGATAACGAATAGATGATATGGAATATGCGATATATATATAACGTCAAAAAGGATAAGGTGGGTTAAAAGACATCAGAGTCTATAAAATAGACCGATGTCTTTCAAATAGTTAAATAATGCCTTCGAATCCACGGAACTGAAAAGTGTTTTCATATCCGGGACTCGGAAGTAGTTATCACGAATGTGTTTAAAATCGGAACATTCTATTAAAAAATGCTCCACTGTAAATGGAGTGTCACATGCGTGGCATGAAGGTATATCTTCTCGTTTTAAAAGGTACGAATGAGTAGGATATGTGTGCCCAGTGCGGAGCCGAGCGAGGACAACTTCCTCTCTACGATCTTTCCGACTGGGAATAGATGTTTTAAGTTTCGGTTGTATCTTAAAAAGTTTGTTGTTGGTCTCCAGAGACCAGCGTTTCTGCCATTCATTTTGAATGGCTGTACGAATAGTAGGTTTAAAATCTGTGTATGGTAGTTTGATATTTGTTTGTTCGAGATTCAATGCATTTTTTGCTTCCCTGTCAGCAAATTCGTTGCCTTTTATTCCGACATGGCTCGGAATCCATAGTAAAGTTATTTTAGACTTTTTTAATATACGAGATATTCGATGAGCAAGGTTTTGTACGATTGTGTTTTTAGGATCTCGTAACTGTAAACTCTGTAGGACAGATAGAGAGTCTGAACAAATAATTGCCTTTTTAATGCGGTGTTCATCGATATGGTCGAGGGCCAAACCAATGGCGCATGCTTCAGCAGAAAAGATGGAGGCGCCGTCTGGTAGTCGGACTGAAGTGCAAGTATTGGCAGTACAGCAGGCTGCTGCCACTTTCTCACCTTCTTTGGAGCCATCGGTGTAAAGTTGTGTATGAGAAGGGTAATTCGAAATGCATTCCCGAAAGGAGGATTTGTGTTCTTCGGGCATAACACTTGATTTCCCTCGCTCATGTAATGTAAAGTTAAAATCGGGGGTTTGAATGGTCCACGGAGGAACATCAGATATGTTAAATTCAGCTATGTCCGTCAATTTTATGTTGAGTTCTTGCAGGAAATTCAAAATTCGGATACCAAATGTTGGCAGAAGTTTTTGGTTTTGCGTAAATATGTTTTGGTATTTGGGGTTGAATACTTGGTTGAAAGCAGGATTTTTAGGGTTTGATTTTAATTGAGTTGCANCTGGAAACACCAGATATTCAGCAACATATGATCAAGTATGATAACACCTTAAGTAAAACAGCTTAAGTAAAACAGCTATTTCATGTCGTAATCCAAATATAGCACCAAGAGAAAATTTTGCTTTCACATAGCAACAATAAATGACAACGCTCTTTTGATTAGGAAATATGTATTTTGAGTTCTCATGATGTTAACTCATATGACTATGTATCACAAAATATGAAGAAACAAGCATATTCTGTAACATTTCTTGGAATGCCAAAAAATATTGTTTGGTATTATGACCAGATATAACTGAGTCAATATCTGGATATGACTGGACATGACTGGATATGGCTGTGGATATGACTGGATATGACTGGATATGAGAATTTCAGAGATTAACAGGTATGCATACATGTATTAAGTTACAAAGACTGATAAAACTAGAAAATGTCTGTAAGACATGAATGCCCAGCCAGCCCCCACATGAAATCCGGTCCAGTGTTTGATAATGCTTTATAAAAAGTTACAAACGACTTTGATCTTGACACACTGAAATATGTACCCATTCAAGGTATTCTCACACTTGACCTTTGTAAAGTACGTATTATCAAAATCCATCAGGAATTAAACTTTGTTAATTGATGACTCTGAATTGCAATTGGTTGATGATTTTCTTTAACCCTTTCACCCCTATGTAACTTGAGTTAACTCTACCATTCTTTGATATGGATGAGTCCATTATGGTCTACAGTGGTGAAAGGGTTAAATAGCAATGGTAATATAGGCCTTGACGTTAGAACCCTAAAACACCAACACATCTGACGTATTTGCATACTTTTGACATTTGTACAAAGTTTGATGAAAATCTGTCAAAGTGTGAAGTTGCTAGGGTGTTTACATAGAATCCCAATGTGACTGGACGGACATGGGCAACACTAGTATTATATGCCCCCTCCCCTTCTTATTTTTTTCAACAATTCTTATTTTTCATGGATGGCCTAAAGATGCTTACTTACCCTTTGTAGGGCTTCCAATAGTCAGGATAAGTTCCTATAAATCAAATGAAAATCTTTCAACAAATTTTGAAACAACACATTCAATAATGCACATAATAATCTAGACAAAAAACTAAAAAATCAGTCAACTGTTTTTATATTTTTTTGTCAAGATTCTAGAACAATGACAGAAATTTAAACCACATTTAGAAAAGCTACATATAGTTCACATTATATCTGAAGTATCTTCTTGTTTGAACGTTTAAATAATCAATGTCAAGCATAATTTGTCCTACCAGAAATGTTGACATCAGATCCTGGCCAAAAGTAGGTCGCTGTCTTCTTATTTTGCTTCTTTGCCGTTATCCATATCTAAAAATAGAAGTATACATACACTGGTAAGGTAGTAATTACACTTTTTAAGTGAATATAGAGTAACATTGTTTGTAAAAGGCAGAAATTTTATAAATGCCCAACTTTTAAATACATAATCAGATAGTTAATACATTGTATGACAATGCAAAAGCAAGTGAATACTTGACATAGTACTGTGCAACATGAATTGGACATGTATAATAATCCTTTTTAAGTTTTCTGATTACAGACCATTTACTCGACACAATCTGTTTGATTATTTGCACAAAAGGAAGTTAAATCATCCGATACATGGACTGCACAAATATATGCAGTTTTATTGCAACCACAAAACAACTCTGAAATTATACAAGTATTCACGGCAAAATTTACATATTTTATACAATATTACAAAATTTGATATTTTACAAAATGTATTCAAAATGTAATTTTTTATATATAATAAGGGACAAAAATGTACTGATTAACAGTATATATGTACTCATTAAATAGGTTTGTAACAGGAAAGAGGTTAGTGTGCTTCCACCGGGGATCGAACCCTCGATCTCCAGGATCCCAGACGGATGCTCTACCACTGAGCTAAAGGGATATTCCCTCTAGCTCAAAGCTGGAAGGCGACCGTAATCCTATGTACAATTAAAATCTGCAAAACTACTCCCCTCTTTTCTAAATGTGTTCGCCCTCAAACATCACAACCCAGGTTCTAACTCCCTGACGCCACAGGGAGGGCCATGGTCACCATTTGTAACAGGAAAAAGAGGTTAGTGTGCTTCCCCTGGGGATAGAACCTAGCAATCCCAGACTTCCATGTCAGAAGCTCTACCACCGTGCTAAAGGGAAGCTAGAAGGCGATTAGTCCTATGTATAATTCATACCTGCCACAAGTTTTTATATAAATTAATACATGGCCACCATCTCAACTCTGGTTAAACTAGAAAATGTCTGTAAGACATAAATGCCCTCGCTATTGGCTGGGACGTAACGGGACGGGACGCGACAGGACATAGGCAACACGATGTGCCCCCCCATTTTATGGCGGGGGCATAAAAAACACAACAAACTGTTGTCATATGTTTGAGGACTCACTGGTTCGCCTCCCCACCAGCGTGGGTCCATCTTGGTCCAGCTGCCCAATGTGAAGTATTTCCCAATGTGCTCATCGTACATCTTGTTGGAGATTATTCCGTGCGACTCTGGGTACAGCCCCTGTAAAAAGTTATTTACTTATAACACTGGCTACCTGCAGATTGTTAGCTCAATTTTCATATGTTCTCAAAGAGCATATCTTCAAATGTAATTTAATTTTTCCAACCCGTTAAAACTAGCAAGACATACTTTTCCAATTTCATTATTGTATTACACACTATTTGTATAGCACCTCATTCAAAAAAGAAATTTCAAGGAAATTACTGTTAAGTATTTAACATACACGAGGGGTTGACAGTCAAAATAACCAGGAGGGCGTGGGAGTAATCCAATGTTCACGCGTCATCATTACAATGTATTTGTACTTACTTTAAAAGAAAAAAATATATAACTAGTTCATCCTGGCATGGTGTATTACAAATATGAGAATTCTTATTAACCCTTTCAACCCTATGTAACTTTAGTAAACTCTTCCATGCATTGATTTTGATGAGTCCATTATGGTCTGCAGTGGTGAAAGGGTTAAACAAAGTAATTGCATGTGTAACAGAAAGTAACAGTACTCATATAACATTACAATGGTAAGTAAGGATTATCTGTCCATGTCTATTGTACATTTAATTGTACGTTTTAATATGAACTGAACTCCGAAAAAGTACTTCAGGGGAAAATTGTTGAAACTAGCCGCCCCATAGAATAAGTACCAACGTCCTGGTGACACTTGAGCCTGTTGTGATAGATTCTTCCCTTTTCATATTTAATTGTTCATTGATCACCCTGCATACTTTGGGCATCCATGTTCAAGCGCAGCACCCCACTAAACAACAACCCACTTTTGTATGGGTGTTGGCTATATTATTCTGTTTAAGATCCAATTTTGTAGCACTATAAGTGTGAATGTGTGAGGTCATGGGTTTGTATAGGTTTTTTGCACGTTATGGGTTTGTATTTTAAGCAGAATATTTAAAGTGCCATACCACTTATTCATGAATACTACAGCATGGAAACCACATCAGTAATACCCAACATAGACTATAAAATACTCCACTCTAAGCCGAAGGAGTTGAGCAGCAAGGGTCAAATCCAGTTCAAGGACACTATCACATTCTAACAAAAACCCAGTTGTCAACAAGCCAGCGTTTTTACAAACTGTGCTATGTGGCCCAAATTTGTTAGACATTTAGGTGCCAAGCAATTCAAAGATAGCAGGATATATATATTCTGTGAATCTCTGAATGTGAGAAGAAATTATCAAGGTCAGGTGGATGTAGGGTGTGTACTTACTGTGACAATGGTGTAGTGGTTGGGGAAGGTCAAGGTCAGGTTAGATGTGACCTTAATTGTTGATGGTGTAGTCGTTGGGGAAAGTCAAGGTCAGGTGTATGTAGGGTGTGTACTTACTGTGACAATGGTATAGTGGTTGGGAAAAGGTCAAGGTCATTTAGGTTGGATGTGTACTTACTGTGACAATGGTGTAGTGGTTGGGGAAGGTCAAGGTCAGGTTAGATGTGACCTTAATTGTTGATGGTGTAGTCGTTGGGGAAGGTCAAGGTCAGGTGTATGTAGGGTGTGTACTTACTGTGACAATGGTATAGTGGTTGGGGAAGGTCAAGGTCATAAATGCAGCATGTGTACTTACTGTGACAATGGTGTAGTGGTTGGGGAAGGTCACAGTAGGGAACGTAGCCCTCATGTATGGAGTGTGTACCCCACACTGACGCATCTTGTGGATGACAGGTGTGATGTTCCTCTGGATATAGTCAGCACGAAACCCATCCAGGGAGATCAGCAGCAAGGGCTTCTTCCTTAGATGTTAAGTAAACTGTCATCATAACATTGTCTAACACCCATGACCCTATTTGATACAGCAATGGGGGTAGTCACCTCAACAAATCACGACCAATTTATCATCTGAACCTTTACTCATACAAACTCTTATACATAAGTTGTCCACTAAATAGGGAAAGTAACTTATAAGTAAAAAACAGCATCTCACGAACAAAACTCAGAACGACACTGTTTTTTGGATTTTGGTGATTTATTTCGATTTAAAAAAAAAAAAAAAACAGATTTTGTATTCCCAAGTACTTATAAGTCTTGAAAAATAGGGGTACCACAGACTGTTTACGGGGTAAAAAAATCTCCCTGTTTGGGGGCACACTGAAGACTGTTATTTGTTAAGTTGTTTGAACATTCTAAGAAACTACATCTACATACCCTTTACACTGACCAGTGCTGTGGTCACTACAGGCTAGTTCTGACCAGTGAAGAGCCAGGTCTTTGACTGCCCACACTTGTGTGGCCAGGTGCGTCCTCAGTTTGACACTTCGGACGACATCTAAATCTGAAAAGAAATCCAGTCCTGTTTGTAGCTCCACATCCCGTATCCTAGCAACATGTTGGGCCAGGTAGTCTTCATCTGGCTGAAAATAGAGAATAATCAAGGTCTAATCTAAAACCGGACATAAAAATTGACCAAGAATAACAACTAATGAACTACTGGTAGGTTAAGGAAATCTTCATCTGTAATGATAGCATTTGTCTGTTCCCACCTGTACACAGACGGAACACTTACCAGACAGTTGGGTTCTCTGTCCATGTGTAATGATAGCATTAGTCTGTTCCCACCTGTACACAGACGGGACACTTACCAGACAGTTGGGTTCTCTGTCCATGTGTAATATTGGTAGCATTCGTCTGTTCCCACCTGTACACAGACGGACACTTACCAGACAGTAGGGTTCTCTGTCCATGTGTAATGATAGTATTTGTCTGTTCCCACCTGCACACAGACAGGACACTTATCAGACAGTTGGGTTCTCTGCCCATGTGTAATATTGGTAGCATTCGTCTGTTCCCACCTGTACCCAGACGGGACCCTTACCATACAGCTGGGCTCTCTGTCCATGTGTAATATTGGTAGCATTCGGCTGTTCCCACCTGTACACAGGCGGGCCACTTCCCAGCCAGTTGGGTTCTCTGTCTATCTGTAATGATAGCATTTGACTGTTCCCACCTGTACACAGTCAGGACACTTACCAGACAGTTGGGCTCTCTGTCTATCTGTAATGATAGCATTTGTATGTTACCACCTGTACACAGACAGACACTTACCAGACAGTTGGGTTCTCTGCCCATGTGTAATATTGGTAGCATACGTCTGTTCCCACCTGTACACAGGCGGGCCACTTCCCAGCCAGTTGGGTTCTCTGTCGATGTGTAATGATAGCATTTATCTGTTCCCACCTGTACCCAGACGGGACCCTTACCATACAGCTGGGCTCTCTGTCCATGTGTAATATTGGGAGCATTCGTCTGTTCCCACCTGTACACAGTCAGGACACTTACCAGACAGCTGGCTTCTCTGTCCCTGTGTAATGATAGCATCTGTCTGTTCCCACTTGTACACAGACAGGACACTAACCAGACAGTTGGGTTCTTTGTCCATGTGTAATGAGAGCATTTGTCTGTTCCCATCTGTACACAGACGGGACACTGACCAGACAGTTGGGTTCGCTGTCCAAGTGTAATGATAGCATTTGACTGTTCCCACCTGTACACAGGCGGGCCACTTCCCAGCCAGTTGGGTTCTCTGTCGATGTGTAATGATAGCATTAGTCTGTTCCCTCCTGTACACAGACGGGACACTTATCAGACAGCTGGGTTCTCTGGCCCTGTGTAATGATAGCAATTGCCTGTTCCCACTTGTACACAGACAGGACACTAACCAGACAGTTGGGTTCTTTGTCCATGTGTAATGGTAGCATTCGTCTTTTCCCACCTGTACACAGGCGGGCCACTTCCCAGCCAGTTGGGTTCTCTGTCTATCTGTAATGATAGCATTAGTCTGTTCCCTCCTGTACACAGACGGGACACTTACCAGACAGTTGGGTTCTCTGTCCATCTGTAATGATAGCATTAGTCTGTTCCCACCTGTACACAGACGGGACACTTACCAGACAGCTGGGTTCTCTGTCCCTGTGTAATGATAGCATTTGTCTGTTCCCACTTGTACACAGACGGGACACTTACCATACAGCTGGGTTCTCTGTCCATGTGTAATGATAGCATTTGTCTGTTCGCACCTGTACACAGACGGGACACTTACCAGACAGTTGGGTTCTCTGTCCCTGTGTAATGATAGCATCTGTCTGTTCCCACTTGTACACAGACGGGACACTTACCATAAAGCTGGGTTCTCTGTCCATGTGTAATGATAGCATTAGTCTGTTCCCACCTGTACACAGACAGGACACTTACCAGACAGCTGGGTTCTCTGTCCATCTGTTATGATAGCATTTGTCTGATCCCACCTGTACACAGAGGGGACACTTACCAGACAGTTGGGTTCTCTGTCCATGTGTAATGGTAGCCTTTGTCTGTTCCCACCTGTACACAGACGGGACACTTACCAGACAGTTGGGTTCTCTGTCCAAGTGTGGGATGATGAAGGTCATTGTGTCCAGCTTGTCAACATCACATGACGACACATTGACCAGTGGTTCGGAACATCGGACAAGAATGATGAAATAATGGGACGGTATCGCAACAGTTTTCCCAGCATCCACAAATCTGTAACCAGAGGTTAATCATTCAAAGCCTACATAAAGTCATTATCATTTGTTAGAATTGTCTAAATATTGTAAATCAGTATGTCTGTCTTGATGTCTTTCAAAATACATTAGCCCTAATTAAATTTTTATCTACCTTTGTGTTAATGATCTGACAGATTCAACTCATTCATCCCTACATTTTTAAAATGTACTTGTCCAGTCTTTGATTTGGTAAGGTTCAAATATGAATTTAGGGGTAAATGGGTTAAAAAAAGTTCTACCCATTGAATGTCAAATCTTACACTTGTTGAAAGCCATAAGGGTACATTTTTTTGTTTTCAATGGATTGAAATTTCTGTTTTAATCCAAAATTAAATAGCATGACTTACCTTGTGCTGTTGGTGATCCCCTCCCATAGTCCATCTGAGTTGTGGTCAAACACCGGTCCAGCGGTCACTTGGATGCCCTGTGATTGTCTGTTGTAATCACTTATCAATGTCCACACATATCGCCAAATACCTGAACAAAATTAGTCATTTAGTAAAATTATTTGAAAACCTGCAATAACAGAACATCTTTACTATACACAGATGTATTTTGAGGACATATTCATTTTACATGTATATTGATTCTTAACAATTTTTGCCATAAGGTGAATGTGAATAAGAGGGGGGGGGGGGAATGTGTGGAGAAGTGGGGAGAGAAACTCCCAACCTTACAATCTTGAAAACAAAATATCACTCGATGTATTTTTCACATAATATTAGAAATACAAATGTAATAAAGAAAAAAATATGTATATGTAGGCCTACTGTGTATTATGACAAACAGACAATGTTCAATAAACCTTCTCACCTGAATAAAATCCTCTGTACATTGGGACAGTGTTGGTGTGTAGTCTACTCTCTGTCTGTATGGTGTCAAAACCTGTTAACAGGACAGCCATAGAAAGTTCAAAAACATATATATTATTTTTTACATATATTGAGCTCGATGGAAAAAAGGTTGAATATTTTATAGCTTTTCATAAACTTCATTTAAGAAACAAAACCACATATATAGGAATGTCTTTTCACTGGCATCCATGCAGGTAAGACAGAGATTCAAGGAGTCCAGCAACTTACTGTTTCTCAGAAGCAAGAATAATTGAAATATATGTGATTACAAATAATGACTGTGTTCTCCACACAGAATTCCTGTTACAGATTTATCTTTCTGACAAAGTATGAACATTGTACCCTTTTCATTAAACTAAAAATTGTAATGGATTAGAGACTACTTTGAAGTTTTGAAACCCTAATTTATACATATGTTGAAAGACATTTATGGTAAATAGTCAAAATCTAATTTATCTGGCATTTGAAAAAAACAAAAAAACATATTGAGCTCGATGAAAAAAAGGTTGAATATTTTATAGCTTTTCATAAAACTTACCACATATATAGGAATGTCACCATATCCTGATTTTTTATAAAAAAAATCTCATCTCTGGCCCTTACCTGGATTGTACAGAAACACCTGTGTGATGTTGTTACCATGGTAACTGTCACATGAAACCTTCGGTAATCTCTGGTCTAGCAGCACACATGCATCGTCCAACAAACTCACATTCTTGGCACAAAGACAAACAGAAAATAGCTTAAACCCAACATAATCAACAGATGACAACAAACACATAGTTGTTTTTTCTTCTTCTTTTTCAAATTGTATTTATACATTACATCATTATGTTTGAGATTTAGACATCCGTATAGTGATCTTAAAATATCATTCAGGACAAATTAAACATGAATTTGACAATTTCTGGATCCTTACCTGTTTCCTGGTGAGAGTGAAGGTTGACCAGACAGGTGTATGAAACAGTTTGCTGTACCCAGTCCTGAAGTTTCCCTGATCCAGTTCACATATCTGTAACCCACTATGAGTGGTGACCGGAGCGCCAAACAAGGGGGTATAACTCCGCACCGAGGCAGTGGTGCTAGTTGGCAGCTTCAGGCAATCAAAACTTCAAATCATTAGGATGTCAAAAGATGATAAGTTTAATTTGTTACAGCATGATATTGAGAAATCTCTTATCTTAGTTTATATTTATATCTCAATTTAGCTACTTTCATCAGTTACATAGCTATGCTATTCAATCTGAAAAAGAGACCTCCAGAAAACTAATTACAGAAATACGAGTTTCCTTCACACATGTCAAACTTGTATGGTAAAACTACCCTTCTGGTTTTGTCAAAGCCTGAGAGATCCTTGCTCAATAAAACTATTCTCACAAAGTCGCATACTTGCCAACTCTCTCTATTTAGGTGGGAGCTAGACTCCCAATCTTGGACCCTAAAATTGAGCATTTTTAACCAGTGAAATTGCTAAACTATTCCTATTTTCTAAGATCTGATGATTTCATCTGTGAGAATAGTTCATTGAAAAGATTTTATGTAAAAGTGCTATTTTCCCCTAGGGTGTACATAAACACATTTCAATAATGCTTTTAATTCCGAGCACACATTATCTCCCCCATGGAAATTTGGCAAGTATGAAGTCCTCTCAGACTCAGAAGGCTTGGTTAAATAAAATTGACATTCATTAACTTTCACCGTTTGTCATAGCCAGAGAGATCCTTGTTCAATAAAACTTTTCTCACAAAGTCTGGTTTAGTCCTCTCAGACAAAGAATGCTTTGTTAAATAAAATTTACACTCGTTAACTCTCTCCGTGTTTTCACAGCCCGAGAGATCCTCGTTCAATAAAACTATTCTCACAAAGTCGTCTTTAGTCACAGAATGCCTTGTTAACTAAAATGTACACTCATTAACTCTCACCATGTTGTCACAGCCACAGAGTGCCTGTTGTGGTCCAATAGCAATATGTGTATTACACTTGGGACATTTACTTAAGTTGGGTTGATCTCTTGTTTGAGGGTTCTTCAGCATGTCATCCAGTGACCCAGTGGTACCATTATTAGAGCTTGGCACAATCTCTAGTAGATCTATATGGACAGGAATATCATTTTTAATAGATATTGCTTTCACCTTCGACAACAAAACAATTTTTTATAGTCATATTAACATGTAATAGTACATGGTCCGTATCCAATCAAAACACACATTGCAAATGAATCTTGTTGGAATGCCAAAGAAATTCTGGACACCTATACATATAAAATAGATTATAGTTTTGCTTATTTGGGGCCCCGTCATGTGCCTGGCCATACCCCCAATTGTCTATTTCTAGTAATAGTGACCTTGACCTTGAACTTGAAAAACTTTCAAACCCCTTTTAAAGTCCATTTTCATAGTATATGTTCTTTTGAAACAAAAAAGAAACATAAGTTGCAAAGTCGTGTTTTTGATGTTGTGAAGCGCAAGGGGCATTGAGATGTAGCAGGAGAGGCTATATTAACTCCTGGGCTACAAAGCATACCATTATAAGCCACAAGTTTAAAAATGTTAATTCCTCGTCAACTCATGCTAGCCATAGGCTTTAGTCATACAGAATGTGTATTGAAAATATAACAACAAGATAAGTGATACCCACCTGACATCATGTTGTAGAGCTCAATGTTCTCAAATGGTTTGGTTGTGTAATTCACCTTAAATCCTGGTCCATGAGCCAAAAATAAAGCCTGAAAAATTGTATGAAATAAATAATAATAATAAATAATAATACAAATCCATTTAAGTACTTTTAACGCCATAACTAAAACAGATCTCTTGTCCCCTGTATGGCATCTATGAAACTGCTACAAGTTATTCCTCAGATACACGCTAAACAGAATGAAAATTTGAGAAAGAGATATTTCCTCACACTATGGAATCAAGGATCATAAAAATACATCTTTTTATATTGGCACATTTTTACTTAAAAACAAATTATTACCAATAAACACATAACATGACAGCTGGAAATTATTCCACTTTTTGTTAGCTATAGTATTGTGGGATTAAATTACAATGCAAATCTGACTTTCACTATTCAGACATTTACAAATATTTGTTTTCATTGGTTCATAAGGCTTTTTATTTCTTTCTAACAGTGAAATATTACCAACAATCAGCAGCTACCCATCTTCAAAACATAAACAAAATTTTACAAATGTTTAGATCATTCGCAGTCATAACAGTCAATACACATCTCTCAAAGTCTCACTGAAATAGACAGTTCTGTGCTGTATAGTTGCTAATTTTCGCAGGGGATTTAATTTTGCCATGTTTGCGATAACCAAGCTAGGATAGCTCAAAATTGAATACTCAGTGAATATTAATACCATGAATATACGAGGATGTAGAAAAGACCTGTTTACCCTTTTACTGCTGAATAATACCATAAAATACCAATTCACTATTGTATTTAAGTTATTTTGTTAAAACACTTGTAAAATAACTCCCATCACCCAAACACCCCCGAAAGCCCCACAAATCCTGGGAACTAGTTCAGATTGACACTACAGCGAGATATCAGCCCCATAAATCAATTAAACAAATTAAACAATTTAATTCAACAAGTAAAATACTAAAAGGTGAAATACCATACAGAAGTTAACTCTGTTTACAAACCAATAAAATGAGTAAATTTATTATAAAAACAGTGACTTAAAGGGAAGAAGTATGTACAAACATCCATGTCTGAAGTTGCGTACCTACCTGCATACTTTTGTACAGGTTGTCGTAACCATGGTTACCTTGCAAACAAAAGGAACTTCGCTTCCTGGCAAGAGATGTACAACAGCATCATATAGAAATACATTTAGAAAATATTTCACTTTATTTTTCAAATATATTACTGAGATGTCATCACAAGAAATGTAGAAGATACAGAGGCCTGTTTAAGTATTTTGTGGGTAAATATGATATGAGAGACATCAACTTTTCTAACTACCATCATGGTTTATTAACATCATAATAAATCATTAAGATCTTTACTAGAAATGGGCCTGACTGTACCCCATGGTCTAATTTTCTAACAGTGACCTTGACCTTAGAAACTTTTAAAACCCCTATCGCACATCTACATGTCGCAGTGTAACGCAAAGTCAAATTTCAAAAAGATTAGTCAATCTCTTGAAACAAAATGTGGACGGACAGACAGATGGACAATCATGTGATAGCTATAGGGTACTGCATCACTGATGCGGGGGTGCTAACTAGCTCCTTAAGAAATAAGATGTGATACAACAGTGCAAGTGGTCAACTATTACCTTGACACTGTCCACTTGGCCTGGACATCCAGGATGACATCCCCTATACGTGGGTTGTTGGAGTAGTGGTGGCGGACAGGAATGTCTTGTTGTGAAAAGGCATGGAAATGGCCACTCTTACACTCCAGTCGCTTCAGCAGGGCTGCTTCAGTCATCACTGTCAAACACAACAAAAACATAAATACTGCAGGATGAGATGTTCAATACTAAACAGTGGAATTGATACTGAAGTACATTGATTCATGTGGAGTGGAGGAGCTGGACAGTGTTACAATATAACTGCATGATTTCGGACTCGTTGATATTACATATTGTTTCTTACAACAAGTATTCTACCAGGTATTTTTTTGCCAATGAAATATCCATTCCTCACGGGTGAAATGCATATTTGCCTGGTGTTTATTTCATTTTGAATTATGGAAATACTTTTTGTTGTTATCGCATGCATTTATATTAACCTTCATGATAAATTCACCCCCATTACAGATTGCAACAAGAGTACCGTGGGGCGGGACAATATACGTCCGTTGAATGCCATATAGTGTTATATACTTTCTTTCATTGAAAAAAGATCTGCATCATTCTAAGAATGGTTAGCTGACATGCTGTAAAAAATGTAGGAGAAAATCTCCGACAAAAAATCAAATACTGAAATGAACAAAGGACAATAACTTTTGCAAAAGAAGTCGAATCAAAATTCTTTTAAGGGGGACACAACTTCATATCATGATTATAAAATATACTAAGTTTCAAAGAGAGCCGTTGAAAAATGTAGGAGGAGATTGCCGGACAAAAAATCAAATACTGAAATAAACAAAGGGCAATAACTTTTGCAAAAATTGTTGAATCAAAATTCTTTTCAAAGAAACACAACAACATATCATGATTATTAAGCCTCCTTGGTTTCAAAGAAATCCGTCATAAAATGTAGGAGGAGATCTCTGGACAAAAAATCAAATACTGAAATGAACAAAGGGCAATAACTTTTGGAAAAATTGTAGAATCAAAATTCTTTTATGGGAGACAACTTCATATCATGATTATAATGTAAACCAAGTTTCAAAGAGATCGGTCGAAAACTGTAGGAGGAGATTGCCGGACAAACAAAAGTTTACGCCGGCCGGATAACGCCATACCATAATACTTCCGTCAAATTTGACGGGCGTATAAAAAGGGCAGGTAATTAAGTGTAAAAAGATATCACAGTTTACTTTTAGGGTCTGTTTATTTTTTCTATAGGAAAACTGTATCATTTCTGACCTTGTCTATGTAACTAGTATAACATACCTGTATTATTTCTGACCTTGTCTATGTAACTAGTATAACATACCTGTATTATTTCTGACCATGTCTATGTAACTAGTATAATATACCTGTATTATTTCTGACCATGTCTATGTAACTAGTATAACATACCTGTATCATTTCTGACCTTGTCTGTATCATTTCTGACCTTGTCTATGTAACAAGTATAACATACCTGTATTATTTCTGACCTTGTCTATGTAACTAGTATATTATAATATACCTGTATCATTTCTGACCATGTCTATGTAACAAGTATAACATACCTGTATTATTTCTGACCTTGTCTATGTAACTAGTATAACATACCTGTATCATTTCTGACCTTGTCTATGTAACTATTATAACATACCTGTATCATTTCTGACCTTGTCCATGTAACTAGTATAACATTCCTGTATTATTTCTGACATTGTCCATGCAACTAGTATAACATACCTGTATTAGTTCTGACCTTGTCTATGTAACAAGTATAACATGCCTGTATTATTTCTGACCTTGTGTATGTAACTAGTATAACATACCTGCATTATTTCTGACCTTGTGTATGTAACTAGTATAACATACCTGGATTATTTCTGACCTTGTCTATGTTACTAGTATAACATACCTGTATTAGTTCTGACCTTGTCTATGTAACTAGTATAACATACCTGTATTATTTCTGACCTTGTCTATGTTACTAGTATAACATACCTGTATAATTTCTAACCTTGTCTATGTTACTAATATAACATACCTGTATTATTTCTGACCTTGTCTATGTAACTAGTATGACATACCTGTAGTATTTTTGACCACAACATACTCCTTGCCAATCTTTTGTTGATGGAAATCCTTGTGGACTCGACCAATGGTGCCGTCAAACACTAGCACCTCATTGGTTTTGACATAGGTACTTAGCTCTACCTTCCTGTCACAAGATGTGGCCTCCATTCCTTTAATAAGTGAAAATAAAGTTTAGTACATTCTGCTACTGAATTCCACTAAAAGACTTTCACTAGTATTTAGTTATGAATTTTTAATCATTTCTCAGTGACAACTGTATACCAGAAAATGTTCGCCCAGTCAATCTTTCCCTCTTCTCTGATAAAATTCATATTTGCTCAGCTTTAATTTCGCCCTTCACATTTTGATAACAATCTATATAATGGTTCTTTACTAATGTTCGCTATAAGGATAAATTCCCCCTCATTATGGAGTGTGAAAAAAGGAATAGTATATATTTTTTACCTCATTTTTCAAAGATTCACACCTTTGATTGATTGAGTAAAAACAGCAGGATTGTGTATAATATGCATTACTTACCATGGTCAGCAAGTATGATGAGGTTTACACAGTTGTGTATGTCACGGCTATACAGGCCTTCCATCAACCTCGCTATCACCTGGTCAACTCTCGTCAGCATGGAGTTTACCTGGGGAAATACACAGTTAACAATACAACAATCACCCCATAACTGTCTATCACCTGGTCAACCCTTAGTCAGCATGGAGTCTACCTGGGGAAATACACAGTTAACCATACAACAATCACCCCATACCTATCTATCACCTGGTCAACCCTTGTCAGCATGGAGTCTACCTGGGAAAATACACAGTTAACCATACAACAATCACCCTGTACCTGTCTATCACCTGGTCAACCCAAGTCAGCATGGAGTCTACCTGGGGAAAAACAGTTAACCATACAACAATCACCCCATAACTGTCTATCACCTGGTCAACTCTTGTCAGCATGGAGTCTACCTGGGGAAATACACAGTTAACCATACACAATCACCCTGTTCCTGTCTATCACCTGGTCAACCCAAGTCAGCATGGAGTCTCCCTGCGAAAATAAAACAGTTAACCATACAACAATCACCCCATAACTGTCTATCACCTGGCCAACCCTCATCAGCATGGGGTCTACCTGGTGAAATACACAGTTAACCATACACAATCCCCCTGTACCTGTCTATCACCTGGTCAACCCAAGTCAGCATGGAGTCTTCCTGGGGAAAAACAGTTAACCAAACAACAATCACCCTATACCTGTCTATCACCTGGTCAACCCTCATCAACATGGAGACTACCTGGGGAAATACACAGTTAACCATACAACAATCACCCCATAACTGTCTATCACCTGGTCAACCCTCATCAGCATGGGGTCTACCTGGGGAAATACACAGTTAACCATACACAATCCCCCTGTACCTGTCTATCACCTGGTCAACCCAAGTCAGCATGGAGTCTACCTGGGGAAAAACAGTTAACCAAACAACAATCACCCTATCCCTGTCTATCACCTGGTCAACCCTCGTCAGTATGGAGCCTACCTGAGGAAATACACAGCTAACCATACAACAATCACCCCATACCTGTCTAACACCTGGTCAATCCTCGTCAGCATGGAGTCTACCTGGGGAAGTACCCAACCAACCATACAACAATCCCCCCATACCTGTCTATCACCTGGTCAAACCTCGTCAGTATGGAGTCTACCTGAGGAAATACACAGTTAACCATACAACAATCCCCCTGTACCTGTCTATCACCTGGTCAACCCAAGTCAGCATGGAGTCTACCTGGGAAAATTAAACAGTTAACCATACAACAATCACCCCATCCCTGTCTATCACCTGGTCAACCCTCGTTAGCATGGAGTCTACCTGGGGAAATACACAGTTACCCATACACAATCCCCCTGTACCTGTCTATCACCTGGTCAACCCAAGTCAGCATGGAGTCTACCTGGGGAAAAACAGTTAACCATACAACAATCTCCCCATAACTGTCTATCACCTGGTCAACCCTCATCAACATGGAGACTACCTGGGGAAATACACAGTGAACTATACAACAATCACCCCATACCTGTCTATCACCTTGTCAACCCTCATCAGTATGGAGGTTACCTGGGGAAATACACAGTTAACCATACAACAATCACCCCATTCCTGTCTATCACCTGGTCAACCCTCGTCAGCATGGGGTCTACCCGGGGAAGTACCCAACCAACCATACAACAATCACCCCATACCTGTCTATCACCTGGTCAATCCTCGTCAGCATGGAGTCTACCTGGGGAAGTACCCAACCAACCGTACAAAAATCACCCCATACCTGCTTATCACCTGGTCAAACCTTGTCAAATTAAAAACTGTACAGTAAATATTAGTGTAGACTAATATGATTTTAGTAAAACTGTCCCGGTAAATTCATTCCACAACTGTTAAGACAATTGTTTCAGACATATTACCTTTGAGCTTACTGGCCCACTGCCATGTCCAGAGTGGTCAGGCTCGTCGAAGTACAGGGTGATAAGGTCAGGCCGCTGGTCATCTGTCAAGCTCAGCCATCCAAGGACAGTGTCCACTCTTTCCTCAAAGGTCACTGACCTACAACCCACAAACTCAAGTCAACATATGTCAGTAATACAGGTCATATTTCTTTAACAGTTAAAGGATTCTCATTACTAAAGGACTAGGGACATATCCGGCCTCATCATGGATTTAGAATTAGTTGTAATATTCGTAATCTGGAATAAATGAAGTATGCAAATATGAAATTTCAAATTCATTCGACAACTGGTTTCGGAGATATTGCATTACAAAGAGAGACATAAAACGGAATATCGTCTGGTGTGTGCTATTTGGTTGAAAATCGACAATTTTGCAGCAATGTAACTAAACATTCTTCAGTTTTTGAAAGCCTCCGCATGCACCAGACAAATAAATATTTGACATACGTAAACATACCTGTGTTCAATCGTAGAAAGAAATTTTGTTAGTCACATGCAGAGGCTTTAATTTCTGTTGGCTAATCATCCAAAACTACCATCTTTTGGCTATTTCTGCATAGTGACGGAATTTTGTTGCTATGGAAGGGTATCTAGGCATGCGAATTGGAAAAAATCTGCACCAACAAAGATAGCCCCTTTAACCAATATGATGTTTATAACAGAAATTGGTAAATAAATTCTTGAAGTTGAAATTTGTACTTTTTTTGAGGACGAGAATGCCCAAAGTCCTTAATGTAATCTCAGACTAACTGAAATAGTTCTGAAGCAGACTTTAACTTCTTCCCCACCCCTCCCCCCTCCCAACCCCCCAACCCCACTCTACAGAAATTAGTACCCATAAGAATTAATCTAACACTGAATAGATCTGCCCAACCGGTTACATTGACATTTTGTACAAGGACAATCCTGCCTTGTCTGAACTTGACCTAAATGTCTGACCTTCACCTCTGATGCTGACCTAAAGAGACCTGAACTTGACCTAGATGTCTGACCTTCACCTCTGATGCTGACCTACAGAGATCTGAACTTGACCTAAATGTCTGACCTTCACCTACCCATCATACATTCTCCATGTATCTGGCTGTATCCCTGAGATGTTGACATCAGACCCGACCCAGAACATGGACGCTGATTTCTTGCCCTGTTTCTTTGCTGTAGTCCAGATCTGTCATCGAAAAATAAATTTGTATTTAAGTGTTCACAAAAACATTAATTTACAATGGACACAAGATTGATGCTTAGATAAATGAATCATCAACAAATTTTCAAAAAGCAAATTTTGAGAAATGTTTTGAAATTTACAAACAATTGCATTTATTGTATTGAAGAGATCATTTTAAATTCTATTACATTTAGTACAAATGTATAAGTTATTAATTTCACTACAATGAATTTAAGTAGATTACAAGTTTTGCATTGATATGCCATTATTTTAAAGCTAATATTGGGTTATTATGATCAGACCCAGATATCAAACAATTATTGTCTGATCATTGAATGATAATTTGCAGAATATCCTGTCTAAAATCATAGTATCACCACATATAAGGTTTTTCAAGTCACAATATTTGAGAAAATTCATGAACATTTCCTTTTTAGAGACAGTTCAGTTTCGAATTATTTAATTTTTTACGTCAGGAACATTCACATAAGATAATAAAACAGAGATACTGACCGGTTCTCCGCCCCACCACTGAGGACCATACTTGACGCTTCCATACAGAGTGAACGTCTGGTTTATGACAGGGTCATACATGTTGTTGTCTACAATGCCATGAGACTCTGGGTACAGGCCCTGGTGAAAACAGACATCATACATCCTTATCATCATGATTAATAATGACAGACTTCATCATAACTAATATTTACAAACTTCAACACAACTAATACTTACAACCTTCATTACAACTAATACTTACAAACTTCATCACGACTTATATTGACAGACTTCATCAATACCAATACTCACAAACTTCATCACGACTAATATTGACAAACTTCATCACAACCAATACTTACAAACTTCGTCACAACCAATACTCACAAACTTCATCACGACTAATATTGACAGACTTCACCACAACTAATACTTACAAACTTCATCACGACTAATATTGACAGTCTTCATCACAACCAATACTAACAAACTTCATCACAACCAATACTTACAAACTTCGTCACAACCAATACTCACAAACTTCATCACGACTAATATTGACAGACTTCATCCCAAACAATACTAATAAACTTCATCACAACCAATACTTACAAACTTCATCAGAACCAATACTCACAAACTTCATCACGACTAATATTGACAGACTTCATGACAACCAATACTTACAAACTTCATCACGACTAATATTGACAGTCTTCATCACAACCAATACTAACAAACTTCATCACAACCAATACTTACAAACTTCATCAGAACCAATACTCACAAACTTCATCACGACTAATATTGACAAACTTCATCACAACCAATACTTACAAACTTCGTCACAACCAATACTCACAAACTTCATCACGACTAATATTGACAAACTTCATCACAACCAATACTTACAAACTTCGTCACAACCAATACTCACAAACTTCATCACGACTAATATTGACAGACTTCACCACAACTAATACTTACAAACTTCATCACGACTAATATTGACAGACGTCATCACGATTAATATTGATAGACGTCATCAGGACTAATATTGACAGACTTCATCACAACCAATACTTACAAACTTCATCACAACTAATATTGACAGACTTCATCACAACCAATACGCACAAACTTCATCACGACTAATATTGACAGACTTCACCACAACTAATACTTACAAACTTCATCACGACTAATATTGATAGACTTCATCACAACCAATACTAATAAATTACTTCACAACCAATACTTACAAACTTCATCACAACCAATACTTACAAACTTCGTCACAACCAATACTCACAAACTTCATCACGACTAATATTGACAAACTTCATCACAACCAATACTTACAAACTTCATCACAACTAATATTGACAGACTTCATCACAACCAATACTCACAAACTTCATCACGACTAATATTGACAGACTTCACCACAACTAATACTTACAAACTTCATCACGACTAATATTGATAGACTTCATCACAACCAATACTAATAAATTACTTCACAACCAATACTTACAAACTTCATCACAACCAATACTTACAAACTTCGTCACAACCAATACTCACAAACTTCATCACGACTAATATTGACAGACTTCATCACAACCAATACTTACAAACTTCATCACGACTAATACTTACAAACGTCATCACGACTAATATTGACAGACTTCATCACAACTAATATTGACAGACTTCCTCACGACTAATATTGACAGACTTTATCACGACTAATATTGACAGACTTCATCACAACTAGTACAAACAACCTTCATCACGACTAATATTGACAGACTTCATCACGACTAATATTGACAGACTTCATTACGACTAATATTGCCAAACTTCATCACGACTAATATTGCCAGACTTCATCACGACTACTATTGACAGACTTCATCACGACTAATATTGACAGACTTCATCACGACTAATATTGACAGACGTCATCACGACTAATATTGACAAACTTCATCACACCTAATATTGACAAGACTTCATCACGACTAATACAAACAAACTTCATTACGACTAATATTGCCAAACTTCATCACGACTAATATTGACAAAGTGGCCATATATGAAGGGGGGTACTTAATTACTGTGACGATGGTGTAGTGGTTTGGGACAGTCAAGGTCAGGTATGTAGGGTGTGTACTTACTGTGACAATGGTGTAGTGGTTTGGGGAAGGTCAAGGTCGGGTATGTAGGGTGTGTACTTACTGTGACGATGGTATAGTGGTTTTGGGAAGGTCAAGGTCGGGTATGTAGGGTGTGTACTTACTGTGACGATGGTGTAGATGTTTGGGGAAGGTCAAGGTTGAGTATGTAGGGTGTGTACTTACTGTGACAATGGTGTAGTGGTTTGGGGAAGGTCAAGGTTGAGTATGTAGGGTGTGTACTTATTGTGACGAAGGTGTAGTGGTTTAGGAAAGTCAAGGTCAGGTATTTAGGGTGTGTACTTACTGTGACGATGGTGTAGTAGCTTTGGGAAGGTCAAGGTCAGGTATGTAGGGTGTGTACTTACTGTGACAATGGTGTAGTGGTTTGGGAAGGTCAAGGTCGGGTAGGTAGCCCTCATGTATGGTGTATGTACCCCACAGTCCCTCAGCCTTTCAATGGTGGGAGTCATATTTCGATGGAGATACTCTGCTCTAAACCCATCTAGTGACACCAGCAGCAGAGGAGGGGTACGTCTAAAAGAGACCAAAATAATTCCTTACATTATTCACAACATGTTGTTTCATGGTTATTTATCTAAATTCAAAAATGTCACATCGCTAAAAACATCTGTATGTACAGCGAGTTTTTTTTCAAAAATATTGTGAATATACATTTTTTTTTAAATCTAATTATATAAGCTGTTTTTAGTTCAAAATCAATACAGACCCTTTATGCAAGGTACAGGATTTTTAAAAAAATGTACCCAGTAAATGAAAACATATTTTTGAAAATTTAGGCTGTATTTAGTTCAAAATTCATACAGACCCTTCATGCCAAGGACAGGATTTCTTGTTCGCTTCACAAGGCTGGTCCATCCAGGTCTGTGCCCCTGTTTTGTGGGTGGTGAGGCCTGGTGGACTACTGGTAGTGGGTACTGTCGACAAGGTTGGTAAAGTGGTGGCCTTGGTCGTTTTTGTCGAGGGATGGACCGTTTCCTTTGCGACAGTAGTAGTGGTTGGGGGTGGTACAGAGGCTGCCACAGTAACAGGTAGGGGTCCTTTTGTAGATTCTCCATTTTGCTGTATCTTTTGACTTTTTGCAGCACTCCCCACTCCGTTTGTATTACTTGCATTGTCATTATGTTTTTGGAGCCCAAGACCAAGTCCTAAGCCGATAGCTAGACCACACACTGTAGCAACCTAGGAAGTACAGACCATGATTAATCAAAACATCTTTGTTTTTATATTTATTGATTTTCAAAATAAAGGCTGAATGAATAGCTTTCTGATGATTTGAGGTGCAAACTCACTAAGTTATTTTACTTTAAATGTAACAGGCCTCTAGACCTTACTCACACATATATGCTCCACAGATACACAAAGTGAATAAACAAACTCGCTCTGTAGCAGTATTTTGTTTAATTTCTTCAATGTATTTAATTGATTGAAGACTATCAATATTTCAAATTTCAACATTTCCAGGCATCAAATACTTACAAACAACCCGATGTAGATATAGCGATTGCGTCTTTTTCTTAGTCTTAGGCTGCCAACCTGTGAATGTATATATAATTTGTTGTAAAGTATTAAAACTCTTTAGAATTCTAAAAGGTAAGTGAAATGACTAAACATGATGACTACATCAGCTACTTAGTGCATACATGTTCATGCTTCATGATTTACAGTCAACTGAAATCAAAGATACTAGATCTGTGTGCTATCCACTGTGCCACCCGACCATTCTAGGTTGATATGACCCCAAGTAAGGACCTGAGCTGAATTCTAGCTCTTACAAGAGACCTACAATATGAAGGTCTCTGCTCTATCCAACTGTGTCCGATCCTGTCTGTGTTGTAGTTGTTTCGGCATGCTGAATTATTTTAAAATATAAAGCAGCATCACAAAGGAAATAAAATGCAAACAAAGTACAAAGTTGAAAATGTATAGGGTGGTCGGGTGGTGCAGTGGATAGCGCACTTGCCTTTCACCAAGGCGACCGGAGTTTGATTCCCCGATCGGACGTGAAAAGGTTGGGGTCACCTGCCCGACCACATTTTCTCCAGGTACTCTGGTTTCCTCCCACACTAAGACCCCCCACGCACTAACATCTGGGCCAACAAGAGTGATTAAAATAAGTTGAAATAACTTGTTTCATAATTGTTGTAAAATAAATAGTGTTTATATTTATATAAAGTTGAAAAATTAGGGTTGTCAAAGTGCCAAAAATAATGTAAAATATTGAAACATGAATTTTAGTCGTTTTGGTATCAAGTAGTTTTGCGAATCCTGAAGACGTTTCGGGACTTAATCAAGTTGTTTCGGGACATATAGAATTTTCACTTATAAATAACATTTCGCTCCCGCTTCATATAAAGGCCTGTAAATACACTAGTATGGTTTTTAATAAGTCTATGACCCGTGTCACGACTTACACGTGCTTGGGATCATTAGTGTTACCAGATTGCTAGTGTTTGAGGGGATACCTACCAACATTTACCCGATTAACAGTGTGTTGTTACCTTAATTGTGAAACTAGTCTCATTATTAAATACAGATCTAGAGAAACTTATGAAATTCAACATTCAATTTCTTTCATTATTGATAGGTTCATTGCAATTGTTTGATATTGCAATATTTTCAATTCACTCTATTCTCCATTATTGACATTAAGTGAGGAATGAGTTAACATTGATTCCAACAATGTTTTTATCATATTTTTTTTGGTTATATCAGGGATGTGTATAACATCCCTGGTTATATTGAAATTAAATTTCATGAAAGTAAAAACTTGAAACACGTAGAATATGTTTTAGACAAGTGAATCAATTCATCAAATCCAGTAATATAGTTTGAACGATGTTTTTACGTTGTGTATTTGTGTCTGTGAATATTATATATATTTACTTAATATTTTATTAAATTAAATCATGTATAATGGTAAATGTATGGCGGGAGAAGGATATAAGTTGTAATAACTTTTATCCAATCCATTGTTCAAATTTATTTGATGTTAAAACATGTTATTAAAAAAGAAAGACAATATGGTATCTACAGAAGAAAAAAATGAAAATTCCCGAACCGACTTTTGACATGTCCCGAAACGACCCGAAAAAAGTCCCGAAACGACATTCGTCTTGTTACCTAAACGACCTGACCCCTCTGTAGTACGTATACAGTGACCACAACATTTCCAAACTCATGAAGCCTGATCAAAGGGGTTCGTTACAAATGTCTGAAATAAACATATGCGTTAACGTTATAGGCCTACTGATATGGGTCACAGCACAAATAAACATACACAAACCCATGTGGCCTGATCATAAGTTATGATCAGGCCACATGGGTTTGTGTTATTTGACATAACATGAAATTCGTTTCTAATATCATTCCAAGTCTATTCTTATTTACTTGTCATAGGCGGAATGCATATATTTTTTAATCTTGATAAAAATCCGTGAGTAACAACTTTGCCATGAAGAGCTGCGATCAGATAACCTTTTCGTGGACTGACAATGAATTCCAAAATTGCCGCAACTTTCCCCGCCAGCCAGTCAAGATGCAGCATCCGACTCAGTCAAACGTTCTGCTGAGAAGAGGAGAAGAAGAGTTCACAAACTCAAGCGTCGGCCTAACCGTTGTTGTTAGAAAATGGTGGATGGTATATTTTACCAAAATAGAACAACTTGATCTAGTTAAGGTAAGCATCTAAACGACTATATATCTATCAATTTGAACAATTGCACAGTTTCAGAGGTCCATAATGAAGTTACAAGCACCGACGTGTAATATGAGGTGATCATTTATAGCAAGTTCTCGAGATATTTGCTAAAATTGACAGGGGACACTTGCCAAATAAATAACAACATCATGAACATGGATTTCACGTGTATTTCCTAAAGCAAAACAAACACGTTTTGTGTCGCGTACACAGGAATCCTTCAAAATCAGATATATTTAATGCCAGTTTATTAAAAAAATGTTAAACTTCATTTGCATGACAAAATATTGCTTGAAACCCCGAATGTGAACGGAAACTTGATGTGGAATCTGTCAAACATTGTTTTCCGAAATGTCCACCTCAGTCGCCACAATAGTCTTGATATTATCAATGTCATGCCATTAAACACATAAATGCTCAATTCATGTTGTCATAGACATGAAAAATAGTATATACAGTTAATATAATTTCTACATCAACATCATTATAGTATCTGTTGAGTATCCCTTATAGATGTTTTGTAAACAATATGCTAAGTTTATAAGTTGATTGCTGCTGTTTGTTAATTGTGTTTGACAGAGACAGTTTGAGGGTCAATGTGTATGTATATATATTGACTGTTTAGTGTTCCATTGATATTACAAGATAATGTTAATACAACATCATACTTTTATTATTTCAGGTTAATTAAATATACAAAGAAATCATGGCCTGCAACATGACACCTGTTTTCATCAAATCTGATTCAGTGTTAGGCGCTGCCCTTATGAATGAGATTGGGTCAGCGAGATCTACTCACCAGGAAAGCAGCGTGTATGACAGGGTTATGTCCAGGATACAGAATGTGTGTACTGAAAAGTCTGTTGAAGAAAATATTTTGTTGGGAGTCGAGTTCTGGGAATCCCTAAAGAAAGGCACACTACAGTGGATTACAGTGCCGGGTGGTTTATATGTGTATGATTGTGTACAGGGATTGGATTTTGGTTCTGCAGAGGAGCATGGTAATTTGATTTTGCGTCATGAGTTTTATGGGCAGTGTATGGAAGAATATTACACCTTGGTCACCACCGTGGAGGTGTCCGAGCCGTCCCAGGACTGGATAGGGCAGGAGATGATCCAAACCCACGTCAGAGTGATCAAGGAAATGTTAAAGTTCACTGATGCTGAGATCAGGAATGGACTGGAAATTCTTCATGGCAGAGGTATAGCTTTTATCAATGCTTTTATTAATTAGATCAACACTTAAACATACTTATAATTAACCCCTTCAAAATCCTCCCAAATTTTGTAGACGTACAAAAATGTACATATTTTTTCTGATTTTTCTGACATGTTTAATTTTGAGTCATCGCATACTCTTAAAATGTTGCTGAAAACAAAACTATTTGATGTAAATGCTGATAAATATCTCTATTGTTATATCTTTGCAATGCATTGGAAAGGCAAATGTTGTTATGAGACTATAACAACATTTGCTTTTGTAAGGTCATCAATTTCTATTGTGACATCATCCATTCTATTGGTGTCAAGACTGTTTGAAATAGCTTAATAAATCGTAACTACTCTATCAAAATGTAAATATAAATGATGAATATTTTAGCAAATATTGTTATGGCCCTATAGCTAAAATAACACACATTTCTATTGCTGACAAACTTGCATAAAGCCCTGTTGGGCTTAAATAATATCATCATGATCAATAGCAATGTGTGTTATAGGACCATGACAACATTTGCTAAAGCATTCATTGCTTAATTAATTTTAAGGTACTATATATATATATATTCAGACCATTTTCTGACTGTACCAATTGGGGTAGCATATCAACTGGGGTATATGTAGCATACCTATACAATGATCAAGCGTGATACTTTGTACACTAAATCTTTCAATCAAGTTTTCACATATCTACACATACATTGTATATTGTACACACATACATCATAGTGTACTCAAATATATTAAAATGTACTTATAGTTATGCATTACATACATTAATATGGTAAAACTGTCATAGATGTAGATGTACATGTTTACATGTTGGATTTATTATATGATTTAAATATCAGGATGAAAAATAGTATTTTAATATCTTGAACACTTCTTTATAGTTTTCTTTATTCTAATTATATATAAGCAGCAAAGATAAGCTGGCAAACAAGAGGACATCATGTTATATAATTAACCATTATGCGTTATATTCATATACATAGTGAGGTTTAGTGTCAGAATCAAGCTGTTGTTTGGGGATATATAAGAACAACCAGGGTGTTGTTTGGGGGTATATAAGAACAACCAGGATGTTGTTTGGGGGTATATATATATGTTAATGACAACCAGGGTGTTGTTTGGGGGTATATAAGTTAATGGCAACCAGGGTGTTGTTTGGGGGTATATAAGAACAACCAAGGTGTTGTTTGGGGGTATATAAGGATGACCAGGATGTTGTTTGGGGGTATATAAGTTAATGGCAACCAGGGTGTTGTTTGGGGGTATATAAGTTAATGACAACCAAGATGTTGTTTGGGGTATATAAGTTAATGACAACCAGGGTGTTGTTTGGGGGTATAGAAGTTAATGACAACCAATGCAAGATGTTGTTTGGGGGTATGTAAGTTAATGACAACCAGGGGGTTGTTTGGGGGTATATAAGAACAACCAGGATGTTGTTTGGGGGTATATAAGAAAAACTAGGTGTTGTTTGGGGGTATATAAGTTAATGACAACCAGGGTGTTGTTTGGGGGTATAAAAGTTAATGACAACCAATGCAAGATGTTGTTTGGGGGTATGTAAGTTAATGACAACCAGGGTGTTGTTTGGGGTTATATAAGGACAACCAATTTTGAAAATGATGTTTGGGGGTATATTAGTTGAAGGTATGTGCACATAAAAAAAACAATATGCATGTCTAACCTGGAGAGATAAGATGAGGTATGGTTTGTGAAATTATAGATTCATGCATGTAGAAGAATAATTGAATTATTGTAAACACTTAAAAGTGAATCCATGGCCAACGTGACATGTAAAATGGATATATTAGCTAGATTTTTCAATAAAAATAAAGGGTGGAGATGAAATTTTCATATATATACAGTGAATGGCCTTCATTGTGTGATGAGTATATATATATTTATAAATATGCGATCCGAAAGTAGGACTGTGCATTGTTTGTGAGGCAAGAATGCTCTCATTACATTTCTTTATTCCAATAAAATTAACGCAAGGATTGGCAAAATTTCTACTTATAAACAGTAACTATGACCCTACATGTATGTTACAGTACACTGAACTCAACACAAGTTTGTGAGAGGTATTTTATGCTTAATATGCACTTATGTAATTATGTTGATTTTTTTCCTCGAAATCCAAACAAACATGTATGCATGGTAGAGCATGGTAGATCATGTGTGATTATGAAATTTCATATTTGATAAATATAATTACAAATATGGATAGCAGAGGCCTGGGTAGCAAATATATTCAGTGACCTTGACTTTCAGTTCAGGTATCAGGAATCTGATCACGGTTAAATAAAAAAATAAAAAATCAAGGTATTTTAGTTATGAAACCACATGTAATGTTTCATTAAAACCTAGAAAAGATGAATATGATACAAAGGAAGGAAATCCCTCACTTTATACATGTAAACAGAAGTCATGATCTTAATGACAGGATTCTGAGACAAGCACTCATTTATCGTATAGTCTAGTATGTACGTACGGAACACTTTAACTCAATGTGTTAAGTTTCATTCAAATAAGTCAGGATGAAGATATTAGAGTGGTGAAAACTGAATATATCTGCACCCCAGCTGGTGTACCTCATCGTATTTCAGACAAGGCCAAGGCCCTTAAAATGAACATTATATGTACATGTATCGACTCTTTATTAACAGTTGTTTAATCTTTCTGACAGGTGAGGCAATAACTTTTGCTAGCCTGATACACACTCTGGGGACGAGGGAAGATGCTGTGGTAAATGTGTATGTTGGGACTAGGAAGTACGCCTTCTCTGCCGATGTTCAACTGGTCCTCCACGAATGTTATGATTTCTGTAAGTCATCACTGGTTCTCAATAAAGGTTGCGATCTCTTAAGTCATCACTGGTTCTCTGTGAATGTTATTATATATAGCTGTAAATCTTCACTGGTTTCTTATGATCATAAATGTTAGGATTTCTGTAAGACACTGGTCTTACATGAAGGTTATGATGTCATAAGTTATTACTGGTTCTCTATGAATATTTAATTTACCTGAAAGTCATCTCTGGTTTCCGTGAATGTTACGATTTCTGTAAGGCACCACTAGTACTGGTCTTAGAAGGTTTATAATTAACAATACATAAATCATTGATGGTTCTCAAGATAAATACATCTTTCTTTGGTAAGTTGGTGAAGGTTATTTAGTAAATTGTCTTATTGCCCTTGCTCCTGTTCACTTCGTTGTATTTGTGGGATTTTTCAGATGGACGAGAGCCGACTCAAGCCGAGTTTGATTACCAGTATAACCGTATCAAAGGTACGGGCATAGGTAATACAATATATATACCATACATATAACTATACCACACCTGTAATAAGTAATTACAATGTACTGTCGTAGGTAATACAATATATATACCATACATATAACTATACCACACCTGTAATAAGTAATTACAATGTACTGTCGTAGGTAATACAATATAAATACCATACATATAATTATATACCACACCTGTAATTAGTAATTATATTGTACTGCCATAGGTAATACAATATATACCATACATATAATTATACCACACCTGTAATTAGTAATTACAATGTACTGTCATAGGTAATACAATATATAGCATACATATAACTATACCACACCTGTAATTAGTAATTACAATGTACTGTCATAGGTAATACAATATATAGCATACATATAACTATACCACACCTGTAATTAGTAATTACAATGTACTGTCATAGGTAATACAATATATAGCATACATATAACTATACCACACCTGTAATTAGTAATTACAATGTACTGTTATAGGTAATACAATATATACCATACATATAACTATACCACACCTGTAATAAGTAATTACAATGTACTGTCATAGGTAATACAATATATATACCATACATATAACTATACCACACCTGTAATTAGTAATTACAATGTACTGTCATAGGTAATACAATATATACCATGCATATAATTATACCACACCTGTAATTAGTAATTACAATGTACTGTCATAGGTAATACAATATATACCATACATATAACTATACCACACCTGTAATTAGTAACTACAATGTACTGTCATAGGTAATACAATATATACCATATATATAATTATATACCACACCTGTAATTAGTAATTATATTGTACTGCCATAGGTAATACAATATATACCATACATATAATTATACCACACCTGTAATTAGTAATTATATTGTACTGCCATAGGTAATACAATATATACCATGCATACATATGATTTTATCACACCTGATATAATGATTAGAACATTTTGGCTATATTATGTTGTATCCTGTGAAACTGAAGACACAGTCGTAAAATGGGGCATGTAAAAAATATAATTTGTTCACTTTATATATTCACTTTTTTGCTGTAAAATGATGACAAATTCAGTGTTGAACTATGATATGGTAAAGGAGTTATGAAGTAATGGAATAGCAAATTAAATCAAGCACTATAACAATGGGACAAATTTGAAGCTATTACGCAATGGTAGAGTGAATATGACTGCAAATTCAACACTAAAATTACATAAATAGCAATTTCATCATTAAAATATTGTGAGGACAAAGACAGCTATAAAGCAAACGGAGAGTTAATTCTGTGTAACTCATTCATTCCTGAAGACACATTTAAACTTCTCCAATTCAAAAGTTGGAATAGTTCATTATGAAATTTCAGGGGTGAATGAGTAACATATTTGACTCTCTTTTCCTCCAAAGTTAAGAATTTAAAATATATTGAAATTTAAAAAGAGAATGTAAAATCTAGATAATGACTTATTATCACAATGTGTTATACATGAATATTTAAGTTGGTATACATTGGTTACAGAGCACCTGATCAATCAGCTGGCTGTTAAAGACGAGGAGGTCACCAACATAAACCGTGACAAGGAGCGGCTCCAGGAGAGGGCTCGTCTCCTTGACAACCAGGTTACTACAGAGCAGGCACGAGCTGTACAGGAGAGAAACAGGGCAGATCGTCGCCATAGGGAGAAACTAGAGGCCTTACAGGAAGTCAACACTGCTATGGAAGCAAGGAACGAGGCCCAAGAGTTGGCTAACGAGGCTGTCGATGGGATCATACAGGAGCAGAACAAAGCCAGGGCACTTAAGGAGACAATGAGACTCAAGACTGTTAAGTTAGAGCAGGAGAAGGAGGCAGAGAGAGTGAAAAATGTACAGTTAGAGCAGGAGAAGGAGGAAGAGAGAGTGAAAGCTGAGGCAGAGAGAGTGAAAAATGTACAGTTAGAGCAGGAGAAGGAGGAAGAGAGAGTGAAAGCTGAGGCAGAGAGAGTGAAAAATGTACAGTTAGAGCAGGAGAAGGAGGAAGAGAGAGTGAAAGCTGAGGCAGAGAGAGTGAAAAATGTACAGTTAGAGCAGGAGAAGGAGGAAGAGAGAGTGAAAGCTGAGGCAGAGAGAGTGAAAAATGTACAGTTAGAGCAGGAGAAGGAGGAAGAGAGAGTGAAAGCTGAGGCAGAGAGAGTGAAAAATGTACAGTTAGAGCAGGAGAAGGAGGAAGAGAGAGTGAAAGCTGAGGCAGAGAGAGTGAAAAATGTACAGTTAGAGCAGGAGAAGGAGGAAGAGAGAGTGAAAGCTGAGGCAGAGAGAGTGAAAGCTGAGGCAGAGCGAGAACAACTCCAGCAATTTTTTGAAGAAGAAAAGCGAAAAATGATGGCACAATTCGAGGCAGAAAAAAGACAGCTCTTGTTAAAGATGCAGCAGTCGTCGTTGTATGCGAGGTGATTGTGGATGTGTTTGCAATCTCGCGTGATAGTTATTGTGTGTGAGAGTGTGAGGTGAACAAGTTACAAGGTGTACATAGAGACGGTAGGCTGAGGAAATATGTCAGCTCCACACCCCTGACCGTCGGATGTAAGGTTATGAGAGTGCCATTATTTCATCAGTTGTGATTGTGATATGAATGTGAACAAGTATGTCTGTGATTTTCATCTTGATATTTTGAAGAATATTTCTCCAGCAATACCATCTGTAAATAGTTATATATGTAGCCATTGCAGAACATATACTACATGTATTTTAAATTTATTTATTCACATGAAATTATTCCGTGTTAATTTCATTTTACTTTCATTTTCATCAGTGTATTTTTCATGTCTGAAGCCATGGTAAAGAATGCACCATAATAACTGTAGTTATTTAATGGTGATTTGATTCAGTTTTTCTGACTGTTCACAACATGATAGTGCTAATATCATCCAAACACTAGTGGCAAATCATATTAAGACTTTTTGTTTTCTTATACTTATGAAATTCTTACTTTGACAAAATATTGAACACAAACATTTTATTATGTTTTCCTTATTGAACATTAAATATTGACCACTTTTAAACAACAGTAAACCCTTGTTATATTACCACCATTTGTTTAAGTGATTTGTTTGCATCATAAAGAGGTTTGGCGATGAATTGAGGAAAGTGTTAGCCCAAGTTTCCTCTGACCCTGACACCAGACTTAGACATTTTGACAGATAGATGTACCAGACATCTATCTGTCAAAATGTTTAAAGTCTGGTGTCAGGGCCAGATGAATTTGGGCTAAGGGAAGTGTATAAAGAAATTCTTTAAAAACAAGAAAAAGGGACATTGTTGGCGGTAAAAAAATTGGCAATATATAGAGGTTTTACTGTATAAGCTTTTACACGGTCATCCATATTGACAAATGGACTCACAGGTAACACTTTATCATTCTCCACTGGCAGAGTAGTCTCCCCTTTGTAAGATAAATGGCAGCAATTGTATGGTTTGTAAGGGGAGGTAACTCTGATATGCCCAGGAAAATCATTATGTAATCAAACTGGGTATACCATAGCACACACATTGAAACATAGCATTACACAGTAGATTTTCTGTCACTGTACACATGATTAAGTATGTATAAATGTATTTATATAATATCGTTTTTAAAGCTTTTCAGTGTCTTCCACTGCTCTGTACTAGAGATTTATTTTAACCAAACTGTTGTCATCTTTCAATCTGACAAGTATATTACAAAGTTGTTTGCTGTTAGTTACAGAAATCAATTGTTAATTATTTTTTCACAAACATGCGTACATTTATGTAAGAATCTTTACGACACGCGTTAACACGTACAACATGCTACGGAACATATTCATCCCGTTGTTTGTTACATCACCGACTTTGTCATCAAACTAAAAGACATTTTATGGCAGCAACATGATGAACTGGTTGACTAGCAGTATGTAGGCAGCAATATCATGACCAGTGTATTAACACAGGGAACTGGACAGTACATATCTGCTGGTCACTTTATGGGATATTTTTTTAACACAAAATATTGTTTTCTATCTATTTTTGAAAAACTTTTCAGAAAAAGTTAAAAAAAAAAAGTAACAAAATAATGAGGAAAACAAGAATATTTTGTTTTACACAAGTTGTTAAAATGATTAGATATTTAAGAATGAATTGATTTTAAAGATAACTTATTTAAGATTTTTAAACAAGTATTTAGCTGGTCTAAATTTTTTGATTTTAGGATTCCCCTAATTTTATATAAAGTGCTATTTCAGTGTATGACTATTCAGTATGCGACTTGTTGATAAAATATGTTTTCTTTTTCATGTTTCATTTTAAGTTGTTTATGCTTACATTTTATACTTATCAGAGTATGAATGCCATGTGTTTATCAGTCATGGACTTGGTGAGGTCAATGCATGGTTACATGGACCTGATGTAGATGTAGAAATACATGACCTGTACCAGTATCTTTAGTGCTTGCTATCATTTACAATAGATCTGTGTCTTTAGTATTAGATTTTTTTTTTTTGTATTTCCTATACAAACTTACTTTAAGTTTGTAGATCTTAGTAGATTTTTGTATGTATACTAGGAAAGTGACAGAGGTGATAGTTCATGGTATGTCAATAACACATACGTAGACAATATGGCAGTTATATATATCTCTCTCATAGTTATGAGATACAAAATATTATAACTGTGTTACACAATGATATATTGAGAGCCCACTGGTTAAGACTTACTGTTATACACAAAGATACATTGAAAGCCCACTGTTTTAGACTTACTGTTATGCACAAAGATACATTGAAAGCCCACTGTTTTAGACTTGCTGTTATACACAAAGATACATTGAAAGCCCACTGTTTTAGACTTACTGTTATACACAATGATACATTGAAAGCCCACTGGTTAAGACTATTATATGACTCAATTACTCACTGAAAATGATACTAATTGAAATCATCCTGCATAATGTATCGATCATGTCGTTTTGTTTTGAAATCAATGAACCAAATTGATCTTAAAAAATACAACTGAGCATATCAAATTCAGTTAATACTAGTCAAGAGGAGATTACCGGGGTATGCTGACTATGCTTATTTAGTCCTATAAGATAGACACCAAAGGAACCAGTTGGTTTTAAAATGTAGAAAGTTTTAATTCATTAAGTTTTTTTAGTATGATTACCAAACTGATGTTTCTTATTTAAGATAATGTCTTGATATTTGCTGGAGTAGTTTGACCTTAATAGGCAGGTTTCTTTAACACAGGCAGAAAAGATGAGTTAAATATGAGTAGAGTGTTCTTTTATGCTGAAAATGATCCAGGATTAAAGAAAATCAGTTTTCTAACATGTATGCTACACAAGTCAGAATTATGTCTGAATGGTCAGAATTCAGTTACAGTTATTTATATATATATATATTGTATATTGAAGCCTGCTTTAGAGACAACTGTCTTTAATGACCACCTGTCTATAACAGCCAACCTTAGAATATCCTACATAAAATATTCTACATAGTAAGTATCTGTTCAGAAAGACCACCTACTGTTAAATCACTAATTTTCGTGGGGTAAGTTTGTGGGTTATCTTCTTCCATGAACTCATAGGTCCACAAAGTAATTACAAGTTGGATATAAAGCAAATATCCATTTGAAAGAGTACTTGTAATCCACAAAGTGGTGTTTTGTCAGGGAAACTTCGAAATTTGAGCCCCACAAAAATATCTGATTTTCCGTCTTGCACTCTGTCTGGGTGATCTTGTCAGCTAATTTTCACTGTGTAGCTGTTATTTTATTGTCATATGTTGTTATATGCCTTTAGAAATGTTATATGATAATTTTGTATGTACATTGCATTTTTAGGTCACCTGAGCTTTAGCTGAAAGTTGGTAGGAATGATCGCCTCATGGTCCTGACAAAGTGTTGTTATTTTTCGGGTCGTTCAGAAATCCAATATGGCCACCACGTCCGCCATTTTGAAAAACTATTTCAAACTTAAAGTCAAGTTCTACTAGGCCGATTGAACTGAAACTTTGTAGGAATGATTGACTCATGGTCCTGACAAAGTGTTGTTATTTTTCGGGTCAATCAGAAATACAATTTGGCTGCCATGGCCGCTATTTTGCTACTAAGTTCTAATAGGCCGATCTCACTTAAAATTGGTCTAGGAATGATCAGCTCATGGTCCTGACAAAGTTAAGTTAACATTATACTATTTTTTACTCAAATTGGTACATATTTCAACAACAAAAATAAATACTGTAGACTCAGGTGACCGTTTAGGCCCATGGGCCTCTTCTTTACTGATGTGACCAAAATTTGTTATAAAATTAACTGATTTGTTCCGGAGAACAAATATACTACATGTTAATTGATATTGCAAAACTGGCCACATCCTCACTGTAGAGTTCTAGACCTTGATACAGCCACACTGTTGGGTGTGCTTTTACAATCGTACGTGGCAGCTTCCACGTAGCCTTTTTATCGTTGGATGGATAATTTAGATATCCTGATATATTTTCAGCTTGAAGGTCAGAACCATGTTGAGAATGTTGCTGATGATGGATCTAGGTTCATTGACAATTACGAATTTATTATTGAAATAAATATTGAAATAAATTCAGGTTTTCTTTCGTATGTTGTAGTTATAGATGCCTGGTACTCTTGCCCCGACATATTCATGCAGTTGAATTCATGTGCACCTCAATAACTTGATAAATCAAAAGATGTTTAGATGCCAGAAATATCTTTTGATCAGTATTTCTGTCTTTAGCTGCTTTCATTGTAAGGCAGCTCAGTGTTGATGATCAATGTGCACACAACGAACGAAAATATATATAACCTGTAAAAACTATGTGGATTCTATTTTATTTATTCCTCTTCCAAAAATGCAAGATGGACTAATTTGAAATTTATTGTTGACTTTCATCATTGAAGAAGACCAGGGGGCCAAAATATTGGGACTGAGGGTAAAAATGTTATCATACCTGTATATTCCGTCTTTGCGTATTGCAGAGTTATCTTCTCTTGGGAGCAGGTATTGATTGTTACGTCATTGGTTTGTGTGAGAAAATTACGTCGTTTTCTCAAAAATTGATGACGTTACTCTCACAAACAAGTGACTTAACAGTCAATACCTGCTCCCAAGAGAAGATAACTCTGCAATACGCAAAGACGGAATAGTAGGGCTAGGATCATACTTTGAAAAGGGAAATCAAAGATTGAATGTTAAAGGTCAATTGATGCGTTAGAGAAATGAGAAAATGTTTAAAGACTGCCATTTAAAAAAAACACTGTTTCAAATTTTAATTTGCATTTGAATCAATTTCTGAACTTAAAACTCAGGTTTTGCTTGTGAAGGATGAGTGACAAATGAACCTGACAATGTGTAAGGGGTTTAGCCGAGGTCAACTCATATCTCTGGGCCATTCTGAAGTACGACCACCACAGGAGAATTAAAAACCGAAAAAAAATCAGCTGCAAGGAAGATAACTCTTATAGGTTTCACTATTAAAAATATCGATATGAGCTATACAGAGTTCATTTTAAAGACATTTTAAATTCTATTGTATCTTTTTTCAATCAAAAAATCTAATCAAACCACCAGAGCAGCAATTACAAAAAAAACTATTTCAAACTTACGCTTACCCTTCCGGAACATTCAAGGGTCTCCGTGCAATTTCCCTTTGTTCATATGTTGCCCTAGTTTTATCGATTTTGAGTCCGAGTTATGATTTTGTTTACAACTCGGTATTTTCTTGTTGTTGAATGATCCACGAAAACATGGCTAACAGAAATTTATTCAAAAACATACATCAAAGAAAAGGTAATTTGAGAAAAAAAAACCAGAAATCTTGTTTTCCTATTAATCCCAGTACTTGTGGCTGTATGGTATTTTCTGGCCTACTTACCAACTGATACGTACTACCATCTCGGCTGTTGGTGTCACCGTCTATCACCTGCAACACCAAATAAAAAAGTGATTATACAACTTATGTATTTGTAAACAAATGTTGTATTTACCATCGAGTTTCAAAATCATAGCCTACGCTTTAATACTTAGTATGCTGTCCTGTGATTTCGTGAATAATTCGATATCAACTTTCGCGGGAGCCATTGATAGTTGCACAGATATATATGAAGAAAATAAACCGAATCTCATTCACATGGACATGTCACATATAAATGGGCCTCACAGTATAAAATAAAGCAGAAAATACGTGCGTGACGCCCATTTATATGTGATGTGTCCCTGCGATTACATTATTGTGTCCGGCCCTTTTATCTTGATCGTCATGAATGAAACAGTAGGATATCAAGCAATACTTGACTCAACAGGTACAGGTATAAAGTTCCTGTAAGCTTAATCCATATCTCAAAAACCGGGGAAATATCCCGTTTGCTGGAATAGATGACCTTGAAGTTCAGAAGCCAAATATATAAGACTCTTTAAGCAATGTTTTTTAACCATGATTCCTGAAATAAGTTTACTGACCTGTACCTTACTAGGGCGAGGGACTAGTTAGAAAACCTTAGCTCATATTCAACGTTACAGAGGTTTGTTTGGGGTTTAACGTCCTCGTAACCATGGCAGCATGCGCAGCAAGTGTCATTTGAGGTTTGTGTTAAAATCGTTCTCTGATAAGTCATACGGCTAATGATGCATGTAGCTGTGCTTTATTGACGCGGTATCATGTTTGCTCAGTCAAAATACTTTGGATCACATTAAAAGTCACGCGAGTCAAATGTACTCGGTGAAATCTTCCAGCGACTACCGAGAAGCAGAATTCCATTGGGTTTGTATTTGTTATTCTTCCTGGAGTGAAGTAGTATCACGTTTCTTAAATAAATGACCTTGACTTTCTTTCAATGTGACTGATGTAACATGGGTAAGAACCCTATAACTTCTTCTAACGAGCCAGGAGGCCTATAAACATGATAATTATGTTTGGTTTGTTGTACTTCGATGAATGATAATAACCTACAATCATATAAAAGGGGCAAATACGGTAAATATGTTGAACTATATATTACTGATCGTTTGTGAACCATGAGATACAAAGATGTCTGGCAACTGGCTGTTTTTCGGTGAAAAGACTGTCCAAATAAATTACTAAATACATCGACCGACATTGCAGATCAGATAGGTCAAACTAATAAAAACTATTTTAATAACTTCTACAGAACCAAAAACGCCAAGATGATGATGTTTGGCGTGTAACTTGCTTGTATGGTGATTAAAGGATATTATAAAATAATATATAATACTAATAATTGCCCAAATAAATGATAAAATCCTAAATAACCGTCACCATCTCTTCATTGAATGAGATCAGCATTTAAGCATTCATTTGATCTTTGCCTCACACCATTAAATAATACCGTAAGTTTAAGTTATAATCAAGTGATGTCGTCCTTGTGTTCCGTCATACATTGTTATGTAGTGCTCAAGGCTGCTGACCCGCTTTACGTTAATACTTCATTGCTCAGAAACACGACTATCTGGGCCAGACTGAACCGATTATCTAACACAGTGTTGTATTGATGTATGTGTCTTGTTTCCTCAGTCACGTGCGATTAGAAAAATGTACATGAATTGGGAAAAAAAAACACCGAAATGTTCTGTTGTAAGAAAGAGCTTGATCGTCACGCTGTCATCACAAATATTGGGGTACTTGACAATCTACAAAAATGTAGAAAGATTATATCAAGCTATATATAAATAACAAACGGGACATTCCGAAGCAAAGATCTGTTATAATGTAAGGCTCAATTATTGGAATTCGATACCTGATTTCAGTATTCGACACACAACTATGCCATTGTCACTCAAATAAACTTACGTCCATAAAATGTATGTGTAGCAGGGAAGATACACGATATGCCACAAACAATTTACGTAAATCCGGAGAACATTTGTCCGCGCCTTTCCATGGGTTATCTGTTTATAATGACCAGAAGATGACAGGATAATGACTAAACATTCCGAACAAAGAGATACGTGTTTGTTAACTCGTTCTCCCCTGAAATGTCATAATGAACTTGTCCAACCTTTGAATTGGAAGAGTTCAAATGTGTCTCCAGGGGTAAATGAGTTAAGGATGAACATACATATCTATAGGAAGGATGGGGAACGGTTGACGTCTGAAATGATAATGAAGTTTGTAGTCACGAGAAACTGGTGTCGTTTAATCAGCAACTAGCAATGCTCCGACTCGTTTTCAGACTTAAAAAATAAATAACACCTAGTTGAGAAATTCGAGTCATAGTAACAACAAGATGTTCAATGGGCCTGCATCACTCACCTGGTATTAAGCTCACGTGTAAAAGTGAATAAAAATAAAGTTACAGGCAAACTATCAGTAAACCTGTTAAATGTTTGAAACACATTTTACCCCTGTGACTTTGAATGTCGAACAATGTCATTACCTTGAACACATTTTATATCCCTTCATCTCAGCATGCCACTTGCCAAATATCAACACTCCAGACCTTTTGTTTGTTGAGATTATGTCATTTAGAGGTTTATACACATTTGACCAAATGGGACATTGGAATTGGGTCAAGGTCATTCAAATGAAAACAACTTGATAGCTCTTTATCCAAGCATGTTACTAGCCAGATGTCAACATTTTTGGCGTTTTGGTTATTCAGAAAAGGTTGTTTAAAGGTTCACAGCATATTTGACCCATGTGACTTTGTATATAGGTCAAGGTCATTCATTTGAACAAACTTGGTAGCCCTTCATCCAAGCATGCTACTGTTTAAATATCAACATTATGGGTCTAATGGTTATTCAAAAGAAGTTTTCTTAATGGTTTTAAATATATTTTACCCATGTGATCTTGAATTTTAGTCAGGTTCATTCATTTAAACACACTTGGTAGCCCTGGCCAGATTTCGACAATCTCTATTGTTAGTCAGAAGATGTCGTTTTAAAGGTTTAAAACATATTTGACCCATGTGAGCTTGAATATAAGGTCATACATTTGAACAACCTTTGTAGTCCTTCATCCCAGCATGTTATTGGCCAAACATTAGCATCCTGGGCCTTCTGATAATTCAGAAGTGGTTAAGTGATTTTAACATATTTCACCCTATGACCTTGAAAATAGGCGAAAGTCATGCATTTGCACAAACTTGGTTACCCTTCATCCAAGCATGCTACCGGCCAAATACCATCACACTAGGCATCTTGGATATTTGGAAGAAGTTGTTTAAAGTAACAAAGTTGACGCCAGACGGACGACGGACGACGGACGACACCCTTTTGGCCAGGTGAGCTAATAAAAACTAATTTAAAAAAGGGGACTCAACCACAGCTAGGCCCCTGATAATTTGTCACAGCTATATTTGGACATGGACTTTGTGTGTTTGATTTTGTTTAACGTCCTATTAACAGCTAAGGTCATTTAAGGACGGCCTCCCATGTGTGCAAGATGCATGCGTGTAGTGTATGTGTGTGTATTTTGGGAGGCTGCGATATGTTCGTGTTTGTCTCCTTGTGATAGCGCGGAACTGATGCCGACTTTATAGTGCTACCTCACTGAAACATACTGCCGAAGACACCCAGCAGGACGCCCCACCCGGTCACATTATACTGACAACGGGCGAACCAGTCGTCCCACTCCTAATTTGCTGAGCGTTAAGCAGGAGTATAAACTACCATTTTTAAAGACTTTGGTATGTCTCGGCCAGGGGACAGAACCCAAAGCCTTCCTCACAGGGGCGAACGCTCAACAAATGGCCAAAAGTGAGGCATTGTCAAGGGAGACATTAGGAAGAAGAAAATTATTTAGAAAGGAGAGAAGAGATAAGGTCCCAAATTTAGTCGCCTCTTACGATCATGCAATTGGGGGCAGCAGGTACAATTCTGACATGAACTAAGCTAGGTGTTCAGGTTAATTTTACATAATTATAGGGGTGATTTTTTTTTATCGAAAGTTGGTCTTAACTCATAAAACATGTAAAATTATTCTGAACACTTCAGTTAGGGTCCAAATATAGCTGTAACAAATTCCCAGGTCCCTGTGGATGAGACCGATAATGTTCCGGACCGGTCCTTTTTTCATTTAGATTTTTTTCCAAAATGACTAACTCAGCGCCTGTGATGTAAACACATCAAAAGCCCACCTCCTGCTCAGGCGCGGATTTAGGCGGGGGGCACACCCGGCCCCGCCCCCCCTTTTTTTGGCGGCGGACTGACCTTTTCCGGCCGGCCCGAAATGGTCTGATCGGCCGGGAATGGGAACATATTAACATTTTAAAATGCCTCAAATAATGCACGGAGCTTGTATTAAAAAATCTGGGTCTACGCCCCACACATCCCAAACGGCATCCTAGCAAATATTGTTGGTTTCCGTTATCTGATGTTTTTACTATATTTTCTTTATTAAAACAATATTTGTTGGCATCGCTACGCTCGTCTACTTTGTATCTTGACCCTAAAGTGTTTATTTTTTTATTTTACCACCTCCGCAAAACCCGAAGTTGCAACTTGCAACGCTCGGCGGAAATATACTAACATAAGTTGCATAATTATATTATTGACCGCTCGTTATGATGATCTGAAAATTAATACTTTTTATTGTAACCTTCCTAACCGCCCGGGCGATATTAATCATATCATTATACAAGAACGATAAAGTATTTTTTCGGCTGACAATATTATGTATAATCGACTAAACATATTCATTCAATTATTTTGGTATTATATACATTGTTGTAACTGTTTAACTATCTTGTATGTACAACATAATATCTCGTTGTGGTACTTATAGCTTACCATCGTGTACGTACAAGAAAGTATCTTCACACAGCATACTATTGTGTACGTAGTAATAAGTTGCACGTACCAGAATGAGATGATATGCTGTACTTACAAGTATGATAATTTTAAATTAAATTTAAAGGTGACGCGTATGTGCCTCCTAAGTTGTACCATTTTAACCAAATAGCTTAGCAAATGTACCACTGTTGGTAATATGCACGCCCTTATATGAGTTAATCAGCGTGGACATTTCATATATATCATTGTCTACACTAGTGAATTAGTCAACAATTATTAAACACGAGACTATATAGCTAGTGGCCTTGGGTGTCGCACTGATTTGAACTTATCCGTTTGTTAAGCAACTTAGTGATGCCATGAGTAACTCATTGATTAAACAGCAACGATGTTATGGTGTTATTTGTTCTTTTGTTCGACAAACTATTACATGCCAGTACTGTACTGTAGGTACAATGTCCGAAGACTAGATATTGTGCGTCCCTACATTTATTTTTTGACGGTGGACCTCTCGTAATAATGAACAAGCCCCCTGTGGATTCATACATTTGTCATCACCAGGTTCCCCCTATACTAACCCTACCATCTGACTTCTAAAACACGCTGTTGATAGAGAATTTGAACCGAAACTTTAATTTTCTTTCCAGTACACAAAAAAAGTCTTTGGGCCATACTTAAAATATGTTTTTTCTTCTTGTAAATTAAACATATGTACAAACAATCCTCAGAACACGGGAAATCGCTTCTGAGACGTTCTAGAAAACACATTTTTTTTGGGGGGGTGGGGGGGAGATCCCCCAAACCGCCCTTACAGAAGGGGGAAGACCCCTCCCATACCCTCGCCCTCTTCGCACTACGCGCTCGGTGAGCTGCCTTCGGCAGCACACCGTTGACTATTGAGAACAATTTCTCGCCCCCCCCCCCTCTTTTAGGAAATCCTGGATCCGCCTCTGCTGCTAACTTCACAGAAGTGAGACAGACTTTATTTAAACAGCTGACGTTTACAGCTTAATCAGAGCGACTGTCCTCGAAACGAGAGGGCAAACCCGAGGAGTGATTAGATGATGTATTCTGCAAGGCTCGTAGGCTCAGGGAAAGAGATCGCATGAGGCGACCAATGTGGTTCTCTGCAGAATTGTAAAAAAGAGGGTGCGTGTGCCTCCGTGTTCTGGTTACGGGACAGTTGAGAAATCAGATGTGATCTACTGCCTCTATATCGACACTAATAACTTCTATATTTCGTTCTCTTGTCGTCTACCTTCTCTTATTGTTCAGTGTCTTTACACGCGCCTTTGGTTGGTCCGTTTTCCCAATAATGTCATACTACCGTGTCCAGACCATGATACTGCAGAGCGATGCCATTTTAAAAACAATCTTTGAGCATCCTCGACACTCCAGGGGTTACACACACTTCCGTTCTTTCCACCCTTGGAATATGTCAGGACACAATCAGTGTGTGCCACCTTGTGATGAAGACAAGAAGACTAGTCTTGATTCAACAGAATCTCGCGGTTGCGTATATGTAAAATTGACTGACTTTGAAGTCGGGTGTCGCTCTTCTGTAATCCTCAAAGAGCAGGTTAAGCCTTGCAATTGGTCAGAATTTTGTATCCGATACCAATCAAAAAGCTACATTCGTGCCTTCAATTTTGCGATGACATATTCCAGGGGTGCAGAGAGCGTAAGTGAGCGTAGCCCCTTGAGTGTCGAGGATGCCCTTTAGTGACACAGATATCTTTGGAAAACGACCTCACATGACCTCGCAGGGCGTAGCTAGCCTTGGTTCGGAATGGATTCATTTAGGAGCGGTTCTAGGACGGGGACTTGGTAGGGGATGATGGGGTGCAACAAGCAGTGCTATTAGTTTTGTTTTTGTTTTAAAAAATGGTGAATTCATATGCGTATCAGCGTTTTGGCAGCTACAGGCCTGCCTTGGCCGTTGTGTGGATACAACACCATATACAAACAAACAAACCTGCGATGTTGGGTAATTCATTATACAATATATGTAAGCTTAATCGCACTGTACTTGAAAACAGTGCGCACCAAGATTTGCAAGAACAGCTCGAAGCTAAAAAAAAAAGATGTGTACTCGATTTATGGTATTGCCACCTCCCTTTCAAACATTTTTCTTATCTCCCTGATAAAAGTGGATTAAGCGATTCGTATTGAATTCGTTAGATCAACAATACAAGACTTTCATGTCGGGTAGCACAGTTACGTAAGTACGCTGCGCTGTTAGTGCGCCATCCCTGTGGTGGCCGAGTAAATCACCGACTCAGATAAACCTTTGTACTTTCCTGCTGGGTAAACTATCGATGTTTTGTAAGAAATCACACCCCGGTGGATCTTAGTTAGGTTTTGAAACGAGAGCTCCCGGGATAAGGACGGACAACTAGCACATTCGGGGACCGTCGGCACTTTCCGTAAACGAAAAAATACGGAAAGTGCCGACGGCTCCCGATTGATACAGCTTATTACCAGATACTTTCAGCTGTTAAAGGAGACAAAAACTAAATCCTTGGAGGGTGAGAGGGTCTTACTTGAGTGACGTAAAAGACATCCCAGGAAGGCACCTGTACTATACTAAACTCCAACTTTCGTATAAAATGCAGAACAAATTAACTCCAGACTATTTAAATGATCTATAAATTACCGTCTACTGTTGCAGAAAATAATCGTTACACCCTTAGAAACAATAACGATTATAGAATTCTCCTTTCAGGCTTTCTCTAACAAATTCATCATTCATACCTTCAACTCTTCGCAGTTGGAATTCATTGAACCTATTGGATCATTGACTTCTCTACATTCTTTCAAAAACTCTTTAATTTCAGATGTACAATCTCCTCCACAAATCTACTTAGGTTTCGATGAACGTAAATTAAACATTTTGCATACAAAACTTAGACATTAGTGTAGTCCGCTTAAATATGATCCTTATAGAGTAAATCTTGTTGACAGTCCGGTTTGTTATTGTGGCCATCCCTTTGAAAATGGCTTTCACATTTTTTTGTGAGTGCTTCCTTTATATACAACGAAAGACACATCCTGCTCTAAAATTTGATACCTTGAATGTTGATTTCAATTAAGAATTACTTTTGTTTGGTAATACTCAACTTTCGGTAGAAATGAATACAAACATTTTTGAACATGTGCATTATTACATCAAATCCAGCAATAGGTTTTGATAACTTTAAAATACTTTCCTTATTTTAATTATAACTTATTCAAATGCGGATCCATTTCACAGTTCACACGATAAATATGTTTAAACCAAAAAAAAAATTTACTATTCGCATTTAGAAGCAGGGTAAGAACTACAGGAGCACATCCACTTCCGACACTGGATATTACAGTATTAGTGTAAGAATTATAATTAATTCCAATACTTTATTAAATGGCATCCATAAAATGTCATGAATCGGCAGACGTGAATACATTATAAAGCGAGAAATAGATCATTTTCAGTATATAGAGGTTCCCGACAAGTGGCGGTTATTGTTATCATGTTTATCTAACTCTCGTTAGTTAATTTTGAAAAGACTAGGGTTTACCGACTGTCTTGTTAAAATTTCGAAATGAACTCACGAGAGTTAGATAAACATAATAACGTACCACGACTCAGTGGGGGGTCCTTGTTCTCCCACAACATCGTATTTGAAAATAAAACATTACCGACCTCGATGTTTACAAGTCATCACACCGACTTTCAACCTTTTTCTATGTCTTTTTATCTACACTTTTATACGTAATTTATGGTTTCGTCTGTCTCTTTAGTTTCAGTTGGCAGCATCCCACCGTGGATTTCGATTATTATTCTCTTTATTTCCTCCTTTAAGAAGATTTTACATACAGAATAATGTAATTTGTTCCGGGCATTAGAATGATCGTTCGTTGCTATACCGTAGTGTTATAACACCTATTTACTTGTCACTACTGTCGATTTACGTAGGGACACCGAACATGTTACAAGTATATGTCCACCGGGAAGGTAGCTTGTCACTAGTAGAACTAGGTCACTATGACCTACTTTCTCAGAATTAGGTCAACGTTTTTTTTTTAGCTCGCTTAACATTACATAGAGGGATACCTAATTTGCTTTTTAAGGATACTTGTTAGTTTTCCTCCATTATATGATGCACGGTAATAATTCAGTGTCATACACCACCGTGATTAGAGTCTCAAATCCAACCCTTCAGTGCTCTCAGTAATATTATTATATAAAGAAATTGTATGTGAAAGGATACGCTACATTGAGAAACACGTATAACACATTTCAACATTGAATTCTTAGTGCGTATTTGGTAGTAGGCGCTTAGCAAAAGGAAAATTGGCAATGTAATATCCTGTTTGGTTAAAGGTAACAGTCCTGTCACAGACTAGCAAATTAATTAACGTTGTTATACGTAGCGATACATAATACAAATGAATTAATGTGACATTTTCAAATGCGTACGAGTTGAAGACATTTAATTTGAATTGAAAGAAAAAAAATGCAAACTGAACATTTCTAACGTCAATAAACTATTTAGATATTAATTAAATTAACACTGGCTATCATCGTTTGTACAGTATACGTATTAATTACAGGTAAGATTAATTACGTACTTACCTGTAACTGGAAGTTGTTTCTTCCCATACCTGTCACGTCGTACTAGATATGTCAGACAGTATGTGTCGCCCTGCAGTGTGCTGACCCTATAATATAACAACACAAGGGCATCACGTACATTGGTGGGGGATATGAGGTGTAGCTAATCTTACATGGTGAACGGCGAATGTTGTTACCGTGTAACTGATGATCAGCAGTAACTATACAAATAGAGTTGTGGTCATTTCTTATATCAGCCCGACACACAAACACGGACACAGACGTCGCGACGTCACTAGTGACCACAGAACGGTTCTAACCCTCAACGTAAACACATATCTTGGACGTTATAAAGGGTCAGTAATAACGACATTGGGCAATTTGTCCAACATGTCTATTGGAATAATTCGGGACATACGTCACGTCTCGCAGTCGGCCACACGACCATCATTCATATCCCTATTTAATACCTGTCACATGTCTCGTAAATAGTCGCACTTGTTCGAAATATAAGCTTTATGCTTAACACTTATCATCTGATACATGAAAATTGCAATATAGCGTGCCTGATACTTTTTATCAGACTAAAATTAAACGGCAAGGTCGGCTGGTCGGATGAGGCAGTGGATAGCTCACTCGCCTTTTATGACGACGGCCGGGGTTCGATTTCCCGACCGGACGTGAAAAGGTATCGGGTCTGTTGCGACACGATTTCTCATCCGTGATAGAAATCGTGCTAAAACTGCTGTATTCGCAACACGATTTCTCAACCCTGCACGATTTGTCGCCTGGGTGAGAAATCGTGAAAAACATATAGGCATGGGTGATACGTTTTCTCACCCGGCACGATTTCTCATCCCAGCTCTTTTTCTAACTCTGGAAATAACCGCGAAGAAGAGTTCCACTAAAGGGCTGTTCAGTTTTTCGATTTTGGTGTATGTTCCCTTAAGTAAAGGATCAAGACAAAATGCTGGCTTAATTAGTTTTACTACTCTTGTCGAGTGGTATCTTTCATTTGATGCTGCGCGTGAATATTTTTGTTTATTTGCTGAATTTTGTTTTCAGATACTTTAAAATGCATCGCGAAACGAAATTTACACGGAACTCTCAGTATAAAAGGATATTAACAAATATTTCATAATAGCGACAATGGTAAATAATAGTAATATGATATAGTATAACTTTATCGTACTCTTTACCTCAAATCTCTTTGTATTCTTAGAATTATAGTTAGTTATATATCGTTAGGAGTAACATACTGGTTTGCACGAGTTCGAGGTACGGACAGTGCACTTTCCACAAATTGTCTCCCTTTGTGATTGTTTTTCAGTGTTAGGTATTAAATGATATAAATATGAGCTAACATTCACATTAGTATGCTTGATATGTCACAATGACCAAAATCGACTTAAGGATCCCTGTCCCACTGCACTGTGGTTTTCCTATATAGGTATTAAATGATATAAATATGAAGTAACATAACTCCCCCTAACTTCCGTTAGGATATACATGAAGCACAGTTTGGCTACGCCTGTTGATCAGGTATCTCAGTCGGCTAGAGGAATAGTATACACATCTAAAGTTCTGGGTTCGAATCCCGGTCTAGCCCCGCTTAATTAATTTCATTTAGATTACTGTTCCTGATTTATATTATATTTTGTTTATTCATAGCTATTGTTTTTCATAAAAGTCCCACATGGTATGGTTTTCTGAATAGAAAACCATTAAACCACAATCTATCAAAGATATCGTCATGCTGGAAAAACAGTTTCCAATACTGGGGGGTATCTAATCCTTATAGCAGAACATTATACAACTGTATAACACCCATGAATCCCGACCTTAATAGCTATGTACATGTATATAAGTGGGTTTTTATATGTGTCACATTTTCTCAATATGTATGGAGTGTATCGACGCGTGGTGTCTACCAGTGTTTGTGTACGACACGCTATGATGTATGGAGGACCAGGCGTATTTCTTGCTTTGCTTCCTACATTTGTCAGGTGATTAACGCACGGAGTCTACAATGAAGCAGAACGTACCACGCCCAGGAAAATAGGTTGATGCCGGGAGGGGTGATGTCGCGGCTCAATTGTCACGATAGATAACACACTTTCTGATGGTATAAGAAAGTTCGTTTGTCGAATATGCAAGCACGGTAAATGATATATACATCGGATTTTGGTATGAATATTTTTTTATGTAAAATTCAAAGTCAAAAATTAAAAATGGATTCGCTAACAAAGAGGCCCAGAAGGCAGGTATCGTTCACCTGGATACTTGAGCGGTCAAAGTATTCCCAATAACATAATATTGAACATATTTTTCCCATTTTGAGCAAAACCGCTCAGCATCTAAGAAAACAACACAATTTATCATAAATAAAGTTGGTCCCTGGTTCCAAGGGAACTTCAAACCAAGTTCGTCGAAATAAATGACCTTGACCAACTTTTCTGGTCACATGGAAAAAATAAGCTGAAATTATTGACGTACCCTAGAAACTTAATGTAGGCAAATGTGATTCGTTTGAAAAAACGTGATCATGCTGCCAAGGTCATTTATTTCAACAAAACTGAATGGAGACAGCCATTCATGCCAGCGTGCTATAGACCAACTATCATTACCAAAGACCGCTAAACATTTCAGAAGTTTTTAAAAAATATATGTCATTCTGGTAGCCTTGGAAGAGTGTCAATGTCATTCAATTGAGGAAACAATGTGGTATTTCACCAAAGTTCCTATCCTCTCTGGTATTTGGAAGATTTTATAAATATATTATCATATACTAGCGTACGTTATATACTCGACTCTGACAGCTTGTCATTGTTTTATACTTCTTGGAAAATGTTTCGCCCGTTTTAAACATATTAGTCCTACGTGACCTTAACAGATGTAATTGATGTGAAAGATCTTTGTAACATTTCACTTCAGGTTGCTACTGGCAAAATATTATCCCAACATCCCACTGGTATTGTTCGAAAGATTAAAAAAACACCTTTTATCTATATCAAAGGTTATAATGACCTTTGAACCCTGCAAGCTCTCAATTTTGCCCTTTTCTTTCAATCGCTCTACATATTAACATACTAAACTAGCATGGCTTTACACCTCGGAACACTGATATCATTTGAAGTTTCTATAAGCATATTTGACCTCGGTGACAGCACAAGTTAGTCATTTAATTTACTTGAAGCAAGTTTAAAGCATTATATCCAATGTAGCTACTTGCAAAACATCATGACCCTAATACTTTGAGCGTGTTAGGAGAAGTCATTTCAGATGCTTAAAGGCACTTCGTGCCAGGTGCACTACCAATGTACGATGCAGAGGAACGTACCCTTATCAGTATATTCAAGTACCTTGACAACACAGTGAGGTTCCAATCAGCTCATCTTTGAACTAGCTTCTCCCCAGTTATGGATGTTACTAGACTGTCAACCCCGGCCTCCACAGTGATACATGTTAGGTTAGTCCGGAACTGACTGTCCTACACCACGCTGTTCAAATGATGAACTGTGATATATATACATGCACTCCACACTTACTGAGAAACCGCTTTTATACTGACTATACATCTCTCTATATATGTATAAAAAAACAAATCGTCCAAGACCCTGTCTCATCGTTCTCCGCTGTGATCATCGTTTCTATACAATTATACCCAATTATTCTTTACCGCTGGTCTCTCTTCCCAGATTCATTCCTAGGTACAATCTTAGAATGTCTCTACCATCAACAAAAACTTGAGGATACATGTTTACCACATTGCTACGTCTGTTAAGACGATTATACAGAATTTTAATCTTTTCGTACAGTTATCGCTGCTTTTCAGCTTCCGTATCCCAATAATTGTATTTCAAACTTCCTTCCCCTCGACATAGTCTAAGTCTACTTGCAAACCTTCGACAACCGTTTAGGACATAGACGAGCAAGTGTGAAGTTGTAAAGACATCAACACACAAACGAAGGATACATTGATAGAAACAGTTGACAAGGAAATACTGACGTATTTACACTAAGTAGTACGATCATATCTTCGCCCGCACGAGCTGAACCTACAAAAAACGCAAGTCTCTCGAAGGTGTAGGTACACCACACCGCTATATCAGTATTTTTTAACTACGCGTATACAGTACTTAGATAACAGTAGCCGGAAGTCATTCACAGATGGCCAAGAAACCCCATTTTCCCAATCATTACAGACTTGAGAGATAACGAGATATACTAAGACGTCTGTGTGATTTAACAATTACCACAGTTTTCCTTTATGATGCCCTAATGTATTTTAGGTCATAATGAGCTTATTTTCACAGTCTCATTTGACAATAACTAATTTAGTTCCTAGCAATAAATTTCCCAACTGTTGACCGACAACCTTTTTATCAGTAGCATGTCTATAACAACGAAGTTTCCTGTACTTTTGATTTCGTTTTTAGGGTACAGATGTCTTCTTGAAGCTCCTACCAAAGCGTTGTTACTGGATTTCTCTAAAATGAGTCATGCCGTCCATTCGATTCCCGTCCCCCCAGCGTGTAGTGTCTATCAATCTGTTCTGTTCCTCCACATTATAAGCATTGTCATTGAATTCCCGCCTCCCCAGCTTGTAATGGCTAACAATCGTTTCTGTTCCTCCTCATTATAAGCGTTGTCACTGAATTCCCGTCTCCCCGGCTTGTAATGTCTAACACTCTTTTCTGTTCCTCCAGATTATAAGCGTTGTCATAGAATTTCCGTCTCCCCAGCTTGTAATGTCTAACAATCGTTTCTGTCCCTCCACATTATAAGCGTTGTCATTGAATGCCCGTCTCCCCAGCTTGAAATGTCTAACACTCTTTTCTGTTCCTCCACATTATAAGCGTTGTCATTTAATGCCCGTCTCCCCAGCTTGTAATGTCTAACAATCTTTTCTGTTCCTCCACATTATAAGCGTTGTCATTGGATGCCCGTCACCCCAGCTTGTAATGTCTAACAATCGTTTCTGTTCCTCCACATTATAAGCGTTGTCATTGGATGCCCGTCACCCCAGCTTGTAATGTCTAACAATCGTTTCTGTCCCTCCACATTATAAACGTTGTCATTGGATGCCTGTCTCCCCAGCTTGTAATGTCTAACAATCGTTTCTGTCCCTCCACATTATAAACGTTGTCATTGGATGCCTGTCACCCCCGCTTGTAATGTCTAACAATCGTTTCTGTCCCTCCATATTATAAGCGTTGTCATTGGATGCCCGTCACCCCTAAGGGCACCACATGATTGTTTTTGACTTCAGTTTTATGTCTCAAGCGGCTGACAAAACTTGTTGTACCAAACTACCACACACCATAGACAACAGTCTTCTCCACGACTTCTAGTATTCAAAAGTTTTTATATCAGTCGATTGTATAAAACTGATCTGGCCCGTTTCAACGTACTCCTTCCCCTGCTATTTCTGGGGAAAGAATTGGCATACTTATATTCCACTTGATTATCGTACAAGGCGACTATTGTGTTTTTTGTGAAAATGTGGGTACACCTATCAGAACAACTTTAGTTTGCTAACCACCCTTTCTTTTTGCAATGTCTCCCAAAGCACCTCTGCTTGCCCAAATCCACTATGTCCAAGTTTTATTTATGAGTTCAGTTTGGTGGCTGTTCAGAATGGCCCTTGAGTAAACCAATCTTCGTGACTTTATCAGTTGTTTTGCAGAGATAAAACAATAGGCCCATGATTGCTCACTTGAATACCTAAGCAATGATAGTTTACTATTCTGATTAGTATTATAATTATTTCCCCATTTCGAGAGATCTTCCTGTTAGTACCAAGAATGACAACACTCTTCCTTTGGTTGAGATACAATCAATAGTGATCTAGAGGAGTAGCTTTTTTGATTCCCTCATATCCTTATTTTTGAGCATAGCACCTCAGTCCACATTTTCTCTATACAACAACTGATCTCAAGGTCACAAAGTCCAGTTTCCACATCAAATTTGGTAGAGAAGGACATGGGTGGGACCAGTCCTCTGAAAAAACATAATCCTTAATTAAGAGGAGTTATCTGATCTTTTTTACTATGATTTTCATTGTAATTTGTACAATTAACCTTTTTTTTAAAATTCCATTCCATGATTCTAATCATGCTTAGTTTGATTTCCTGTATTAGTTATTATGGAACATGTTAGGTCTGTTTCCCTGTCACAAACCATACTCCATTCAGGCTTTCACCAATAAGCCTGATACTAATGAGATATTAACTCAAAAACCAACAGTAAAAGACAACGTCACTAAATAACATATACATGTACATCAATTTAATAGTGAAAGACAATAAATTAGGCGGACGGCTCCTGTCATCTCTTGCCCTTGCGCTTGTTTTTCCTGTCCCTTTTCGTGGTCTCCTGGGGGTGGGGCGTCCAATTTAATTGCATGGCCCTCTTTCTTGATGTGGTCAAACATTTTGTTCCTTGTAGGAAAGACACTGCTACATATGTTGCACTTAAAAATCTGAAAAAAGGCAAGTGACAGTAATCAGAGTTGAATTAGTGCACCGGGTATATTGTGATTTATTGGGAAAGTAACAATTCTAAAATACACATATTAGTTTCTGATAAACAGAAATCCTTAAGATGCTGTAAGATGATGGTGATGTCCAATCTCTGGTAAGAGATACATCAATTGTGAAACATGACTCTATAGTTTAATTTGCATCAATGAAGCATACTTGGCATACTACAGTTCCCTTAGTATTTCTCATTTCTTTACGAAGACTTGTTATGTAGCAAAATTAATCAACAGCTTTTGACTCATGGTGCAGTACATTATAAAGGAAGACAATTACAACATTAACTCACCTGGGTAGGTTTTTCTTGTCGAGTGTTTCCAGAATGTTTATCACTGAAAGAAACAGAAAATTATCATACATTAATTTTCTTTTTTTCTTAATATGTTGCATACAGAAAATTATCATACATTAATTTTCTTTTTTTCTTAATATGTTGCATCATCTTTAGAAAATCTATAAATCTGCTCAATGGGAAACAGAAGGAACATGAGTAGAATGTTACATGTTTTTGACAAGACTGGGACATTATACAATTCAATTTAAAATAGAAAACATACCAGAGTCATTCACTTTCAGTACCTTTGTATGCATCTCTTCGACTTCCACAACCTAGCACAATTACATTCAATGCAATGTAAATCTTAATAAACTGATAACAAATTCTTTTCTGAAGCGATGTCATTTATATAAGATTCTATACCCAGCAAGGCCTATTACTGGGAACAAAAATACTTTAAGATATTTTCAAAACGACTTGATGATTAGATACATTTCCCTAACACCCTATATATCTATTTGACCGAATACTAGGGTAAAACTGACATTTGAGAGTTGTGTGTGGCAGCGAGATCATCAGATTCCTTTCCATCGTTCTCTACTGACGGCTGCTCCGATTCTCCATCTTCACCATTACAGCTAGAAAACATGACATGGACAACATCACTTGGGGAATATGCCTGGAAAATGTTATAGATACGTTAAACTTATAATTTGGTAGCTATAAGTTTTGGTAAAAAATTAAATGAGAGATATTTGATTTACAACGTCCTTTTACGAAGAGATTTCTTTAACTTTGTAGCCCCCTGAGCCTGTAGCTCCCACTTGCAAGCTCTCAATTTTGACCTTTTATTTCAATCGGTCTACATATTAACATACTTAACTAGCATGGCTTTACACCTCGGGACACTGATATCATTTGAAGTTTCTATAAGCATATTTGACCTCGGTGACAGTACAAGTTAGTCATTTAATTTACTTGAAGCAAGTTTAAAGCATTATATCCAATGTAGCTACTTGCAAAACATCATGACCCTAATACTTTCAGCGTGTTAGAAGAAGTCGTTTCAGATGCTTAAAGGCACTTCGTGACAGGTGCACTTCCAATGTACGATGCAGAGGAACGTACCCTTATCAGTATATTCAAGTACCTTGACAACACAGTGAGGTTCCAATCAGCTCATCTTTGAACTAGCTTCTCCCCAGTTATGGATGTTACTAGACTGTCAACACCGGCCTCCACAGTGATACATGTTAGGTTAGTCCGGAACTGACTGTCCTACACCACGCTGTTCAAATGATGAACTGTGATATATATACATGCACTTCACACTTACTGAGAAACCGCTTTTATACTGAGTTATACATCTCTCTATATATGTATAAAAAAAACAAATCGTCCAAGACCCTGTCTCATCGTTCTCCGCTGTGATCAGCGTTTCTATACAATTATAACCACTTATTTTTTAGCGCTCGTCTCTCTTCCCAGATTCATTCCTAGGTACAATCTTAGAATGTCTCTACCATCAACAAAAACTTGAGGATACATGGTTACCACATTGCTACGTCTGTTAAGACGATTATACAGAATTTTAATCTTTTCGTGCAGTTATCGCTGCTTTTCAGTTTCCGTATCCCCATAATTGTATTTCAAACTTCCTTCCCCCCGACATAGTCTAAGTCTACTTGCAAACCTTCGACAACCGTTTAGGATATAGACGGGCAAGTGTGAAGTTGTAAAGACATCAACACGCAAACGAAGGATACATTGATAGAAACAGTTGACAAGGAAATACTGACGTATTTACACTAAGTAGTACGATCATATCTTCGCCCGGACATCCAGACTTTTCCGCACGAGCTGAACCTACAAAAAACTCTCGAATGTGTAGGTACTTCACACCGCTATATCAGTATTTTTTAACTACGCGTATACAGTACTTAGATAACAGTAGCCGGAAGTCATTCACAGATGGCCAAGGAACCCCATTTTCCCAATCATTAGAGACTTGAGAAATAAGGAGAAATACTAAGACGTCTGTATGATTTAACAATATATTAATTGTGTAATGCTAACTACAGATTCGCGGGTCACTTGCTAACAACAGTTTTCCTTTAGGATGCCCTAATGTATTTTAGGTCATAATGAGCTAATTTTCACTGTCTCATTTGACAATAACTTATTTAGTTCCTAACAATAAATTTCCAAACTGTAGACCGACAACCTTCTTATCAGCAGTATGTCTATAACAACGAAGTTTCCTGTACTTTTGATTTCGTTTTTAGGGTACAGATGTTTTCTTGAAGCTCCTACCCAAGCGTTGTTACTGGATTTCTCTAAAATGAGTCATGCCGTCCATTCGATTCCCGTCTCCCCAGCTTGTAATGCCTAACAATCTGTTCTGTTCCTCCACATTATAAGCGTTGTCATTGGATGCCTGTCGCCCCAGCTTGTAATGCCTAACAATCCTTTCTGTTCCTCCACATTATAAGCGTTGTCATTGGATGCCTGTCACCCCAGCTTGTAATGCCTAACAATCTTTTCTGTTCCTCCACATTATAAGCGTTGTCATTAGATGCCCGTCACCCAGGAATGTTATGACTAACAATCTTTTCTGATCCTCCACATTATAAGCGTTGTCATTGAATTCCCGTCTCCCCAGCTTGTAATGTCTAACAATCGTTTCTGTTCCTCCACATTATAAGCGTTGTCATTGGATGCCTGTCACCCCAGCTTGTAATGTCTAACGATCGTTTCTGTCTCTCCACATTATAAACGTTGTCATTGAATGCCCGTCTCCCCAGCTTGTAATGTCTAACAATCTGTTCTGTTCCTCCACATTATAAGCGTTGTCGTGAATGCCTGTCACACCTAAGGGCACCAATTGATTGTTTTTGACTCCAGTTTTATGTCTCAATCGGCTGACAAAACTTGTTGTACCAAACTACCACACACCATTGGACAACGGTCTTCTCCACGACTTCTAGTATTCAAAAGATTATTAATCAGTCGATTGTATAAAACTGATCTGGCCCATTTCAAAGTACTCCTTCCCCTGCTATTTCTGGGGAAAGAATTGGCATACTTTACGCCACTTGATTATCGTACAAGGCGACTAATGTGTGGGCCATTGTATAGATGTGGGTACACCTATCAGAACAACTTTAGTTTGGTAACCACCCTTTCTTTTTGCAATGTCTCCCAAAGCACCTCTGCTTGCCCAAATCCACTATGTCCAAGTTTTATTTATGAGTTCAGTTTGGTGGCTCTTCAGAATGGCCCGTGATTAAACCAATCTTCGTGACTTTATCAGTTGCTTTGCAGAGATAAAACAATAGGCCCATGATTGCTCACCTGAATACTTAAGCAATGATAGAAAACTATTCTGATTAGTATTATAATTATTTCCCCATTTCCAGATCTTCCCGTCAGTACCAAGAACGACAACACTCCTCCTTTGATTGATATACAACCAATAGGTCTAGAGGAGTAGCTTTTAAAGACTTCTTTCCCTTATTTCCGTATTTTTGAGCATAGCTCCTAAGCCCACTTTTTCTTTATACAACAACTGATCTTAAGGTCACAAGGTCAAGTTTTCACAGCAAATTTTGTAGAGAAGGACACAGGTGGGACCAGTCCTCTGAAAAAACATAATCCTTAATTTAGAGGAGTTATCTGATCTTGGTTACTATGATTTTCATTGTAATTTGTACATTTTTTTTTTTAATTCACTTTCATGATTCCTAGTTTGATTTCCTGTATTTGTTATTATGGAACATGTTAGGTCTGTTTCCCTGTCACAAACCATACACCATTCAGGCTTTCACCAATAAGCCTGATACTAATGAGATATTAACTCAAAAACCAACAGTAAAAGACAACGTCACTAAATAATATATACATGTACATCAATTTAATAGTGAAAGACAATAAATTAGGCGGACGGCTCCTGTCATCTCTTGCCCTTGCGCTTGTTTTTCCTGTCCCTCGTCGTGGTCTCCTGGGGTGGGGCGTCCAATTTAATTGCATGGCCCTCTTTCTTGATGTGGTCAAACATTTTGTTCCTTGTAGGAAAGACACTGCTACATATGTTGCACTTGAAAATCTGAAAAAAGGCAAGTGTCAGTAATCAGAGTTTAACACTGGTGAATTAGTGCACCGGGTGTATTGTGATTTATTGGGAAAGTAACAATTCTAAAATACACATATTAGTTCCTGATCAACAGAAATCCTTAAGATGATGTAAGATGATGTCAAATCTCTGGTAAGAGATACATCAATTGTGAAATATGACTATTATTTAATTTGCATCAATGAAGCATACTTGGCATACTACAGTTCCCTTAGTATTTCTCATTTCATTAAGAAGACTTGTTATGTAGCAAAATTAATCGACAGCTTTTATCTTGTGGTACAGTACATATTAAAGGGAGACAATCACATTTTTAAAACATTAACTCACCTGTGTAGGTTTTTCTTGTCGAGTGTTTCCAGAATGTTTATCACTGAAAGAAATGGAAAATTATCAAATATTAACTTTTCTTTTTTTCTTAATATTTTGCATCATCTTTAAAACATCTATAAATCTGCTCAATGCGAAACAGAAGGAATATGAGTAAAATGTTGCATGTTTTTGACAAGACTGGGATATTCTACAATTCTCTTTACAATAGAAAACCTGTAAGAGTCATTCACTTTCAGTACCTTTGTATATATATACATCTCTTTGACTTCCGCAACCTTACACAATTACATATTATGTAATGCAGATCTTAACTAAATGATAAAAATGTCCTCCCTGAAGAGATGTCACTTATAAAAGATTCCGTACTTGGGACCAACAATACTTCTTAAATATTTTCAAAATGACTTGATGATTAGAAACATCCCTCTAACCCCCTATATATATATCTATCTAACAGGAAACTAGGGTAAAACTGACCTTTGAGAGTTGTGTGTGGCAGCAAGGTCATCAGATTCCTTTTCATCGTTCTCTACCGACGGCTGTTCTGATTCTCCATCTACACCACCATTACAACTAGAAAACATGACATCGACAACATGATTCCAGGAATTTGTCTGGAAAAAAGTTCTAGATACTTCAAACATATCATTTGGTAGCTATAAGTTTTGACAAAAAATAAATGAGAGATATTTCCTTTTACAATGAGATTTGCAGCTTTGTAGCCACCAGAGCCTGTAGCTCCCACTTAACTATAACCCCAATATATACCTTGTCTCCCCAGCAAGGCCAGTCGCCTTGTCAGCCTCCTGGTCAGTTTTGTCAGTGGTACCATCTTGTAAACTCTTGTTTGTCTGTAACAGAGCACCACAACATTATGTCTTACTAAATTAATAAAACACCTGGTATAACCATAATAATAATTTATAATAAAGCATATACTATATATTATATATCAAAGTATTGCTTTATACACAAACAATGTAGGTATTGCAACACTTTGATATGTTTATTGTTTTATTTATCAAGTAAAACTTTGATATCACATAATTATAACATAGTGATATAAAACGAAATTTACTGTAGTACAATAAAACATGTTTTTGTAAATTTGTGTTAAAAGTCACCCAGAGTTGTGTCCCTTAGCATTTCAAAGCCTGGTTTAGGAGTGAAGAATAAACCAGTAGATGTCTCATCTGCCACAGCCTTAAGATTTTTTATTTTTTTTCCCAGTTCACCAAAGAAGACAAGGTAAATACGAAGTCACTGAAGATTCTACAGGAATGGATTTTCATTGACTGAATGTTTAACTTCAAGGCTAGTTATTGATCATTTTAAAACAAAAATAAAATGTAAATTGATGTGTCCCTACTCCTGCTGGCAGAATAATTAAGCAGGTCATTAAAATAATAGGCATGTGCAGAACATTTTATGAAAATCTAAGTATTTCTTAAAGGTTTACCGCAAAGAAATTATAAGAATTTTTTTTACAAGGTCCAAGTCCACTGGTGGCCATGTTGATTTTCAAATTTGATTCAAAATCTCACATCAACAGGTAATCAATATGATAAGTATGTGTAGAAAGTTTCACGAAAATTCCTGCAAAATTCTTGTTTATAAACCTTTTGTGTTGACACCACTATTGCAGATAAAGTGATTTCTATAGTTCACCTTTTCTTCGTAGCCAAATTGAAATAATGTGGCTTAGCACATTTTCGTTTTTTCTACAGAAACCGAAGTGGATCCAGCAATAGACACCACCAGGTTGTTGTCTTACCTGAGTTTCTTCTGTCTTTACACTTTCATCATCTTCTTGTTCATTGCCTTTCTTTTTCCATTTTTTCTTTGTTTTTTCTTTTCTGTTACAAAGAAATAAAGTACTTTACCATCAGAAAATCGTCCAGTAGTATTATAGAATGAGTGACTGAATTATCAATGTAAATGTGTAACAATTTAAGTTTGCAGACCTTGTGTCCTGTGTATCGGCCTCAGCCTCCTCACACACTAATCCATTGACTGCCTTGGAGAGTTCGTCATCCTCGTCATCCTCCTCCTCCTCTTCCTCAAATGTGGCACGCTTCTGTTGTTTCCTCTTCTTCTTCTGTTTTTTTGACAATCTGATAAAAAACCCAAGTATAGCTTAAAAGTAATTAAATACCATAAGCCTTCCATTGATTGTTACAACTTATATTATTGGAAACTACTACCCTGATTGAACAGTGGTATTCAAAATTAATTTCTAGACCTGATCTCATATGAATGCTGTGCCCCTAATGAAATGTCAGTATACAAAAACTCTAAGGACAGGTAAATAGTAATCCCAAAGACATCTAAATAGTCTCTTATAAAGGGCTTTAACCTTTTTTTCAAATTACTGTGCATTTTTATTTGTCGTAGAAACCTTCTTGGTAGATTTACAGGCAGAGTAAATGACATTTAATATCTGACTTGGACAAGGGTTAGATACAGCACACAGCTGAAGCCGTCTCACATGAGGAAGTTTCTGTCTGACAGCTAACACAGCACATGACCTAAGAGAAGGATGGGAACTTTTTCTATCACCAAAGGGCCAGGAAAACACCAGCAATACACAGGAACAGGAAAAAATAACAAGGGTACCGCAGGGCACAACAATATGGGCCTGTCCCATGCCAATCTGACATACTTTAAATATTTCTGATGCAATATTGTATCTAAAGGTATGAAAACATGGAAATGCAAGGAGAAAAAACAACATTTGTACTGTATTACTCATAAAGTTGTAAACTATTCCTGAAATGCTGTGAATGGAGAAAACATACTGTATTGACATACTGACCAACTTCAGCTAAAGAAATACATATATTTCATGTAGCCTTCATGATCTTTATAAAATTGATTTGTAATTGCCCCCCTTTATATATATTTCAAACCATCTATTCTTCTTACACCATTAAAACCAAAGATATTATCAATTTTTTTTTTTTATTGATTACTGGTAGATTTTACCATTAAACAAAGTGTAAATATCAACCAAGATTCATCAGAACCCGGTCATATTTGACCAAGTTATTGTGCAGAAACTGTCAACAAATGAAAGCACAGTATGCTAATTAATTTGGTGCAGATTTAGCTAATTTTGAAACTCGGCGTCAGTCTTCGTATAAATTACCTGAATACCAAAAGCAAGTTTCATCAAAATCAAACCACATTTAAGCAAATTATTTTAGGAAACTTAAGTTTTGGAAATTGACCAATCAGAGCACAGTATGTTTATTAATTATTATCAATTGTTTTTGCTGAAGTTGGAACTTAGCCTCAATATTCATATAACGTACATGTATACCAATTTTTATCAAATTCCAATGATATTTAAGCAAGTTATATCTTGATGAAACCAAATCGTGGACAAACGGATGTTTAACAAACTACACAGGGACAAAACAATTACAAAGATACAATAATAGCACAAAGAGACAAACTTCAAACTTATTGTTCCCTTCTGTAGTACTGATAGGGGACTTACAATCATATTTGAATAAGCTTAAATCTGATTGTTTAAAAGCAGTTTGTGTGGTTTAAATCCTTCAAAAGAAATTGTTTTATAATTAACATGAAGCTATGTAACAAACAAATGTCTTAAGTCCTCTAGCGTTATAAACATATTTAAGTTTAAAATCTACCAATATTAAGTAACTATCTGCCTGATTCTTAAACTTAAATCAAGCTGGAATCAATGGCCAATTTTTCTCGTCTCTTTACAATGACGTGTGTACATGTAATTTCGTCGTTTTGTCCATGTTACTTGTAACTGTATATGAAGTTTGAAGGAGACTGAAAATGTTTGACCTCTGACCCCTGTTTAGGAGAGGTCACGTTACACCATCACATGTCTCAGTGTCTAGCCAGAGTGACAGGCTACAAGTACCTCTCCATGGCTACCGTAAATATCCACAAACCATCAGGTCAATGTATACCCCTCACTGGCAAGTATACAGCTACTACAAGGTGTCTATAGAACTTCATCTAATACATGATGTTATAGCGTATTTCTCCCCTCCTTTGTAAATATCTTTGAGTGTAATGGGCAACACATACTCTTACTGAACAACATGAAGTATTTGTGGGTACTTATTCTTGTGGTTTGAATCTATTAAGGTTTTTTGGTGGTTAAGGCACAAACTTTGGTGGATATCAAGCATAAAAAAAATAGTTAAGTAAATAAACAAAATTTGCTGTATTTATACATGTGGTTTTAGCAACCACAAACAAACATGAATATCTATACACAACATATGTTTGGTTTTGTACAGTGTTGCAAATTTTCATAATTTATTGAATTATATCTGTGTGAAGTTTGATGGTGTTTCAAAATTCCAAAAGAATACGGTTACTCTATGACATGGTTAACAATATAAAGTATACATTTTCTACTCCATTGTTAGAAATGTTACCGTTACCAGACATAAACTTGGAAAGTTATTTGAGATAAATGTCTGTATTTGTTTATCCAGAAATTAAGTATGGCAATAAACGGCAACAGAAACAACCTTCAGACCCATTATTAAAGGGCTTCTCTTCTCCATCCAATATTTTTTCATACAGCACTTTTATGTCATCAAATACGGTAAATGCAATTTGGGGGAGACACTGCAGCATCAGTTGTTAAATGCCTACAATAGGACACAATGATTTTGTCAGGAAGCGTATATAAGGGGCTAACAATGACCATGACACTTCACACCTTGTAGCCAGCACCAGAAACAGGCAACGAAAGTAACAGGGAATTTTATCATCATCTCCCTGCTAAATTGAATCTGTGTGAAAAACCTTTAACACTAGACTTTGTATTGGAGTGTGTTTTTACTACATCACTAAAGTGTCTACCGGGACTTAATGTGTACGGAGACAATGCTGTGGTCAGCGGTGTTTGTGTGTGTCCTTGGGCCAGTGTCGGTACTGACCAGTCCCACCACCATACCGGCCGCTACCAGCCCCCCAGCTGCGAACAACACTACCAAGCCCCAAGCTGCGAACAACACGACTAGCGCCCCAGCCGCGAACAACCCTGCTATCCCCCCAGGTGCGAACCACCCCACTGCCCCCACGGTGGCTCTACCCCCGGGAGAACTGGAGATAATACTAGACACTCTACTGACCCAGGTAGACAGACAGAACACCTGGCTGGAGACGCTTCAAAGCGATGTATACGGCCTTGGTGATTCTGTCGAAATGCACTCACTTGACCTACAGGAGCTTAGGCAGAAAGTCCACAGGATTCACATGGAAGACAACAAATTGCCAAATCACAACCACGAGGAACGCATTGATTCGGAAGAATCGGTGATGGATACGTTATCGCAGGACAAGTCCTGGGACAAAGACAGAAGCAAATTGTCCGAGGATTCCTCTTATGAAATGTACGACAACGAGGATTTAGAACTTTTCATGAACAAGGAGAAGGAGTTTGTAGAGAAATACCATACAAATGGCAACAACCGAGGCAGGAATGCGAGGAGGGGAGGTTATACAGACAGGACTGTTCGCAATCGCAGGAAAAGAGATACAAATGTTAACAACACAGTGCCTGGTAGTAAGGAAGAGGAAGCTAACCAAGGTCCTGATGGAGTCGGAAGCAATGAAGGTCAAGAAGATCCTAATGAAGGTCATGAAAATATTGATGAAAAAGACGCAGGTCATGAAACTGGTGAAGGTAACCCTGAGGAAATTCATGACAACACCGATGTAAACGGTGAAAAAGACAATGCAAATTAACGTTTTATATCTTGTGTACGTACATGTACCAGCATAATATATTTCAGTTTATAATCTATACTTAAATTATGACAGTATTTAAATTGCTGAGGAGAACATACATCTTCCTTTATCAGAAATAACATCTGATTATAATGGTGAGTGTTAAACTGTTAACAACTATTTCTTTATAAATGTGTCTTTTTCTGTTTGAATTATTGAAAAAAAGTAAATTATAAATGTTCAAGATAATGATTGAAATGCAATTCTTCCAATTTTCAAAAATTAAAAATTCCCATCTGTGGATAAGTCTTTTAATTGTTGTTGTTTCTTGACAGAACTAAAATCATTTTACACTTAAGGATATTTGAAGAACATGAAATGCATTAGAACTAGTTTGCACTAAGATATTGTAGAACATGAACTACATTTCAATTTGATTGCACTGAAATAATGTTAACATGAATTGCATTACAATTAATTAGATTGTGGAGAACTGTAGCACATGAACTGCTTTACAAGGACTGATCTGTAGTACTGCTTTACAAGGACTGATCTGTAGTACATGTATTACATTAGAATCTGTTGCAGTGAGAGATCTTTAGAACACAAATTGTGTAAGGGGGCAAACAGCATTTGATAGAAACAATTACGCTGTAGGCAGACAATCGGACTCGATTTGTTTTTGAGTTTTCCCAATTTTAATCATGTATACTAATCATGGCTATCATAAATCACCATCACACAATTTCACTGTGATATATTTTGCTTCCCCGATAAAATATAGACATCCTTGAAACTGCTCTATTGGGAGAACTAACCTTTTACGCAATGAATTTCAGTCCCTAAAACTGGTGTCTGCTCACATTTAATAAGCTGACGTTGTTTGTTGAAGAGAGCAAAAGTTTTCTCTTTCATTGGAAATATTATTGATATTAATCTTATAAACCTTGATCAGACTTACATTCCACTGCGTCATAGTTACAACCCATTTTTACCTATCACTGCCTCACAGTCCATATCTTAGCATGTTAGTGGTAAATGTGAAAATGAGTTGCTTTGAATCCGAGTAAAATGAGAGGTCTAACAAGGTTAGTCAAGCAAGAACAAATGATAATTTTTTAATTGTTACACAAAATGATTTCGATAGAGAACACCGTTTATAAACATCCATATATATATCCAGCAATGTATATCTTCCATTTTCTAAACAAAATGTCACTTCACTCTCTACACAGACAAATAAGTGATACAGATGTACATACAATTTTATACATGTACCAAACAAAATAAATGTATTTAAACACCAAAATGTTTAATCTATAACAATAGGAGGAGGACCTTAATCCTGACACAATGAGAAAACCTGTGTTTCTGGACACGAATGTGAAGGACATCATTTCTTTAACCAGTCAAAGTTTTGTTGTATTAACTTGCAACTAAAACAAATCATTTTGTCAACAGAAATACACTTAATTGTGTGCGGTTAAAGTTGAAAAAGATTGTTTTCTGTGGACAAAAAATTCTGTACTTCAGTCAATGTCTAATGTTTCAAAGTTTAGGGGACCACTGGGAAAAATTCAAAACAATTAGACTTTGACTCACGAATATTAGCTGTAACGCCTTTGTAATCCTGTAGATACTGTGATTCCTAAGTGATGTAACACAAGGTAAGAAATTTAATTTGAAAACTATAAATATTTGATAATTTAATGCAACAAGAAAAATATATTTCATGGATTTATACATTGCACTTGCAGTTTGCTTGTTTAGGTGTTAAAATGGCCCTGTGACATTTCAATGTTCTTGTACAGGTAACTGTTTTACTTCAATTTATTAGTTGCAATTTTCTGGTCTGTTTCATCGAGTCATGTATACAGTAAATGCACCTTAAGGTAACTTTTGATCTAACTTAATACCGCTGTGTATACAAGACAACCTTCAAAGAGAGTTTGTCGTTTCACATATTTACTGGAAATTGAACCGATCATTGCAATATGAGAAAGATGAATTAAGTTGTTCCTTCAGCAATCTTGATTTTTATGATCACTCTCAAAACAAGAGGCCCATGGGCCTTAACGGTCACCTGAGTCCTACAATATTTATTTTTGTTGTTGAAATATGTACCAATTTGAGTAAAAAATAATATAATGTTAACTTAACTTTGTCAGGACCATGAGCTGATCATTCCTAGACCAATTTTAAGTGAGATCGGCCTATTAGAACTTAGTTGCAAAATAGCGGCCATGGCAGCCAAATTGTATTTCTGATTGACCCGAAAAATAACAACACTTTGTCAGGACCATCAGTCAATCATTCCTGCAAAGTTTCAGTTCAATCGGCCTAGCAGAACTTGACTTTAAGTTTGAAATAGGTTTTCAAAATGGCGGCCGTGGCGGCCATATTGGATTTCTGAACGACACGAAAAATAACAATAGTTTGTCAGGACCATGAGTTGATTATTCCTACAAACTTTCAGTTCAATCGGACCAGCAGAACTAGACTTTAAGTTTGAAATAGGTTTTCAAAATGGCGGCCGTGGTGGCCATATTGGATTTCTGATCGACCCGGAAAATAACAACACTTTGTCAGGACCATGAGGCGATCATTACTACCAACTTTCAGTTCAATCTGTCCAGCAGAACTTGACTTTAATTTTGAAATAGGTTTTCAAAATGGCGGCCGTGGTGGCCATATTGGATTTCTGATTGACCTGAAAAATAACAACACTTTGTCAGGACCATGAGGCGATCATTACTACCAACTTTCAGTTCAATCTGTCCAGCAGATTTTGACTTTAAGTTTGAAATTGGTTTTCAAAATGGCGGCCGTGGCGGCCATATTGGATTTCTGATCGACCTGAAAAATAACAACACTTTGTCAGGACCATCAGTCAATCATTCCTGCAAAGTTTCAGTTCAATCGGCCTAGCAGAACTTGACTTTAAGTTTGAAATAGGTTTTCAAAATGGCGGCCGGGGCGGCCATATTGGATTTCTGAACGACACGAAAAATTAACAATACTTTGTCAGGACCATGAGTTGATTATTCCTACAAACTTTCAGTTCAATCGGACCAGCAGAACTAGACTTTAAGTTTGAAATAGGTTTTCAAAATGGCGGCCGGGGCGGCCATATTGGATTTCTGAACGACACGAAAAATTAACAATACTTTGTCAGGACCATGAGTTGATTATTCCTACAAACTTTCAGTTCAATCGGACCAGCAGAACTAGACTTTAAGTTTGAAATAGGTTTTCAAAATGGCGGCCGTGGTGGCCATATAGCAATAGGTCACTTGAGCTAAAGCTCAGGTGACCTAATAAAACCTGTAAAACTGAGGATCAAAGGGAACCTACCTATCAAATTTATCAAGATCCCTCAAGTTTTTCCTGAGAAATAGCACAAACAAACCTTCAAAGTCACCTGTCGGCCATAATGTTTATCCAATCAGTCTCAAAAGTAAACATGCACAATAAAGAACCATGGGGAACCTACATAATTAACCAATCTGAGAAAAATCCTTTTAGTACTTCCTGAAAAACAGCAGTAACAAACCTTAACTGTCAAAATCCAAGATGGTCACCTGTCGGCCATTGTGTTTATCTGATCAGTCTCAAAAGAAAACATCTACAACTACAGACCAAGGGAAACCTTCATATCAAATTTGAGAAGCATTCTTCAAGTACTTCTTAAGAAATAGTGATAACAAACCTTCACTATCAAAATCCAAGATGGCTGCCTGTTGGCCATTTTGTTTATCCGATCAGTCTGAAAAGTAAATATCCATAACTAGGGACCAAGGAAAACCTTCCAATCAACGTATCCCTCAAGCACTTCCTGAGAAATAGCGATAACAAGTATTGTTTAAGGACGGATCACAGATGGGCCACGGACGAAGGGTGATTTGAATAGCCCACCATCAGATGATGGTGGGCTAAAATTGGGCACTTTGCAATAAGATGTATCGAGAAATCAAGTTTTTGAAGTTTGATTTATGGAAGTTTGACTACTTCACGTAGTATTGGTGGTAAACATATTTGATACCTAAACCATGTTAATGACTATCCAAGTATAGGTGAAACTGTAAGTTAGTGAAGTGTGATGTTAACTCAACAGCAGCTCTGCTACTGAAAATGTCTGGATAATTCTGTCTACAAATTTTTGGAAATATTTCATTTATATGATCTTCCAATTTTGAAACACACTTCGATACATATTTTGATACCAGCATGCATAATAATGCATAAGCTTTGCAAGAGGAACAATGGACCTGTAATTCTCATCTATTATTCAATACTGTTAACATATCTTCCTTCTGTGCATGACCTTCATGTTTTTCTTTTGTGATTTAACATCCTCACAACAGCCAGGGTCATATGAGGATGGAACCTTCAAAATGGGTCCAAATCTATCTACACACACTTTGATCCTTCAAAGTGGGTCCAAATCTATCTATACACACTTTAATCCTTTAAAGTGGGTCCATATCTATCTACACACACTTTAATCCTTCAAAGTGGGTCCAAATCTATCTACACACACTTTAATCCTGCTAATATAGCAATAAGACCTTTATTGGAAGATTTTAACTTATTTCACTCATGGGACTTTCGAAGTTGGTCAAGGTCATTATTTGAAAAAAACAAATCTGTTATCCCATCAGGACACAGGTTTAATTGATGCAGCCACTCTGGGCCTCAATGAAAGTCATTTTGTATTTAATTTGTTGAAGTTTGATCAGACATACCCTTTTCCATCAAAGAAGAACAAGGTTATTTATTCATAAAAACTTAGAAGACCTTCACATCAATAAGCTACAGGAAAAATATCAACAAGCCACAGGCCTTATATCAATACTTTGGTACTCACTTTTGTTTGGTTTCCTCCTCCTCTTCCCGAGGCTCTGTACCCAGGTCATCTCCGAGGTCAAGCCCCTCCAAAACCTCTGCCAGCTCGCTATCCTCTTCTTGCATCTGTTGTCGTAAAAATGCTACATTTTCTTTGTGTTTCTTGGACCGCTCATGATTTGAAAATCTGAAAATGAAATGAAGAAATTGTTATGGACCACTGAATAGGCTAATCAAAGAGAAAAAAGTTAAGATATTGTAATTAGATTATTAACATATTTTCTACAGGCAATTCTGTTATAAAGTTAACTCACGCTTTATCACTCTTGAACGCCTTGTTACAGGCTACACAGAAGAAGTCATCATAGTATTCCTCTTCTTCTTCTTCCTCCTCCTCATTCCTCTGATCCCCTTCTTCACTCCCGTCTTCTAAAATCACAAGTACATGTCATTAAAGGGGCATAACGGTGAAGTAACTTTATTTTTTGGCTTTTTTTCAAATACTACATAAACATATCAAGTGAGACTCCTTATGGAAAATAACGATCGGCTGAAATAGATTCATAAAAATGATTAAATCTAAGAAAATCATCGGTATTTCTACCTGTCTGACCAACATTTTGTTCAGGGATTTCCCTCTACTAGCGCATGCGCATAGCACTCCATTTCTTTGTAAACAAAATGACTCGTCGTGTGAAGTAAGCCAAAGAAAAGTGTTGTACCGTGTCAGCTACGAAACGAAAAGTTGCCAAATGGTCAAAAGATAGCGCAAGGAGTACGTTACGGAATCATTATTGCAGGTGGGCAGTATTCAAAGGAGAAAATAACTGC